GGACTATAATTCTTATCCCCATACACCTAGTTGTAAGTAGGGTAAGTAGGGTTAGTATGACCGATCAATAAACGCTGATTGAAGCCAATAGCGTCAATTGAACCAAAACAAATGTCCAAAACTCTGTGCGTAAAAATAAAATTCAAAGTCATCAAGTGGTTGCGAAACTTCATTCGTAGCCCCAACGGCTCTCTATTTTGGGGGAGAATATGGATACAACACAATACAGCAATAGCTCCATATACAGTTCCACCACATTGCCATGTCATGACTCCCATCCTCAGGCGAGAAGGCGTTACAAATCAGGAAAGCGCCAGGGACAGCAGGCAGATCCTGAAGACAGGCTACCCAGCCCATAGCTCCATGGCTGATTCATGGTTTGTTGAACTTGTTTCCATCCGGAGTCTCCAAAGATTACCCCTAAACACCCTGAGCCTCGGAAAAAAGTTGGCGTCCAAACATGTGGATGGTAAAACACCATCTGGTTATGACATTCACAGTTTGCCATGGAAAATCAACACCCATTTTTAAGAACGGTAAACCATCCATTTCGATTAGGGCCATCGAAAAACCATGGCGAACTGTTAGTCATAACCAGAGGGTATATCCCATTAAAACCACCATTTTGTTGGTTAAACCCCATGAAAAACCACCATTTTTTACCACCATTTTCCTATGGTTTTCCTACCCTCAGATCTTCCAGGCCTGCCGCGTGGGCACCACGGCCGTGGTCCACGGCCACTCCTCCAAGGCTTTGCTGAAGGCCAAGGCCGCCGCGCTCAGGGCAGCCTGGAGTTTGCGCCGAAGCCCATTGGAATCTTAAGAAAACTGAAGTCCCCAATCTTAGGAAAATGGTGGTTTAATGGTGGTTTTAATGGGGTTTAACCAACAAAATGGTGGTTTTAATGGGATTTACCCTCTGTTAATTTAACATAACTATGGAAAGATCCACCATTTTTCATGGGAAATGTCACTATAAATGGACATTTTCAATAGCTCTGTTAGTTTACCAGAGGGTAGTTAGTTAGTGAAAGCTAGTTATTTAGTGAAGTTTAATTCGTGACCCTCCAGCAAACTAATGTAGCTATCAGAAAATTGCCTGTTGTACAGATCATTTACTCATTAAACATGTGATTTCCATAGCTATGTTTGTTTACAAGTACCAGAGGGTAATAAGATTGAAGTCCTAAGATCACCTTTTAAAATGTAGTTGTTTAAGAGATTAACTAAAGTTCTTTTGGTTCATCCTATGGCCTAGTTGAAGGATTAACCACAATATAAACTACCCTCTGGTAATTTAACATAGCTATTGAAAATGGCAATTTATAGTGGATTTTCCCATTAAAAATGGTGATTTTCCATAGTTATGTTAGTTTACCAGAGGGTATATTGAAAGGTCTCAGGCTTGTATTCAAAACAGTATGATTTAGTTGGTTTATCAGTGTTTCAGCCCGGCATTATTTGCCTAAAAAACCGATAACTATTTGGAATCAAGCCAATAGTTGACGACATCTCCAGTGTACCCGACAGAAACCGCTACCGCTCCCACCTGCGTGCTTTCGTCAGGCAGCGGGGCAGTCTTCGCCCTGGGAGCCGTGCATCGTTCACGAAGTGATGGAGCCCCAGCCGATGGCAAGTTGAAATTGATGATTTTCAGCTGGTTGGTGATTTTTACCATTCTTGAAAAATATGAACGTCAGTTGGGAAGGATGACATCCCATATATTATGGGAAACTATTTTTTTTGTGTGAAACCACCAACCAGTCATGAAAAGACACATTTCCCAAGACAGTGGACAGATCAAATTATCAGAGTGTTATATAAATTCTATAACTTCCTGACATCAATGGCTATGCCAGAGATGGCATACAACGGCCTCTCCTGGGTCCCAAAATCGGGCCACTGGGCTACACTCTGAGGCTAGGTTATCCTAAACCCCAAAAACTCTCTAGGCAACCAGTGGTCATTGGGTATCCTCTAGAACTCATTCATTCAGACGTAAATTTCTGTTGCTGGGAGGTGGCTATGGATCAAAAGCCATAGAAACCCCTTCTGTTCACGTCAAATTCGTATCGATTTATGTTCATCCCACGAAAAAATCTGGTGAATATCCCACCATATCCCCGTCTGTGATGCTGATTTAATGCTACTTGGAGGATCATCCCACCTGGTAACTGGTGAATATAAACCTGGTGAACCTAGGTCCCCGGAGTTGATTCTCCCATCAAGGCAACTGGGATGATTCTCCAAGAACATCATGCCATTCTTCTTGCTTACCCTCTGGTTATGTCAACAGTTTGCTATTGAAAATGGGCATTTAGAAATCGTTGATTTACCCATTAAAAATCGTGACTTTCCATAGTTATGTGATGTGAGTTTACCAGATGGTACTTTCCCATTCATAATTATTAACCATTCATCACCAATGCTAACCATTAAGAACGATTTTATTAACCAATAATGTAAACCGTTATTAACCATTCTCAACCATTATTGACCATTACTAATCACTATTAACAATTACTGCCCCTCATTCATGTCAACCCCGGATTAATGAACCATGGTTTATTAATTAGGGGGTACCCTCCAAATACTGTAGTCACAATATGATACATACAGTAAATGGTATCCCCCAATGCAACAGCCTAGGGGTTTATTAATCCAGGGTTGACATTAACCACTATTAAATGACCAACCCTGATCATTCCCCCGGCTCCAACTAAAAATTTGCCGGCCTCCCACTTGAGGCGACGTCCTTTTTTACGTGGACCTCAGGCATTTCTCGCAGCCACACGGGAGAAATGGAGAAATGGTGAGTTAACGAGGAAAAATGGTGGTTTAATGCTGATTTATTGTGATTTAAATGCTGATTTATTGTGATTTAAATGCTGATTTATTGTGATTTAAATGCTGATTTAATGCTGATAGATTACAATACTTCACTTCAGCTGCTTTGAGGCGTGGGATAATTTCCCTTAGCCGAATGATTCGCCAGCAATTCAGTGACGTCACAGTGAGGTCGTTAGAGCTATGGAAAATGGCCATTGAAATAGTGAGTTTTCCCATTGAAAATGGTGATTTTGCATAGTTTTGTATATTTACCACAGGGTATCCCGATTGTATGCCGGATTTACTGTTCGAGGGAAGACAATGACAAGAACTGGATGGTGCGAGACGAACCCTTTGCTCAAGAGCGAGTGTATTCAATCAATGATGAAAGTGGATGATATTTGTCGAAAAAAACTCACAATCAGCATGTCCCAACACATGGCCACCCCTACCCTGGACGATTAGGTATTACCTAAGCCGCCAGAATTAGGGGTACCCCATGTTTAGACAACATCCAACTCTGGGACAGAGACATGTTGTTGGCTATATCTCCCACGCAGTTCCATGATTTCCACAGAAAATGGTTGGTTCAACACCCAATCTGTTGTTGATGTTAGGTTGTTTTTTCATTTATATAAAGACAAACCAATATCATGTAGTCAATCTTGAATACCATGTAAAAAAAACAAATAGTCTATTACATAACTCTATACATTATATATATATATATTGATATATATATATATATTGTATATGTATACATGTGCGCATTTATGGCACAGAAGATTTAAGATGATCAAAGCATCAAAGTAGCCATCCAGTTGGTCCGGATATGTCCAGATCCAGGTTCCCGCGCCACGGCTACTCCCAGCTCAAGGAGATCCGCATGGCTGGCCATGGCACAGCTTGCACAGCGGCCACGTCATGGGGTGAACTGGGGCCTCCACATGTTTTCTCAAAAAACATCTTGTTCAAAAAGAATGGGATAATTACTGCTTGGTGGTGCAATAACCATCTTAAAAAATATGAGTTCGTCAATGGAAAGGATGACATCCCATATATGAAATGGAAAATAAAAAATGTTCCAAACCACAAACCAGATTAGGTATAATTTGAGTAGAGCCAAGCAAACTTGGGATCACAGTGAGAGCAGCTAAAATTGGAGATCTTTGCAGGCATGGTTGTCAATCAGTTGATAGTTGATTGCTAGGGGCTGGACACCAAAAAAATGGGTTTCCTTAGTGTTGGTCTATTTCTGCTTGCTGTGTTTCTGCCAACTTCACTGCATTCTTCTTGGATAGATCTTCGCAAGTCTTGGAACCTTTGCAGGACATGAAAATGTGGTGCTGGGCAAGCAAACAGGTCAACCTCAAAAGGCAAACTTGAAGCAACAAAATCTTATTGAACAGCCTCTCCATGGTTTTTAAAGCCCCAATGTAGCTTGTCCATTTGTTTGACGTTATTTTCAGGAGATCCTGGCACCAGTCACCACTCCGGTCGCAGCCCCGGTGGTTTTTGGAATGATCGCAGCCCAGGAGCTGTACAAGTCGCAATGCGACGTCGCGATGCGTCAAACCGCAGCACGCCGCTCGCAGGGATGTGCAGCGGGGTGCCGGGAAACCAATGTCCGACGTTGCAAAACAACCTGTGTTGCTATGGTCTCACTGATCTTGCGAGTTGTCCCTTCCAAAGGTACTCTCTGGCTATTTAACATAGCTAAAGCCATGGCCCAGGTATAGATGATAAAAATGATGATTTACGTATTAAAGAAACTTGTGATTTTCCATGGCTACGTTAAATTACCAAAGGGTAGGTATGGGATGGTATGGGTAGGTGAACACTACCAGCATCCGAACCTGGAAAATTCATGAAAATTACCATGTTCGTGTGATACATTATCGACAAGGAAGTGATTTTCCTCTTCAAAGTCCTGAGACCAGAAATGCCACGCTCGCTTCATGTCTGACGGACATGTGTCTGACAACCCGGCTGCACCAAAAACTGTACAAAATGGTGGGCCCTTGAGGCACATCGTACCCACGGTACCCAACAGGTTTCCTCTTGAGTTAAAAAAATCCGCCAGGAATCAACAAATAAAGCAACCACAACACTGCCATGATAAATACCATATATATATATAGCTATGTAAGTTATTTCAACAAATTCCTTATGTTCGTCTTGGAATATCTTGGGATATCTTTTTGGACACCACATTCCAATTTGTCGACCATCTCAGTAGGCCAGGCTGTTGCGTTCCACCTCCTTATGGATCCAATGTCCACCATCCTGGATAGTCTGAATGAAGTCGCTGCGCACGATCTTCCCGCGGCGCTTGTGCCACAGTCCACCACCCTCCTCCACTTGATCATCCTGAGATGGCGACCCTCCGCTGTCATCGTGGGAAATCACTGAACTAAATGGGGGGTCTTTAGTCTTGGGTGCCTGCAAAAAAAAACAGTGGTTTGAGATGATGTGTATATATCCAAAAATTGATGGCAATTGATGAAAGATGACTCAACTATCCATCCATCCACGGTTTTTCCTGGAGGTGACAAAATGTTGCAGTGGTCAGTCATTGCCACGTCCCAAAAAACTTTGGCCACCAAATCCTTCGACAACGTCATACAACGTCTACAGCTGAGGCGTACAATTTGTGACACCTGGGAGTGAAACCCAAGTTTGGATTAAGTACTCAACGCGTGACCAGTCAGACTTGCAGTGTTTGTTGTGGGTCCAAACTCTGTATCAAACAAATATGGATGGATATGGATGGCATAACACCACAAAACTCACCAAAATCAATCAGCCAACTGCGTTGATGATGTCCAGCAGAAATCCAATCGGTTTGGCCGAGTTATGTTGACCAACTTACCATAAATCAACTCATGAATCATTTTGGCCAAATATCTAACTGGCAGCTTCAGAGCAAGGTTTTTGGGGTGATATCCATGCCAATGGTTCATCATCTTCTTTATTTGTTATAAATTATAAATCATAACACCCAGTCTCCCATGTTATAAATGAACTATAAATCGACTATATAAATAATATCATTAACCCAGCTTTGCAACCCAACAGCATACCTGAATCTTCCACCTACGTCTTTTTTCAGACCCTGTGCCAAAGTCCTGTTTTTTCAGTACCCAGAAAACTTTTCAGGACCTACTCTCAAATTCAGGACCTGGCCATTTTGGGGTATCAATGGTAATGGCAATCATTGGGTGCAAACATGTGAAACCAACATTTGGTGGATATTCAAGCCATTGGCATTGATCCACGCAAATAAAAGCACTCCCAGCCCAAACTCATGGCAAGGCAGGATCAGAATATAGTATATTCCAGAAAGTATGTCAGAATAGATGCCAGATAGGATGCCAGAAAGAATGTCAAATAGAATCTCAGAAAAGAATGTAAGATAGTATGTCAGAACATATATGCCACATATACGTCCAGATGATATGTCAGAAACTATGTCAGAATAGTGTGTCAGGGTGGGGATCACTCTTAGTAAGGCAATTTTGAAAATATATTTCAGGTTCGGAATTTTCAAACTGTTGTCCTTCAGGCGCCGAAGCTCCCGTTGAAGGTCAGCATCGCCCCATGTCAACTGGTCCAGTCCCACTTCCATTTCAACAAGTCCAACTTCATCGATTAGGGTGTTGGTTGAATGGACTTGGGACTCTAGCTGGCACGGCATCCCTTGTAACCCTGTAGACACTGTAGTGGGCAAAAAGATTGTAACACACAGAATCAGCATCATTTTGATCAGGCATTCTTTTTGCTAATCCTTTCTCCCTATTACGAAAAATACCCCCAAATGACAAAAACTAGGTGCGATTTCCAATTTTGGGAAATGTCAAATTGGTTAATCTGATTTTTAATTGATCCCCTTGAGGAAACAATTTTAAAAATGAAGGTACCATGTGAGGGTTTCACCCCCAAAGAATAAAAAACTAGTCAACACCGGGGTGTCTTTTATTGGGGTCCGTCCTTTAAAATCGTCAATTTTAGTTTTTTTAATTCAGGTGTTGGTGTTTTATTTGATACTAGGCGAAAGCTTCGAAATCCTATTCTTGGCAGTATTCTATTTAAAGATTATTTTCATGGATTTTGAAATTAGAAACAAAAAACGGTTTAATCCCTTCCCCCTGTTGCTAAACAGTCACCCCTTCACCCACCCACCCAAATAACAAACACCTGGAGGAGTTTTTAGTATTGGGGGGGTCTTTAGTATTAGGGTACGAAGCTTCCCCCTAATACTGATAAAAAACACACATATATATATACACATATTTCTATTTCAAAATCGATCAGATTTCTTTCTTTTTAAATCCAATTAAAATATGGCAAACAAGTGGATTCCGAAGCTTAATATCAAATAAAAACCCCCAACATAAAAAACTATGTATGTTTTTCTATTTCGAAATCGATTAGATTTCCTTTTAAAAATTAAATAAAATATGGCCAAAAAATTGGATGTCGAAGCTTTTCCCTTATATTAAACCCTAATATCATTTTGTTTTTTTCCTGTTTCAAAATCGATTAGATTTCCTTTTGAAATCTAATGAAAAAAAATTGATTTTGAAGCTTTCCCCTAATATCAAATTAAAATCCAATTATTAAAATATGTTCAAAAATTGGATTTCGATGCTTCCCCTAATCTTGCATGAAAAATTCCAATATAAAAAACTAAATTTGTTCTATTTCAGAATCGATTAGATTTCCTTGTAAATTCAAATTAAGATATTGCCAGAAATTGGATTTCGAAGCTTTCCCCTCATATTAAACCCTCATATCAAAGACTATTTTTTCTATATCAAAATTCATTAGATTTCCTTTTGAAATCTAATTAGAATATGGTCAAAAATTGGATTTTGAAGTTTTCCCTAATATTAGATTAAAAACCCTAATATAAAATATTATTTTTTCTTTTTTGAAATCGATTCGATTTCCTTTTAAATTGTAGTAACAAAAATAAAAACAAAAACCGGATTTCGAAATGTTTCCTCTAATATTAAATTACCAGCCCTAATATATTTTTAAAAAAAACTGTTTCAAAATCGATTAGTTTTCTGTTTAACATATAATTAAGATATTGCTAAAAATTGGATTTCGAAGTTTTCCCCTAAGATTAAATTAAAAACACTAATAAAAAAAAACTATGTTTTTTCGATTTCAAGAATCGATTAGATTTCCTTTTGACATCCAGCAAAAATATTGCCAGGAAATGCCAAAAAGTGGATTTCGAAGTTTTCCCCCAATATTATATAAACGTTGTAATATAAAATACTTATTTTTTCGACCTTAAAAGACCCTAGTTTAAAAAGTCACCGGGGCTGACTAGTTTTTATTTTTTGGTGGTGAAATCCTGAAATGGCACCTTCATGTTTAATTTGTTTTTGAAAAGGTATCAATTAAAAGTCAAACTGGCCAGCCTGAAATTTCCCAAAATTTAACGCGGACCCTAGTAAAAGGAATCAATGTAATATTTTAGTATTTAGGGTACGTTTAGTAAAAGGAGGTGGGGATTAGTAAGGTTTTCAATTTAATATAAGGGGAAGCTTCGAAATCCAATTTGGCAAGATTTGAGTTAGATTTTGAATAGGAATTCAATCGGTTTTGAAATATAAAGTTCATTTTTTAAAACGAATGTTTTCAATTTAATGTCAGGGGGAAGCTTCGGAATCCAATTTTGGCAATATTTTAGTTAGATGTTATTTAAAAAATGTTTTCCAATTTAGTTTTTTTTTAACCAAGGGGGAAGTTTCGCACCCTCATACTAAATACCCACTAAATACAAAAAACTATTCCGTGTGTTCATTATTGGGTGGGGAGGGGCAGACGGTTTATTATGACGCAGGGATTGGTCAGGCATCACTTGCTGGAATTATTGGATTCTTTTGGGATGATTGGTATGATGTTTAGTCAGGCATGGTTCCCTTCAGTCATGCACGATTTTTGCAAAAATCCTATTTAGGCACGACCCCAAAATCCCAGCCCGGCAAATTCCGGCCCGGGCCCGGCAAATTCCGGCCCGCGCCCTGCAAATTCCGGCCCTGCGTTTTTCCAAAATCAGGCAAAACCAGTAAATCAGGCATTAAGTCAGGTGTAGTTACCTTTTAAGTCATTAAGGCTAGTCAGGCATGGTTCCCTTAAGTCGGGTGTGGTTACGCTTTAAGTCATGAAGGCTAGTCAGGCATGGGTACCTTTTAAGTGATGAAATCTGAATCAGGCGGAGCTCCTATTCTAAATGTGTTAAATCCAATTGTTCAGTGTGGAAAATCGATTTTTTGGCTGGTCTACGGGCAAACCCTGTGTCTTCCAATACCATAGCGTGCTGATGTCGCTTGCCTGCATAATAGTTAAGGCCAAAGCTTAGGTCATCAGTGTGATCCTGAAATGGCGCCACGACCAAGAAGATGACATGTGTAAAATGGGCCCTGGATTAACAAAGGCTGACTAATGAATTTGGAGGATGCCACTAAAGTATGACATGTAATCACTTTTGAGGAGCACTCTATGGCACGCAGCGCGCGCAGCCTGCTTTACGGTTTAGCGTTTGAAAGTTTTAGGCTTTGCCTCTATGGCACGCAGCGTTTGAAAGTTTAACCGTTTACCTCTATGGCAGGCTGTGCGCGCAGTACGCGTTACGGTTTAAAGTTTGAAAGTTTTAGGGTTTATGTGTGTGGCACGCAGTGCGCGCAGCGCGCATTAGGGTTTAGGGTTTGGAAGTTTTATAGTTTATTTTATTGCATGCAGCGTGCACAGCGTGCGTTGAACTTTAGGGTTTCGAAGTTTTAGGGTTAACCTCCATGACACGATGGTTTAGGGTAGATTTTAAGGGTACTTCTATGGCACACAGCGCGCGCAGCGCGCGTTAGGGTTTAGGGTTTAGGGTTTGGAAATTTTAGGGTTTACCTCTATGACACGAGAGTTTCAGGTTTGAAGATTTTAGGGTTTATTTCTATTGCACAAAGCGCGCGCAGCGCGCATTAGTGTTTAGGGTTTGAAGGTTTTAGGGTTTATCTCTGGCACGCAGCGCGCACAGCACGCATTAGGGTTTAGGGTTTGGAAGTTTTAGGGTTTATTTTATTGCATGCAGCGCGCACACCGCGGGTTAAACTTTAGGGTTTGGAAGTTGCATAACACGATGGTTTAGGGTTTGGAAATTTTAGGGTTTACTTCTCTGGGACACAGCGCGCGCACCGCGCATTAGGGTTTAGGGTTTGGAAGTTTTAGGGTTTACTTTATTGCATGCAGCGCGCGCAGCGCGCATAGAGTTTAGGGTTTGGAAGTTTTAGGGTTTCAAGGGTTCCAAGGTTCCAGGGTACCAGGGTCCCACGGTTTCAGGGTTCCAAGGTTTCCAGGGTTCCAAGGGTTCCAAGGGTTCCAAGGGTTCCAGGGTTTCAGGGTTCCAGGATCCCAGCAGGGTGCCAGGTGTGCAGGGTTGCAGGGTTCCAAGGTTCCAGGGTTCCAAGGTAGCAGGGTTCCAGAATCCTTGAGGGTTCCTGGGTGCCAAGGTTCCAAGGTTTCAGGGTTCCACGGTCGCAGGGTTCCAAGGTTCCAGGGTTTCAGGGTTCCAGGGTTCCGGGGTTCCAGGGTTCCAGGGTTCCGGGGTTCCAAGGTTTCAGGGTTCCAGGGTTCCAGGGTACCAGGGTCCCACGGTTTCAGGGTTCCAAGGTTTCCAGGGTTCCAAGGGTTCCAAGGGTTCCAGGGTTCAGGGTTCCAGGATCCCAGCAGGGTGCCAGGTGTGCAGGGTTGCAGGGTTCCAAGGTTCCAGGGTTCCAAGGTAGCAGGGTTCCAGAATCCTTGAGGGTTCCTGGGTGCCAAGGTTCCAAGGTTTCAGAATTCCACGGTCGCAGGGTTCCAAGGTTCCAGGGTTTCAGGGTTCCAGGGTTCCGGGGTTCCAGGGTTCCAGGGTTCCAGGGTTCCGGGGTTCCAAGGTTTCAGGATTCCAGGGTTCCAGGCTTCCAGGGTTCGGGGTTCCAAGGGTTCCAAGGGTTCCAGGGTTCCATTCCGGATTTTGAAGGCTGCAAGTCCCCGCGAGCCAGCCCCAGCCCTAGAGATTGAAACCCAACAGGCCCTGCTGTTGGGAATTTAATCATCCATGCCATGGTCTATCAGTTGTCCCATGTTACAAATCATCAAAAAATCTATAAATCACCGAAAAAATCGTCCATTCCATAGTGTATCATCAGCGAAGTCATCCTCAGCCCAGTCGCAATGCGAAGATAGACGCCTTCCAAAGGGCCATCCCCAAAGGCAGAGGTGCGGTTCAGGAACGCCTGCGGGGAAAATGCCTAGAATTTACCGGGGAAAAAACATGGAAAACTCAGATGGAAATATATGGAAATAGCATATGTATGCATATGATGTTTTTATTAGAATCCTGGAAATCAAAACACAAAAAACGATCTTTTAGGGGACTGCTGTGGTAGTAATTGGTTCTATTCATTTGGGGCAAGGGACCTCAAATGAATCGACCCAGTACTCAGCCACAGTTTCGTTTGGGGGGATGTTCAATATTAGGGGAAGGGGTTTTAACAAAATGCCATAGATAGGATTTGTACTATCTGAACTGTGTGTACCCATAAGAAACCATGGAAAAAACCATAAAGAGGGTGGAAGTTCACAGCCAGTCCAATTTTCCGATGTTTTCTCATTCAAACAATCATCTACACGTTGCTCCAGCCATATTTCCAAATGGATACGGATACGCATCAAGATCGAAACAAACGTCCCTAACAAAAAAACAGATTTTCCAGTGGCTTCGTGATTTCCCAGGGAGTTCCGGTTGTCTCAACAGGCCTCCAATTCTTGGCGATTGGCAAATTTCCTCTCGGCCAGTTGAGGCACCACCTGGGTCGCAGGGTTTCGACAGCGACAATTTCCGTTGATCAAAGGTGGATCTGTGGAACAAACCCATGGGTTTTTAGTGTTTTTAATGGTGTTTAATGGCAACGAACATTGGGGAATGTGTGGTAATGTTGGATATTTGGGTTTTTTACCATCCACATTTGGGAACAAAATGTTGTTTAATGGTGCTCAATGTAAGGTTTACAGTGGGGTATAATATAGCTAACAATCTCAGCATGGCCCAATTATGATAATTATCCCAATTACCTGTAGTACCGCACGAGTCGGTGGCGGAAGTTTCAAAAATAGGAAACCTATAGGAGAGGCTTGGTTGTTGTGAGGCATGGATGGCAGAGCGAGTCCACTAATGGACCGAAAGGTGGTTGGAGTGTCGGGTTATCTATCTGTTTATCTCTCCCTCTCCCTCTCCCTCTCCCTCTCCCTCTCTACCCACTCCTCTGCAAGGACAATCCGATAATGGCCAGTGTGCCCCCCTGGGTGATGGAAAACTTCGCATGGCCGTCGTACAACGCAATGTCATAGGAACCTCAATGTTGATGCGTCGCCAGCTGACAGTTCTAAAAATTGGGGTTCTTGAACATTCCCCGAGGTCCAAGTACGCATGGCTGACATGACACTGTAACACCCTCGGGCACCCTTCCCAGATATGGATTCGGCGTGTGAGTCCGCCAACTCCCTAGAAACGACAACCTGATGCTTGTGTTTTTTGGGGAAATTGACATGTGCGCCACAGCAACACCCCATACTTGAACAATTGCATGAATCATAACCTGAACGGCCATTGCCACTGTCTGCACGACTAGGCCATACCAAACCAAGCCGCTTGCGCCCTCCTCTTCCGATCCGGCGTCTCTCACCCTGACGACTCGCTTGCACCGATTGCCAGACGATATCTCGCCCACTTCCAGCACAACCACTTGCACATTGGCCATCTCAGAATCAAGATCTGCTGGCAACGCAGGCACTGTCGGCAAAACGTCAAAGGACGCCAAGGGATAGCGCTCATCATTCTCCAAGACACGAATGCTTGACCTCAATAACGGCCCGCATATTAACGCCCCCGCAATGAAGAACAGCCCCAACCAGCTCTCATAAAAACAGGTTAACCAGCAATTTAGGAAAGGATCATGATGCATGACTCGGCATGGCTAGCTCTGCTGGGTCTTGAGACTGTCATTGAGGCAATTGGCTCAGATTAAGTGCAAGCAAGGCTTAACCTTGGATCTTACCCGTGGGGTCCATGTCATAAACATTGCAAGGACAAAATCAAAAATAGCTCGATCTGGGGCTGGAATGGAACAATTTTTGGGCGCCATTCTAACCACAATATTACCCATCTTCGGCTATACCTTATTCACTGCAGTTGCAGCATGTTCTTTGTGAGCACCTGTTGAAGTGATCATGACCCCGCAGGCAAACAAGTTACTCATTGCCACGCTTGCGCTTCCCCGCCACAGGAAGGTTGCATGCCAACTGCCTGTCCCCGAGGTTCAACCCAAAATGTTCCTCTGGCAATTGACCCGATGGCTTCTTCCACTCACGAAGTTCGCCACGGACGATCAGGACGACGTCATCCAACTTCAACTGGATGCTTGGCACTGTGTTGAACTTGACAACAACGCAGACCGGAGCTTGCGTGCTCTCGTCATTCAGGCGATCTGCCAAAATCAGCCTCAGCTACAGTAAGCCAAAGCCCGCAGAGGCAGATGTCCAAGCTTTAGCACAAACCATACTCCTTAAACTATTCAACACCACCGAGAAACTTGCAAAAGGGATAACGTTCTTGCGTACCAAAAAGCGCATGGATACGTCCACGCACTGTCACTGGCCGCAACGGCATAGGCCCACTCATGATCGTCGTGATCGACTCTTCCACGACCTCTGGACCCGTTGCCGCCGCAGCAGCCTTTGCCTTTGGAGAACTAGCCACCCGAAAGCGAGCACCAGCCGTGCTACACTGTAGAGAATCGCAACGCACTGCCAGGGGAAGAGCTACTTTAGCCAAACACACTGAGTCAACCACTGCGCACTGTCAATGCAAACCTGACGACTTTCATGCTATGGACATTACCAGCACAAGATGTCAAATACATGATGGGCTGTTGATCACTAGCCGAGCAATGATTCACCAAGGAAATGGATAAGGCTCAATGAGCTCGTGGCAGATCGTGGCAGATGGTTAACGATGGTGAATCATGATGACTCATGGTAAGTGATGGATCATTTGATACCTAATATGATTGTTCATGATGCCTCATGTGAAAGTTCATTTCCTCGTCACTGATGGCAAAAATGACAGGACCGACTATTCCAAAATATTATTGGTGAATACATGAGGAACAGCTAATGAGTCCACGATGCTTCATCCGCTTGTTTGTAACCTGGGCATGCTAAAACTTGTATGATTACCCAAAAAATGGCTTGTCAAAAACCTACATACACATCCGAAACCCCAAAGGGCAACTGCAGCAGGGGCAATGTGCCTATCATCAAGAATTTTGATCCCGTTTTCTAGATTGAAAATGGCGATGAAAGCACTCCAACGTCAATCCCAACGGAAGACCTCATCCGTTGGGATTCATCCCCACCTGCTTTACGTCCCTTTCAAACTAGTTCCCACTATGTTTTGCGCTCCTTTGGCACCCTTCCCCCCGCGCCTCCACAGCTCTGCATCCACCTCTCGTCCCTTCCCCAGTATGGCTTTGCTCCTCGAGTGGGCCAACAAATGGTCCGGGAAGGTCACCCTGTAAAAAAAGAGGAAAACCATTCTGAAAAACATTCTGAAACCCATGAAATCCAAAATCGCCATGGAGTACTGAGCCCATGATGTCATTGCAAGCATTTTGTATCTTCCATTTGGTCCAATGTCCCCCGTTCGAACCTTCAATTGTGGTTGGTCACGCGGCATGTCTGTTGGTGAGATTCCCATCTTGCTTAGTGATTATATCACATGATATCCCCAGTATTCACCCAATATATCAGTGTATATATAATGAACTAATAAATATATATATATATGTATAATCAGTAGATCCCAGATGATTTACTGCAGTATATCACTCTATCACCTTGGTCAAGGGCACATCAATCCGCATCCTAGGCCGCTGCACATCTTCTACTTGCAGTGCTCACTCGATGGCCTGTGTGCCAGCACCAGGCAGGCGACGGAGACGGGGGTCTAACCAGCATATGGGGCTTTAAGTGACAAAAAGAGGTGTTGACCCAGCAGCAATGAGGATCACCTAGCAGAACTAGACCACAGACATTGGGGGCATACTGCAAAAGCAGCAGAAATGGGGATTGAACTAGTGGAAAGACGGTTTTATGAACAGAAATGGGATTATATATAGACCCAAATGTGTTAGGTTGAAACGTGACTTTAACGGATGACTATTCTCGATGAAATGCACCATTTGAACGGGTAAATCATCAGAAGTCATCCATAGCTGGGCCATATATACCAGAGCTATGTTGGATAAGAATTACTAATCCTGGGGATATTTAGGATGGAATATCTTTATGATGACATGCGTCGACACATCGCCCACATCGCCTCCAAAGAACTCCTACAACACCGCAACGTGAGCCCAAACTAGCCTCCAGACAGACACAACAGGCACAAAATATACATATCTATATATATATATATCAAAAGAGGCGTGCATACATATATAGTGTGTATGTATATATATATATGAATGACACTGCTTCATAAAGCGAATGTTGCATTGATCACACACTGCCTGTGTCTATGTTTGTGGCTAAAGAACAGCTACACACATCCACAAACATCCAACATATCCCAAACTCCTCCAACTCTCGTTCCCTACGAGGATCAAATCTATGGCCATTGTCAACTACATTCGCCAAACATTCTGCAAGTAATTTCAAGGCTACCAATCTGACCTCGCATGAGTCAAAAAGCTCCCACATCTGCATTCACTGCGGCTATGCAATGGCCACATAGTGCCACGGTTCTGTTTTTTTTGTTTGCCTGTCTCTTGCGATCACTTTGTCAATGGCGCTGAAAAAACTGTTCCAACATGGTGTGAACCCACAAGGAGTGTGGCACCACATCTGGATATCAAAAGTAAATGCCATGCCCATCGGCATGCACGCACTGCTGGCATGCAGGCCAACAAGCCCAAAAGCACATGTCATCTCTGCGATGCAAAGTCTGTTCCCATGCCAGTTCAGCACCTGTCATGCCCAGAAACCTCACGGCCTCAATGGCAAGAAATTCACATTGTTCAGTGTAAGCCCTAAGCTTGAACACCCGCCAGCATGGGACACCCCTACGCATCTGGGTATCAAAAGGAAAAAGCAAACGCGCCGCTACGTCCTGTCATGTGACATTCCGCCACACAACGACAGAAACACCAGCCGCTTGGCCAGGGACCATATACATTCTCAACAGTGCATCCATTGTGTGGTGGCTACATGGGACAACATGTCCATATACATATCGAATGGCACAGCCGTCACTCCTCGAGCTCCTCCTGCCCATGCAGTTCCACACACTCGAAGCATGCCACCACACATTGCATCCCCGTCTCTACCATCCAAAAAACCAGACACTTCCACCTAGCAACTTTGCGGCCCTACTGTGCCATCATATGCTTTCCAAACCCCTGCCAACCCAACTTGCCTCTGGAGGTGCATCTGCCTTGCTGTCCCGTGCAGATCTCACGGTGGCAGCCGTCACTCTTGATCCTGGCCAGCACTCACTGCTATGGGTCTCTCCAGCGACGACCCCCGATCCTCGCCTCCTCAGCACCTCTTCCTCTTTGCTGTCCTTGAAGTCCTCGTCGTCGGCGTCGTCGCCTGCGTCTCTCAGGAAATCAGCGCCCTGACCCCCCAACATCTCTGAAGATGTCTCGTGTACTGCGGCTGCCACGCAACACGCATCTTTGCAAATCCTTTTCAAATGCCCCACGCCTGCCACCGTTTTTGAATATCCACATGTTTGACTCACTTTTGACAAGGTGCAAAAACCCATTGCGCCTGCCATACAAAACGACGCTTGAACGTGCATAAAAGCGGTCCGAACGCGGTGCGCTTTTCACATTTTGACTTCGAAAAGTGCTTCGCCCCACACCGGCATACACTTTTCAACACCTCAACTTGCAAAAGTGGTCCGAGCATGCGGAGTGCTTTAGCATTTTGACTTCGAAATATGCTTCGCGCCACAAGGCACACTTTTTCAACATCGCAACTTCCAAAAGTGTTCCGAACGTGCTGTGCTTTGCACCTTTTGACTTCAAAACGCGTTTCGCGCCACAGCTGCATACTTTTGCAACATCGCCACTTCCGAAAGTGCTCCGAACATGTGGTGTCTTAATCATGTTCCCTTCCAAACGTGCTTCGTGGCACAGCGGCGTGCATTTCTCCAACATCTCAACTTCCAAAAGTGCTCCGACAATGACGTGCTTTTAGCATTTTGACTTCGAAATCTGCTTCAGACCACAACGGCTGCAATTTTTCATCTCGATTCTCCCCTGATGCACCCGCCGCTTTTGCAAGCCTGCTTTTCAGCCCTCGGGAGCCAGAGAACATTGGAATAGCAGCGTTTCGCGACTTTTATATACCTTTTGGTGCACATTGATCTTCTTTCTTCTGGCTCTTTCTCTTCTGACTCTTTCTCTTCTCTGCCTCTGCTCACCTCTGCTTATCTGTCCATATTGTCGGAAGTTTGACTTCTAAGCTTCCTTCGGTCCGGCTGCATTTTGGAGCATCAGCCTGCAGGTTTGCTAAGATGATTTTGCGCGACAGGTGAAGCACTTCGTATGACCTGGCCTCACTTTTTCGTGGCAGGCGCAGTACTTTAGACAGATGGAGTGGGAAAAACCACAACACGCATTGGTATGCGGCCGTCAGCTCTGCACTCAACTTTCCATTTTTGAAGAAAGCCTCGCAGAATCGCTTCCTTTTTGACGTTCTCAACTTCGAACATTGAGGAAGTCTCGCAGGATTGTTTCGTTTTTGATGTTGTCAACTTTGAAAATGGAGGAAGTCTCGCAGAATTTCGTCGGTTTGGAGCTGTGACCTCCCATTTTTTGAGGAAGCCTCGCAGCATTGCTTCGTTTTGGACCTGTCAACTTCTAGGTTTGAAAGAATATTATTATCCCAATTACCATCCCAAAAATTAAGGAAATCCACAATATTACCCTTTTCATGGGTTGTAAACCAGCATATAGCAACAATAATTGGGGCGATCAGGGAAATATAAAACCAATGCCATCAAACATTACTCTTAATTGGGGTGTGTGAAAACTGGTACACCCCTAGAAATGGGATGATTTAGAATAGGTATAACCAAGTCAGGGTTGGAGAACTTTTGGATGGTGGTGCCTGGTTTACCACATGAATGGTGCCTGGTAACGAACTCCCCAGATGCTAACTGTTTATCGCTTTACCCCACGAAAAATGTAATCCAAATCCAACTCATGTTCACACTTCTCGGCTTCAGCAATAATCTCATGTCACCATCTAGTTGAACTGTGGGAATGGAAGCCTCTAGAACCACCAACTTTCCTCAAGCAATATTTCAGGTGCCCAATCTAGGGGTTCATCTATGTAAAGCCCAGGGTCCACTGCAGTGCTATATCAGGAGGTGCCAAAACCTTCAACAGACTAACCCTGACATTCATATACTCAAAATGCATTCTGTTCTTGGTTGACATCTGGTCTTCATCGGTAAACGTCTTCATTTTCTTCATTGAATGCTGGAAGTTCTGGACTTGGAATTCCACACTCTTCAAAAGCAATCTGTCCGTTTTCAAGTAGTGATAAATAACTGTGATGATCGAATTGGATATGCTGAACCCCCTCAGTAAACTATACTTGGCGATACTTGGTTTAATAGCTCCCCAGTCCCCCTAAAGTCAACCCACCGCGAAAGGGGTGCAAAAACGCATTCAGGGGGTGAAATCGAGAGTATCATTTAACCTACCTGCCCAGTATGCCTAAGGTCTGTAGCGTTTGGACGTTTGGTTTTTCTTGAAGAAACCGGAAGGAAACAGAGGTTGGGAACGTCTGAACTATTTAAGATACTTTGGTTGATGGGTATGGAATGGGGAATTATACTACCTGGATTATTTTTGGGGATTATTTTTACTAACCCTATAGGATGGGAAACCTATCAACCAAGTATTTTACTGCTTGGTGGTTTTAACATGCTTTCACCATCTTGAAAAATATGAGTTCGTCAGATTTTGGGATCATCATCCCTAGACTATTGGGGAACATGAATTTCAGTCATGTTCCAGTCACCACCAACCAGATATATATAATATAGCTATTCCAATTATTAACCATAGATTAACCATGGATGAACCATAGATTAACCATAGATTTTCCCTCAAAAAAACACATCCAGCTATGGGGGTACCCCCATCACCACCAAGCCGCTGGGATTTCGAGGCCCTCCAGTCGTCGGTTGCGCTCGCGCACTGACACGAAGCGTCCTGAAAAGCGGTGCGGAATACCCCCACTGGATGAAATATAGGATGAAATATGGATTATATATGGATTAAAACTGGGGTCATGCCCTACTTACTAACTTGTGGTGAAACACCAAGTGGGGGAGAAGGACATTTTGACTTGGCAACAGGCTGTCAGGTGATGTTGCAAAGATTCAACACTCTGAAAGTCACGGGATCTGCGAAAAGATATGTGGAAGAGTAGTCACACCTGTTCGTGGACACTTGAATATTCAGGTCACAGTTCACAAAACGTACATGTTGCAGGGTCAGTTGAAGGAAACTTCTATAGGAAAAGAATGGAGAAGATAGGTTTACGATGATTTCCCATCCAAATGGGGATCTCTAAAAGGGTGGTACCTCGAAATCATCCGAAATTGGACAATTTTAATTGAAACGTAGGGTTAAACAGGGATCTTCAGTTTAAGAAACACTCATTCTGTGCGTTTCCTGTAAGAATTTGATTTCTCTTTCCCCAGTAATCTACTCACCAACGCCAACACTAACCCCTCATTGGGATGTCCACCTTGGCGTTTGTTGTAGATGTCAAAGGCCACGAAGTAGGCAGGGAGCTTGGTGTAGCTGACGCTATGTCGCGCCCAGAGCCACTCGCCAAAGAGCACCTCCACCTGCCCAAGCTGCTGAATCTTTAAACAAACCATTTTGTCTGGATGTAATTAATGGGAAGAGTACGCACCGTTCTATGGGGATATTGATAGGACCCACTTGATATGACATTTGGGTGTGTCTGAAAATGGGGTACGGGGATATCTACCCTCACCCTCATTTGTGGCAATTGTATTGGGAAATTATGATAACCAGCGTGTAGACTATCTGACCATATTTTCAGACAAACCCATAATTACCATTTCCGGCATGTGCGAGCAATGGTACGGTCATCTATCCGACAATGGGAAGCCCTATTTTTTATGGATGTAAAATTTTATTATGAATGGATTGATGAGTATCCAAGAAACCTGACCATGCCACAAAAAAGTCGATGGGTCAGGATACGTAGCCCCAAATTCGATGAATTTAAAATGAATTTCATACGTTTCACCAATCAATTTCCAAGCATCCCTCATTAATTACATACAAGGTGGTGCCCCCAAGATAGCTAAGTTGGTGAACATAACTCCGATTTCACTCTGGTTTATGGTAAATATGAAATATACTATTCCTATAGTTTATAAACCAACAAACATAACGTTTGGGGAGTACCACCTAAAAAACCTGCAGTCCCCGTGCCCCGGCGTCCTCAGGTTCAAGCAACTGGCAGATAGCCCAGCCGTGTTCATCCCACCAAGCGTCCAGAGCTTTCCACTGCGAGGCGTAACCGCTGGAGACGTAGTGGCTGCGATTCTGGTACAAGGGTTCATAGTTTTCCTCACCAAAAGAAGGCGTTGTTTAAGTCTGCTTAAACACACAGACACAATCAATATATATATATGTGTGTGTGTGTGTATTTCTATATATACAATACTACATAATTAATTTTGCTGTATGCATTATACATTATACATTATGCATTATGCATTATGCACTATACATTATCCATTATACATTATACATTACGCATTATACATTGTACGCATTATGCATTATGCATTATACATTATCCATTATACATGATACATTATGCATTATACAGCTTTCCATTATCCATTTTAAGCGCATTATGCATATACATGGACTGATTTTAATATATCTCAAATATCACTTGGGAAGGTTGGGCGTCCGTCAAGGAGATCCCCAGGTTGGCGCCGTCGATCTTCTCCTCCACGATGATCATGGTCTTTCCATCCTTGGTGGATGAGTTGTTTATTAAAACATCAGTAATGTTGACATAAAATTGATATTAAATTGATATTAAACATCCAAAAGTAAACATTTAGAAGTCCCATAAAAAAGAAAATGGTCTTAATAGATCTTAATAGTAAACAAGTAAACATGAGGGGAAGGGATGGGATTAGAGCCCCAAAATATGAGGAGATTGGGCCCCTTCGAGGGGCCCCAAAAAGATTCAGAAAAACCCGTTGTCTCCAGGCTGGCAATATAGATGATATTTACATATATTTAGCGTTTTTAAGAATATCTAATAGAGGTTCCGAAAAAAATCTATCGATTTGGAGGATGCTATGTCCCAATAGATGTTAGAGAGGGAAAGAGTAATGCACTCAGCCCCGGCCGGCCCAAAATGTCGGCATCAAACGTGCTCGACATGCCCTAAAATCCCTTGGTCGTTAGCAAGTTGCCAATCAAACTGTTGGATTAAGGTGTCTGGGGAAGCGAATGGCTGACATGAACATCACTGGCGTTCACCAATCTAAGTCTGGATATATAAGCCTGGTTGAGGTATTCACAACCCCTTGGAAGTTGCAAGACTTTCAATGTAGCGACTTTGACATGGAAGCACGCATCCAAAATCCACGCGTCCAAAAAGATCTCACTACATCTCTCTCGCTAGTCGCAAGGGCTGATTTCCAGCAAAATTACTGCTGTACAAACTGCCTCTGAAAGTCTACATATCCAACAATCGTTCTTGAAACCCGGCAATTTTGGTGCCGCTACTGTACCGTGAGAACGCTGTAGGCCGTGCTACAGACCGGCAAGTTCGCCGGCGTGCCGTCTCCTTCGGTCCTCAGAACCAACTTGGAATAGCGCCACCATTCGTGCGCACTCTGTTTGCACATCAAATTCGGCAGAAACTTCAACAGCCCTTCGTTGGGATCGGTCTTCAGCCGCTGCCGCCAGCCTTATGGAATTTTCCCTGGTCCACCACACAAAATGCATGTTCCCCTTGTAGATTCCCTTTCCATTCACTCTTTACTGGTAGATTTCAACCGGCAAAATGCACCAAAAAAATCACCTCGATGAAGCAACCCTCTGGAGTGTCCCCATATTTTGTGGAGTCTAACCCACAAAAACCACCGTCGGAATCATCTCAGCCCCAAGTGGCCCAGTGATTGGTACGGCTCTGCCGCCATCTGCTGGCAGCTGCTGGGCTCGTCCTCCTTGACGTAGAGGCAGGTCTTGGCCCCCAGGCGCGCCTGCTCGACGTAGAGCGAATTGATGCCGCAGTCGAAGGCATCGCAGGTGGCCACCAGGTCGTCGGAATTCAACGCCTCCATCTGCTCATTGGAAAACCTCGAAATGGTCTGGAGCCACGAATTAAGATTTTTGGGGGAAAATGTTGGTGAAATGACCTGGATGACCAGGTAGAGTTTAACAAAATAGAAATAGCGATTAAAACTGTATACCCGTTTGCTTTAGCAGGAGCTGACTGTTCTGCATCTTTTCTGAGGGTTGCCATATTGGTCCATGTTGAATCAATAGCTTCCTTTTCCAGGGAACGCAGAATCTGAATTAAGTGGTCATTGGAACACTAGATATAGGAGTGATACAGTAGTCGGGGTCTGAACGGGGGTGAATTTGGAAAAGGTTGAGTTTTAGGAAACCATGGTCTTGACGATGCTAATATGCCCTCTCGTCATTAGAAAACCAACAAAGATGGGCCATCTTTAATCAGTCTGTATATTCAAATGTATAGTTAACATTAGTTAACCTTCAAAATGATGAAGTTCCGATCCACCCGGTTCTGAAAATCGAAAAGACAGTTAAAAATACCAGTAATACCAGTACATTTGCCTGGCTCGATTCCTCACAACCATCGTTGATGCTAAAAGTACCCTTTTGAATCAGGGACTTAGGAACCCGAGAAGATTCTAGATCTCACGCCAAGAAGAAAACTGGAATGCACAACCCCCGCCAGGAAACTTCAACTCATCATTCATGATCACATGGAACGGGGTCGGGGCAAAAGTCATGGCCTTCAAAACCTTCGGTTGTCTGGCCGCAGTGACCATGGCCATCAAGCCACCCATGGAGTGCCCTGTCAGCGTCAGGCTGTGCTTCGGCAGGTCCCTTTGAACCTGCCGAACCAAGGAGTCTGCCTGCTCGGTAAAGTTGAGCTGACCTTCATACTTCTGACCTTATCAGTAGTTGAACCACCCGGGCAAAAAAAAATGGTCAAGCGATCATCCCGCCTTTTCTTCCGGAAAATTAAGAAAATATCGGATTGGAACCACCGCCCAGCAACAAATCTCCGGAGAAGCCCCAAACATGGCCCCCATGTCATTGGAAAGAGGTCCCCAGGACTTGGCTTTGTTGAGGAAACACCAATCCATGATGCACTGCTCCTGGTCCCTCTCCACACAGACCCCCTTGAAGGCGATCACCACCGATCCGCTGACGGGTTCCAGGAAGACCCGCCCAAAAACGCCACCGGGCTTGGGATCGCGATCGTAGTGCCGCAGCCGCTGCCAGCTTCTCCCACCGGCCTGGAAGGCGTCGAGCTGATCCAGCTCTGCATGGTACCAGGGCTGGGTGGTGTTGTAGACCATGTCATTGGCCTTCACCAGAACCTCCATCCCTTGGAGAAAGGAGCCCGGAGGCTCATTCGCCAGAATTTTGCCAAAATCAAAGAAGTCACCTGGACAAGGGTGGAGTCGTCATCCCCAATGTTTTGGCCGTATTGTTCTTGTGGGGTGGGGAAGAATCTATGATGAATCATTCATCAACCAGTGGCTTTTAGGATGTTTCTAATCTTTTGGACCAAGAATTCACCTCCCTGCCGGACTTGGAGTGAGTGCTGCAGCATCTGAAGCCCAGAATTTTCCAAAAGATCAGCTTCCAGAGGATCACTGCACTGTGACGCAGCAGCCAAGGGGAGGAGAATATGGAACATGGTGAACATCGTGGAAAGATCTAAAACGCTTCAGGAAGAAATGATAAATTGCAAGATCTCGCAGCATACATAGCCTAAACTCAGCACAAGTGCCAAGATGTGAAGGAAATCTTATGCTTAAAAGTGCAGACTCTCTTCACACATGTCTTGTTCTTTGGTACTTTTTGTTTGCAAAACATATGACCAAAATGCATCTCTTTTTTGATAACGGAAAGGTTGTGGGGTTCTCAACACTTTCCGCCTTGAACCAGTCAGGTCAGCGGCGGCAAGAAGTGGGAAACATGTCGCGAGTCAACTCTCTTGAGGGGAAAGCAGTGTCAGTGTCTATTGATTTAACTGGAGGTTTCCTAAAATAGGGGTACCCCCAAACCATCCATTTATAGATGGATGTTCCATTATAAACCATCCATTTTGGGGTACCCCCATTTTAGGAAACCCCCAACTATTTAACATATATACATCTTACATGAAACCATGCTGAAATGACCAATGAAAAAATGGGGCATGGCACTGGAGGGAGCTGCCGATCCCGATGTTCCAGCGCCACGTCCGTCCAAAAAAAAAACGCCAGTTCGTGATGGCTAGCGGCAGCCCCTTAAATATATTTCTATCTCCAGCCTGGTGCATTGAACCAGCAATGGATGTGTCCTACCCATTGATGCCCTCGGGCCAAATTGGGCAACTGTGTTCGTCGGATGGCTTTATAATTCAGCCGGTTATGGACACAAAGTGTTTTTACAACCCGGTATTGATGCTTCACTTTTCCCTATGTCAATGATGCTTGGTTGATAATAATGATTTTGCAATCACTATTGTCCCTTCAATGATAACAATTATTGAACTCTACTTAAGAAATAACCCGCAAACCAATACAAATCATGCTTAAATAATCTGACTAATATGGTCTTGAAACCAGTTTTGGTTGCTGAACATGTCCTTTTCCCCTCAGCTGAGCATCGAAGAACTCCTTCGCTTCCTTCTCGCTCAACAGTCGATCGCTCTCCGTCAAGGCTTTGCCGTTGGTCAGGTCCAAGACATGTGGCGTGGTCGGAAACTTGAAGAAACCCATGGGGCCTGGGGAAGGGATGATGGGAAATTTGTTACCATTGGTTTTGAAGGGAGAAGCTGGGTTTTGATAGAATTGTTTGGCATCGGTTTAATGAACGGATATTTGAAGGCAGATGCTAGTGTATATCATGACAGATTGTTGGGGTAAGTGGTCAGACACATGGCATGTCACGGTGAAAACCGGGAAGAACGGGGAAACAAAATGCGGATAGAACCAGCCTTCTGTAGGAAGTCTAAACATTACCACGTCTGTCCCAAACTAAAATACGCTATGGCCTCTGACTCTAGCACATGGGTTTGCCCGAAAGAATGGGCATCCCATTTTTTTGTGCTTTAAAACCTGATTTTCCCCATTCAAATTACCATGAATTGTGGATAATCTGGGTACAGCCCCTTTTCAAACACACCCAAATATCATGTTGGGTGCATCCTGATTAATATCCCCAGTATCCCATTCAAAGCCCATTTGGCTGAATCTCATACCCCGTTTTCAGACACGCCCATATGAATCTACCATGACCTTGAGCATTGCCAATTCCAGCCCGTTCTTTTCAAATCTAACATCCAGAAACTGGGCACGCGGCTCACTTTTGGCGCCTCAGCCCCATAGCATTTCAACAAGTGTTCCGCTTCCTGCCACGACGAACACCACGAAGCAGAGATCCCGAAAAACATGGGTGACATTTTGTGACAAAAAGTTGGTAAGGAGAAGAAAAAAACAAAAATCGGAGGCATCGAAAATCGACCAGGTCATCGTCAGAGAAAAAGTACAGAACGCCCAAATTTGGGGGAAATCCCTGCTGTACTGGGACCTGGAGTTTGGTTTCCAGTTTCTGAAATTTCGCCAAAAAGAGGCCGGGGTCAAACCTTTGTCCAAAAAGAACATTTAGGACCATCTATCATCTATCATAGTAGTTGTTGCATTCATTAAGTGTGTTTCAATTTCTCGTCATTGTTATTGCTGGTTCACCACAGATCACTCCAGATATGGTGAACCAGCAAGTACCGTAGCCAATATCAAAACAGATGATCGCAGGCGAATTTTACATGTGTTCTCTGTTTTAAGCATGTCCAATAAGTTCGTTGTCCTCATTTTTTTGTAATATCACCCATTTGGGAATGGTTTAAGTTTATTCCACCTATGAACATGGTGATGACTGGGGGATGGTACTGTGATTAGACTACTTTTAGTGGGATTATATGGAAAATGACCCATTTATAGTGGATTTACCCATTGAAAATGGGGGTGTTCCATCGTTTATTATTGTTTTACCCACAGTATAAGGGATCACTCATTGTGACGAACAAATTCGCTCCTCGAAGTTATGGATGGTCAAAATTTCCTCGAAGCCTTCGGACAGCGAGGGCAATTCCAACGCCTCCTGATGTGGTTTTTTGGCGGCTGCCGAATAAACAAAAACATGGAATGTACCCCTAATGTTTGCCAATTGTCCATTAAAGCAATGCAATGATTCAACGAGAGAATCCGTCGAAAGACGAAGGATTGATGAGAAGGGGCTCAGATTCTCCGGATTTGGGACATAAAAGTGCATGTTGCTGGAGCACGTATCACCTCGGCAGCTCAAAGATTCTGCTCCACGGTTTCATTTCCATGTTCTTTAAACCAGACCCACGGATCCAATTTTGGTTTGTAAATGGGGTCCCTGTAAAACCCTAGCAGTGGACTGGCAGAGCCTTCATTTGAAATATGTTTTTCGAACAAGGATGTGTTATTCTAAGTATGCACTTATAATCACTATTATCACAAGAGTGGACATATTATGTATGTATGTATATACATATATATATATACATATGGATCTGTCTGAAAATGGTGTATACCCCCAAAAGGTACTTTTAATGGGGAAAATGATGATTAACCAATGGATTTAGAGGTACCCTATATATATATATATATTCACTTTAGAACGCACCACATTCCTTTATTTAACGAACAAGCAATGTCTCCATGAAAAAGGGAAGAGCTACCTACAACGAGATGCCTTAAGAGAAAGTAACCCTTTCACCGCATTCAAATCGACTGCGTTCCTTCGTAGTATTCCCAAAAGAAAACATACGAGGGACCAGCGGGGATCCAACAGTGGCACATGAGCCTTAGAATCTTTAGAAGGTGCCTTCCACCGGAGCACGCGAGTTTTAGATCGCCGGGGGCATTTTGGGAAGTGCAAAAGTACACAAGACGGGATTTCACTGCCGACGAATGTAGGCTTATCTTGTGGCGGCCAGGCACCCATCCTTCTTGCAGCCGGAGGTGAAGCGGTGAAGCACCCCCCCATCTTTACACAACGATTGAATTTTTGGCAACTATATTATCCCCAAAATACTTGGCAACCAATCAAAGCAATTCCCATGGCGTGCCACGCGAAAAATGGGGATCCCCAAGGAAAGGCAAGTGGCAGGAACCCTAAAGGGCGTGAAATGTGGGAAATCCCGCTGAACGAGAAGAACCTATCTTTAAGACAGGTTTAATGCAAAAAAATAAAGGTACATTTAATTGCCAGAGTCTAATGTTGAAATTCCTCCCACATTTCCTATCATGCACTAAACCCAAGAATCAACAATAATTAGTAATAAACCATCCCCAACTATAATATAATATATATATATATACATAAATACATAAATATATACATCTACCAAACATAGCCGGCACAACCCAAGTCCATCCCATCCTGCATGCTACGCACGGCGCTGCGACCACCTCCGAATCGGATGCTGGGATGATCCGTGCGCTTCGCCACGCGCTCCTCGCAGTCCCTGGCGCTCTGCGCGAAGTGAATGCCAACAGCACCTTTGGGACTGAAGGCCAACTTCCTCAGGCAGCAGAATGGCCAGGAAAAAGGCTTGAAAATCTATACCCTCTGGTAAACGTTTACATAACTATTGAAAATCACCATTTTTAATGGGAAAATCTATAGATGGGTTTGTCTGAAAATGTTGTGTACCCCGAAAAACCCAATGGTTTTGCTGATCATTATCCCTACTAAATGGCTATAATTGGGGGTATACCCCATTTTCGGACATACCTAGATTCGAAAAAGAAGATGAAAACTGAATTGGGGATGGGTCAAAACCCTGGTACCTTTTGTTCACCCCAAGTCATAGCTGGGTTAAAATGGATGTGAATAACCCACTATAGTAATAGGTATCTATAGGTATTGACCCATACCCAATTGGCTCAATCCAGGCTTCAGGAAGGAGACGCGATCAGCTTTGCACACCTCAGCACCGTTCAACGGGATCCACCATACGGCTGGGTCACATGGCTGGAAAATCCACCTGGTAACCTGAAGTCAGTTCGAAGTCGCTGATGGCCCTGGTAAAATCATACATACTCCACAAAAGGATGATTTTCGAAGGTGTTAACATATATATACATATATACGTATATACACACAAACATATATACACATATACATATATATATACATATATATATATATGTTTACATATATATATATATATACATATATATACATTTATACATTTATACATGTATACATTTATACATTTATATATAATATATTACGTATATATAATAATTTAATATTATGTGTGTATAATTGAACCCGCAATCGAGGTAGAGTGAGCAGAAAAATCAAACGTTCTGCTTTGGTTGTCAATGGGAATTAGCCTTCCCCGCAACAAAAAATGCAAGGCAACTATCCCCAACCCGGCCCACCAAAATCAGTGCAATTGCATGTGGTCAAAAGAACTTCCCAAAGTTGGCTACAACACCCCCCACTAAAACTCAAACCCATGCCCTCATCAGCCAACAAGGCATGGTCATGAATGGTCGTTTGGCGAGATACGTTGGTGCGGTCCAGAATCAAGCGTTTGTGACTGTCCTGTGGGGCAGCAGGACTCTCACACATGTTTGAGGGTGCATACCAAACATGCCACCATGACCATATGTCTGATGTTGGCTTAGGTATGACGCGGGCATTCCCTGCTTTAGTTTGCACGTGGTCAAGGTACAAATCATCTGCATGGAATGTTGTCCTGGATTCGCATCCTCTGCTTATTATCTCATGGTGTTTGCGCCTTTGTAACTCTTGTATAGAAGCAGGTCCGGCTAAGAAAGTTGATTGATGGAAAGTAAACATGAATATAGACACACAAACATCGGCATACTGCTCACAAACAGCAGAAGAAATTGGAAACATACAATCTCTGAACCTCCCAACGAAGGGAATATGCCGAGTTGCGACACCTTAGTTTCTGCGGATTCTTTCCATCATTTTATTGGGTGGCTGTCGCCTATCATTCATGATCTTGCATCAGGGACCTATTTGGCCATTTGGGCAAGTTTTTTTCAATCCTTCCCAAATCAGAAAAGTCCGCCCATGTCTCAATGGACTGAAGGGACATGTTTATCCATAAATTTTACCCTGAAATATGGCAAAATATCCCTTCATCCTGGGAATGTTGGAACGGGGTCGAGGGGATCGTTCCACAGAGAATTACCAACATATGATCAGTGGAAATGTTCAGGATCCTAAAATGGCAATAAGGTGTGCTGATCTTCCGTTACATGGCCCTAAAAAATCCAAAAAATAGGCCGTTGATACACGGTAGAATATGGTAGAATATGGTAGATACCTCCAATTGAGGTCCCCAAAATGGTCATATGATATCATATGATGTTATGATATGTTATGATCATAATATCATGTGATGCTTCCAATGGTTCATCATGTTTCCGGCCGACCCCCGCAGCTCTATCCGAGCCTTGGCCACTGGACCAATTTGGCGCTCAAATTCGTCCCTGCCCGAGAGCTCGTCCTGGAGGTCAACCAGTGGGGCTCAAAATATTGAAACATAAACCAGACATGATGTTTTTCGTCATCCTGGAGTTGAAATGTCCAAAAAAAACACTAGAATGAATTGGGGAATATGTTTGGAAAAAACACACGTTCTATTTATTTCAGGATGATTAGAAATGAATAATTGGGATATGAATGATATGAATCCCATCCCCATCAGTGGAGTTTCTCAGTTTTTTGGGACCAGCAAAATGAATCCAATGCATTTTTTGGGGGGGTTTTCTTTACTGGGGGTCAAGATTAAAGGGATGGGATTACGCCAATCCAGCAGCTGGCAGTTCGGAGATTGTGGGTGCCGTTCAAGCGTCCAGGACGCTTGGTTTTTTTGCGTCCGTGGTGACCCAGGATGGAGCACTGCCAACAAAGCAACAACTGAATGAGTGATATTGGGATGTCTCTTGAAATCAGGAACCTAAGAAAGGTCTAGACTCCCCCGCGCTGAAAAAAATACACCCCTAGTTCGGGTCTCCAATCTTCGGGAAGTTACCTGTGTGTTGCTTGCGAGAGAGGCTTCATTTTGAATGAGGATGAGGTCTCAGCGCAAATGGTTTTGAAGTTTACAGATCTAAATATCTCATCGTTGCTTTGGCACCAAAAAAATGAACTTTGGTGGATTGAAAAAACGAAGCGTCCCAAACCTCTTCACAATACATCAAACGCGGCAAACAAACATAACTTCTCATCTCGTGCCCAGAATTGTCTCATTTGCTGGAAAAAGATGGATCTTGATCCCCCCAGTCATATGGTTTCATGTTCACAGCTTTCGACCCATCCAAAAAAATCACCATGTTTGCTGCTTGAAGCCGAAAAAAAAAAAACATGAAGTCCCATTAACTCCAATGATCTGATGGTTTAAAACCTCATTTTCTCCATCTTTTCCCCATCACTGCCAGGTGCACCCCTCCTGGCAGACCCTCACGAAGCTTGGGGAGGACTTCACCAACTGCTGCGCAAAGGTGCTCTTACCGGAGCCAGGCAGACCTGACTGATACGTCCCAAGGCACTAAAAATGGCACAGTTTATTGCGAGTATCTTATTGAAGATCGTCAATGAATGTAGAAGTTTAACGGGGGTGGGAAATTTATATTCCCTAGATACCCTTGTTGATCTTCCCAAATGAATGTAAAGTCTAACGTTTGATATCCCCAAGTGTACAGCATAGAAGGGGTGTGGGCGAATCGGGGTGTTTGCGCGTATTACTACTATTAGTCTTATTACTATTATTGGTCTTACTACTAGTCTTAGTATTACTACTATTATTAGTATTACTATTCTTAGTATATGACTACGTGTTATTAGTTTTACTATTACTATTCTTAGTATTACTATTACCCTCTGGTAATTTAACATACGAGCGTGACCCAGTAGCTATTGAAAATTGCCATTTAGTTCGTTGATTCATTCAACTGGCAATTTTCCATAGTTATGTTAGTTTACCAGAGAGTATTAGTATTACTATTACTATGATCATCAGCCACAATAGGAAAATGCACTAACCAACCGTTGTATAATGAGATGGGGGAGAAATGGTAATGGCTGCATTTTTCATCGAGCACAAGCTACGAAAAACCATGGGTTCCCAACCAGGTCTTCCTGGTCAGTAATAGTTGGCTGAAGCCAACATCCAACAACTCGTGGTGATGAAAACGTCCCAACTCGAAATACCCCCAAAAAAAAGCACCCATAAAAAGAAGAATCAGAGCTAGCGGTTTTTTCATAAAGCCCCAAAAAAAACCCAAGCCCTCCAGCTGGAAGCTTTGGCCAAAGGGACCCACCAACATCAGTAGATTGGGCTTGGGCACTTTAGGCTTCCATGTGAAGTCGGGTCCCTCAAAAGCCTGTGCTCAGGAAGTCAGAAACCATTCCATTTATTGATGGCAATTGGATGTACTTGGGATGACTTTGATGTCAGAATTGGACTAATTTTATCTAATTTTGATTGATTTCTGATTGGCTGAGTGCCTCAGAGACATGCAAAGACACATGTAAGATTGCATCGGAATTCCAAGTGCCACGTAGGCGAGCAGCTGAGCTTCAAATCGCCAAAGAATTTTTTTTTTTTTCTGTAAAAGTTGGTGAAATCCTTTGGGTTCACATTTCACACAGCAGACACAGCGATTTTTGATCTCCTGGACTTCCACCGATTCCACCCCTCTCCTGCACCTTCTCAGGCTCTGCAGGCTCTGCAGGCTCTGCTGCCTCGCTGTCCCTCTCCACCTCGACGCCTTTGCTGGGCTTCTCTGGCATCTTCTGGAGCTCTTGCCTTTCAAGAGGAATCCCATCCCGTTCCAAAAATCGTTTTCTGAGACCCCCATTCTCTGGTCACGGTGTAAATCCATGGATTTACCCCCCTATGAAACCATTTCGCTGAAACGAATGCACTGAAACATTAAAACCAGAATTGTGGGTGGTCACTGGATGAAATTTAGAGGCAAGGATGGTTTCTTGCCATCAAATATGACGGCTTCTCAGTTTCCCATCACATCATATAATATAATATAACATAACATAATACAATACAATACAATATAATATGAGATAATAGAATAGAATAGAATATTTTAAAAGAATAGAATAGAATAGAATATAATAGAATACAATACAATACAATATTAATATATATATATAATATTATATCCATCTTTAGAATGCCCATGTTTTGTGGAAAATCCTTCCCCTAATCCCATCATTTCTTTTCTCCAAGCAGCAAGAGGGCGCCGTCCTCCGGACATGGGTCCAAGCCCTGCGAGGCAATGGGAGATGAAAAATGCTGTGTATGTATTATATAACATGTATATATATATATTATGTATTATATGTATTATATGTATTATATGTAGTATATGTAGTATATGTATCATATGTAGTATATGTATTATATGATATGATATATACATATACACATGTACGTAGTACTGTGTATATATATATATATATACATACATATACACTGTATAGATATTTCCAGGTGGAGAATCGTTGGGCTTAAGCCCATGGGGATGGATCACATCTGGGGATGTGATCAGCAAAGTACCATCTGGTTATGACTAACATAGCGAACTGGAAAATCACCGTATTTTTCATAGGTAAACCCAGGTAAACCGTCTATTTCTATGGGCCATCTATACCATGGCGAACTGTTAGTCATAACCAGAGGGTAATAGGAAGAAAGGAAAACAAAAACTGTCTCACAGGCACAGTCAATCTTCCCAGGTCATCCGGGCCTGAAAATCTAGGGCTTTTAAGGCCCGTTTAACATGCTGGCCTAAACTCTAAACCTCTAATTTGCCTTATGAAACTGCCATGACTTGGGTGGTATACCGTAATACCACAGAAAAATCTCATATGAGTCTCATATCAAGTTGGCTATACATATTATATATATACACATATTATATATATATATACATACTATATATATACATACTATATATATATACATACTATATATATATATACATATTATATATATACGTACATATGTCCATCCTATCTCCATTGTTGTTGGTTGAAACCCAGATTTCCAGCATCATCCCATCGCCTGCAGCAGTGCTTCTCGCGCGTCAGAGGCGGAGCCCAAGAGGCGCAAGGCACGCGCAAGACCCAGGTAGCCACGGGGGAAGTCGGGCCTGGAAAGCCCAAAACCCATAGGATTTCATGGGAAATTCGGATATTACCAGTATAGCAAACCCCAAAAAAGGTTAGATAAGGATTTAGTGGGAACTTGCAAAACGTTGTGGGAACTTGCTATAGCATTATTCATGTACCACTATTTTTGGTAGGATTTGACTGTTCTATCTTTTCTGGGGATTTACCAGTACATTGACATGGCTATGGAAATGAATGGGTGTCCGTTGGAAATGATCCACAACTGATGGATGTTCCACATCTATGTGCTAGTTTACTGGAGGGTATGAGATCATTAACGCAAGAAAAAATATGGGGATTCGTACGTCATATCTCATGATGGGTAAGTTGGTTGACTTCACTAGGCTAACGATTGGATTCATGGTGGATACATGTTACAGTTACAGTTGGATGGGTGAGCATCCACCATTTTGTAGCTGAGAGCGGAGCTAAGTTGGTGGTATCAAATGTATGTCAGGTCTATGTAAAGCCTTTGTATGCGCATATCATTCCTCCAAAACACGGCCCTCCATGACGCAGTAATGGCCCTGGCCCATGTACAACCACCATCCCCCATTTCGGCATCAGCCTCGCCTCAACTTGGCAGCCGCCCAGAAAAGCTGCACTGCTTTCTGAAGCTCCTGAAGTCATCCCACGATTCCATGGGGATTCCATCTGGGATTCTCATGGGGATTCCTGAAGATATGTCGATTGGGTAGATAACTGGGTAGTATGACCCCATAATTCATCAGCCAACTGGGGAACCAAAAAGAAAACTGCCCGAGTCAATCCACAAAATGCATCGTTTTCGAGCTTCAAGAGTAGGACCCTCTTCGAAAAGTGGTCTGCAACTCAAGACCACAAGATTCGGGCACCTAATTTGATGAACCATTTTTATATAGATGGATAGGTAGATAGATACATAGATAGATGATAGATGGATACACAGAGATAGATTTTTTGGGGTCCTAATGATTTCCGTTGCCAGGCCTCCTCGTAGTTTCCCTGCTTTTTCTGCCCTTTGTTCAGTGCATCAGCGCCAGCTTTGGCCTTCTCCTATAGCTGTTGGACTGCGATGTCAGGATGCTTCGCTCTGTTGGGGTTCCTTACTATATACTCCGGATTTTTCAATGTATAGTTCGCATTCAAACCCGTATTCAACCAGATTTGTATAGGAGAATCCCCCCCATTCCAGACTGAGTATCCCCAATGAAATTGGTCAACCCAGCAATGAAACATCCGTGTTTTCCCAATTTCATTGCTTATCCTCAAAAAAACACACCAAAATCCAACAACTGTTCACCATACATGAGGTAGAAGCCATACAATTCCAATTCCCAAAACGTCACACCTCCCGCCTGCCAACTGGCCATCAGTTCGGCTGAGTACTTTGAGGCCCCGGGGCCATACAACGCGCTGCAGGCCCTGTCCAGCTGGGGCGGTGCCTGTGCCGCACTGTCGCGCAGCAAGCGCAGCACTTGCTGACGCTGCGAGGGGAAGAGGATCACGCAGCTGGCGCCATCCTTGGTCTCCTCGTAGAAAAATTGTTTGGAAGATATGGATCAGATTTGATTGGTTTCCTCAAAAAGTGCAGATTTAGTTTGACTTCGACCAAACATCGGGGGATATCGTGATATATCATATACATATACACCCTGGGTTGATGGTCTCCTTGGTCAGCGGGCTATAAGCTGCCCATGGGGCCATGCTACCAGGCCCTCCCTGGCCCCTCCTGGTAACCCTCGGCGCAGAACACGGGCTGCTGCCGCACGTCGTGGTACAGCTGCACCCGCGCCATGGCTTCTGCCGCCGGCAGCGCGTAGAGCTTCGCCAGTAGCAGGGCGCAAATGGTGCCTGAACTGCTGGGAAATCAGGGAACCTACATGGTTGGCTTTGTTTTCAAGGGAAATTCTACAGGAATACATGGTGCTCACCATTGAAATCTATGGGAATACATGGTTTTGAACGTTGAAATAGTGGTATTCACTGGATTACTTGTCAAGGAAAAATTAAAGCAAATTTCAGCTAAAGCTGGGTTTCTATGAAATTCGGGTACCCGTAAAACACTTTAAGGACTGTGGTTTATCATAATGTTCCCTATTGGGAATTGCAATTTTGGAGGTATCATTTTCAGGCACGCCCAAATATCATATCAAATTGGTGAAAAAGGGTTATCCCCCAAACTCAATATCATATTATACAATTTTATCCCACTATATGATTGATATAAACATGCAAAATATAAACCACATATAAAAATATCATATCTCATAAAAACATTACACCATATGTAAACAATACTGTATATAAACCATATAAAAACCATATATAAATCATATTATAAGCCACATGAACCCCCACGTTTTCAGGTCGCCCTTCTCCGTCCAACTACCCGAAAACCGGGCCCAGGCGCCAGTCCGTCCGTGCCCCCCACGGCAGTGGACGTAGAGCACCTCGCTCTGTAGGCGTTCCAACAGCTGCTCCACTAGCTGGGAGATCACATCGTCATCGGCGACCTGATTTCGATGCGGATTTTGAGCGGGGAGCTCACCACAAGGATTTCATGGGAATATAATGAAAGATAGAACCAGCAGTATACAATATATACAAATAATATATCATATATAATATATAATATAAAATATAATATAATATATAATATAATATAATATAATATAATATAACAGAATAGAATAGAATATAATATAATATATATATATATGTATTATGGAGATTAATATAATATAATATAATATATATATATATATGTATTATGGAGATTAATATAATATAATATAATATAATATAATATATAATATAATATATAATATAATATAATATATAATATAATATATAATATAATATATAATATAATATAATATATAATATAATATATAATATAATATATAATATATAATATAATATATAATATAATATATAATATATAATATAATATAATATATAATATAATATAATATATAATATATAATATATAATATAATATATAATATATAATATAATATATAATATATAATATAATATAATATATAATATATAATATAATATAATATATAATATATAATATATAATATAGTATAATATATAATATAATATAATATAATATATAATATAATATATCATATAATATATAATATAATATAATATATATGTATTATGGAGATTAATATATATGTATTATGGAGATTAATATAATATAATATAATATAATTTAATATAATATAATATAAATATAATATATATATATGTGTATTATGGAGATTAATATAACTAATTTCATGATAGCTAAGTTGACGCGGGTGCCCAGAAATAAATTCAGAAATTGCGATATGTGTTCGAGCAAAAACTATGAATTCTACTGAATTGACCAACCGACATGGGGATTGGGATTGGAACCAACAAAATGTAGGCATGTAAAACCCAAATCGGGGACACTACGGGAGATTGCAATGTTTAACGATGAAGACGAGAATATGTCAAGGAATTTCTTGAGGTTGTCCCTAAATTGAAAAAAGTTGAGAAGAAAGGGGAAAAAAAACGCAGGTGGAGCCAGGGCAAAAAAAACTGAAAGCTTGAGACCCACGGTGGGTCGTTTTTGGGATGAAGCCTTTCGTTTTTTAGGGGTGTCCAAGTTTGAGGAGAACTTTCCACAGTCAGAAATGGATGTGAAACATTGTGAAACCATATTCTTCAGCTCGTTATTTTTAGTATCAAATTCATCTGTTCTTCTTCTTGCATTTGTAAGTTATCTGGGGGTGTGATTTGCTCCATGCCAGTGCCATATCTGGTGTTCCCTGCCTGAAACATCCTACTCCACCAATCACATCCTTCATAGCGCATTCATACCACACTTGAGAACTGGCCGATGATACTGCTCTTTCCATCCCCACAAGGTGATGTCTCACTATTTATAAGTTATAAACCCATCTATTATGATATATCATGATATATCTACCAGAAACCCAAAGTGAATCTACTAATCAACCTTAACTTAGCTAACAAACCTAGGGAACCACCAGCAACTTTTTGCTGCTCCCGACTGCTCCCAACCATCCTCAGGGGAAATCCCCCCCAGCCTCCTGGTCCGGGATGGGTTGCTCCATGAAGGAACAGCCTGCGTTCAGCGCCCGTGCGCGCTTCTTATAGTCCACTGCCGCACTCGTCTCCTGCCTGGACTGCAGATTGACCTCACGGAAATCGGAAAATGCCTGGGACTCTGGGACTCTGGGACCCAAGCCCGCCAGGTCAGAGAAAAATGAGGGAATCAAAAAGGGTGGATGTGGATCACCCATGAATCATGGATGGATCAATGGATCAATGTTCAAAGGAAAAATGGCGGTTGAAAGCCCCATATTTTGATGGCGAAAACCAATCCATTGACTGTTGGAGTTCGGGGAAATACCTCCAAGTCTTGGGACCCCAAGAAGAATAGATCCTATACTAGACATACTAGGATTTATTGGGGAAGGGATTACAGTACCAGGCTTAATCAAAACAAGGTGAGATGTCCTGTTTGAACATCACCTAACAACCACCAACCAACTCAAGGTGATGTGTTTGAAGTCTCCAAAAATGGGACCATCACGCATGCAATTGCGGGAGATTACAGTCCCTTCAAAAAACGCTTCGACTCGCAATGTGACTTGGGACACACTACCCCAACTCTTGACCTAAAATCCAACGTAGTTTCCTGGGAGTGGCATGCTGACCGCTGCTGACCAGGCACGATGCAGGTGACACCTGCTTTCAAAATCGCTTTGAGCGTCTCCTCTGAATCCAAACTGCTTCGATCACCCGCCATCAGCCTCAGCCATCTGAACATGGCTCGCTGTGGGTCAAAAATGGGGAGACATTAAAAAACCAGCGGCTTAGGGGATTAAATCATTTAAATCCATGAAACCGGGTAATCCATTCAATCCCCCGGAGCCTTTTTGGAGATTCAATCGGTTAAATTCATTAGGTCAATCCATCCATTTAATCCTTTTAATTCAATCATCCAGAACTCTCAGAATCCAGCAAAAGAAAATAGTACCTCAAGGTCCCTAAAATGAGACAGCTCAGATGAGAAGAACCTACAGTAACAAGAAGTGTCGCTGTGACTGAATCGGCTCGAGACACGTGGAGCCACGGAATTACGGGTCCTTTGTTCTTCTAGAATAACTATGCCCTCTTGGGGCGAGGGTGGGCAATGTCCGATACTCATGCCATCTTGGTCACCCAGTGACCTGCAAAGAGGAACCAGTGAGAAAACGCCTGGAATTAACCCACTTAAACTCCTAGCATTCCCAATGTGGTAGTTGTTGCATTCACGAACCATGCGTGAGATAAACTGCTGGCAGCCCGACTGGAACCGGAAGCCAGGAATTTAGTTTCCACCAAAGTTCATTGAGCGGACCAGGTGTTTCAGGTTCCGCATCTTTGTCACATTCGCACTGCTGTTACTGTTGTTTACCGCCCACTTCTCTTCCCTCTATTCGACTCTATCCCAACATATCCCAACTATTGTCGGTTACTAAGTTACATCCCAAATATCCAAATATTATATGGGTAGTTTCCTCTTTAAATCTACTGTATCATAATTATGTGCTGCATAGCTAATATCCCCAAATCCAGTTGCTGATATATCCTCAGTTCTCTCTCTCTCTCTCTGTGGTAGTCCAATTGTGTTGCATATACCCCGGTATTCCCCAGTCGTGTTGCTTACCCAGATACTATCCCCACATCTTTCTTTGCTCTGCAGTTACATCCCCGTTTTTCTTGATGACCTTGCCGTTTTTCCCCAGTCCTGCCCACCATTACAAGGTCATCAAGGAAAGAAGATGACCAATGAAAATATTCTTGGATATATGAGACATTATGAGACTGTAGCTCAGAATTCCCTAAACTCCCCAAAAACGATCGTAATGCTTATCTTTCTCCTGAAGTCACCGAAGATGTGGCTCCGTGGCTTCCCACAGCTCGAGGAACCGGCCAGGCACCACCCAATTGGAGCGCTTCGTCGGGCCCCGAAAGGCGGGAATCAGCGCATCGCGGCTGGAGCTTTTCGGCGGCAACGCTGGCAGCTCCATCGGAACCACGACACCGTGCACGGGGAGAGTGGGACACGTGGGACACGTGGACCGCGGCGTTTTTCGGCCCTGGGGAGTCCCTGAAAATCTTCCTGAAACATCTTGGAAATGGCGGTTTTTGTTCCGACAAGTCCTCCGTGAGATGGTACTTCCTTCCGAAAATGCGTTGGAAAGATTGGAATGAAAGGGATGAACTCAAGAAAAATCTGAAAGACCTGCTACCCAAAGGATGTCTCTGGAAACTTGTGGGCACAGTGGCCGACTGGCGGCGCGGCAGCGGGCGTTTTCTTGCAGGACTATGACAGGCTGAGATGTCGAATTTGAGCAACTTCAATCTTTCTGGGGAAGGTCAGAACCAAAAAAGGAGGATTACGCGGAGATAGGCATCGTCAGTGATTTTTCCACCGGGCTGGTTTAAAGGGAAAATTAAGAGCATATCATGGTGTTCACCCATCAAATATTGGGGTTCCTGCAAAGTTTCGCTTGAACCAAGTCAGACCCCATCGGAGATGAGAATGTTAGAATGTTGATCGGTAGAAATGGAAATGCAACAACTAGAATAAAGAGTTTTTATTGTTTGGAATCTAAAACCTACGTAAGATAAGCTACAAAAATGGTCAAATGATCTGTATTGTCAGCGACGTACCGTGCATGCATCATACAACCCGACAATTTCACCTGAGCAACGCCCAAAACCTTTTGTCGCGCCTTTTGTGATCCGGCACTGGCAGTTAGCTGTTGCGGACTGCCAGTTGCGTGAACCATAGCTATGCGCTATCTCTGGCTTTGCCAGAACCTATGGAGCCCATGCTCCTTGGGCGCCCTCTGGACGGGCCGCACTGCTTCTGCTGGGCCGCATTGGTGCAGCGCTGCCATTTTTGTAATCCTGCTGTTTCCAAAAGTGGCGTCCAACCAGAGACGAACGGCGTCTGCGGAGGCTTCCGTGATTCTGCACAGGATGCCCATAGTCCAGCAGTGAAATCTCGGATTGGATGGTCTCCCGTCTACTGGCTTGTAGTTGGGATAATGGAGCCTGAGGAGGTTCAGCAAATACGCTGCCCATGATCTCAGCATCTGCTTGCCGTTGTACTCCTGCAACTGCGGGTGCATTCTCCATGTGTTATGGCTTGAAGTACTCTCAGGACCCCACTCGCCCGAGTGTAGTTGATAGGGGACCAGGAGCTCGAACCAGCTCATCCACCTCGGGGCTGCATTGGGGCATTGCAGGTCTCCCATCCATTGCAAGATGGTCAGCCATTTTTGAAACCTTAGATTTTCAGGAGCTTCCACCCTGGCGGTGTCGGCCACTGCTTTCCAATCCAGGATCATTGTATCTGGAAGTCGGTACACTGTGGGGGTCACGGGGCTTGGTGCTACGACTGAGAGTTGAGCCACTCTAACCATGTGTGCATGCACGTGCTGGACTACCTGCTGTGCCATGGTGACTGCCTTGGATGCTTTTTGTTGGGCATCGCGCACATGAGCTGGCAATTGTTCCAGCGCCCATGAGGCTTGTAGGTCCGCTGTGTCATTGGCTGAACATGCCCACTGGAGCCAAGCTTCCTCACCTGCATAGGTTTGATGCGACTTGATGTGATGCAGACTGCATATCTGAGGAGACGGAATGATCTGTTGTACAATCATCCACAAGTCATGGTCTGTGCATGTTGATGTGACCTCAAAAGTTCCCTGCTGGATGCGCCTGGCACGCTTCACAATGACTTCGCAGTCGCTCCAGATGGCAAAGGTGGCTGCTGTGGACACACCATAACAAAGTGCTGATACAAAGGCCATCAGTTCGGCCCTCATTACCGTCTGCCATTGGCCTCGCACTCCTCCCCACGCCAAGGGTATGTGTGGGGATTGAGGGTCAATCCCTGCAAGGACCACTGCCCATGCGACCAATCTGGTTTGGGGCTGCTTGGGATCCAGGCCAGTGCCATCACAGAAGAGGTCCAGATGCGCCTGCTTCCACGCGTGCACATAGTTGCACATTCTATCTGGGATGTCTTTCAGGCTCATTTTGAACTCTCTCACTTCCCATGGCTCTGGCATCCATCCATGTTCTCGCAAGCATGGGTCCATAGTGTCAATTTTCTCTTGGACTGGACCCGGGATGAGTGCTCTACTTTGCGCCGTGGCAGGGCATTGCCAGTGCCTGTGTTCGACTGAGTCCTCGGCCGAGCACCGAGTGCAAAGGGATGAATCTGTGAAGCCAGAGTGCTTCAGGCAATCTGCTGTGTAGAATGCTCCTGTCTGTGCAACTTGAAGGAACCCTACTGCATCCGGCGCGTGCTTGGTCGTGTCAATTTTGGATAAATGAGTGCACACAAACCTGAGGCCCTTGAAGCCCTTCCTGTGTTCCCACCTTCTTCCGACCGCGTGCTGCCATGCCCTTGTCAAACGGGCTTTCAACTCCTGTCTGGGGGTGTGCAAGATGTGTAATGTGCCTCCTTCTCCATCTCGGAAGATGCCATTGGCGGCATATGTCCAGCATACCTGCTCCAAGCGTGTGATGAGCACACCTCCCGGGCCTGGTTTGCGCTTTCTGGGTGGCGTGACTGCGGCTTGGTGCAATGTGAGGTCCAAGAGGTCCTCAGTGATGTGTCGCCTGAATTGGGAAACTGCATTCCACAGGGCAAAGAATTCTGGGTCTGAACTGGCTGTAGCTACTAGGGACAGGAAATTTGGGCGTTGGCTCCTGACTTTTGCATGCCTAGAGCCTTGAAGGCACCTGCCCTCGCTTCATCAAAATGCGCAGGCCCGATGTGTACAATGGATCCTGAGTACAATGTTCTGGGCCATGCCACCACCCTGAGCACCTTGAGTTTCTGAACTTGTGGGGCATGGCTTCTAGCTAGCTTGTGCCAAAGCTCTGGTAATTGGCGAAACTTTGCTAGGACTGTTCCATTGGTTTGGTTGGCTGTGTATTGCATGTGAGCTCCAAGGTCTCTTGCTGCCTTGACTGGGATGTCTTGTTGGGCACGCAGGTGGGCCCTGCCGGTTGCATCACATGCCCAATGATAGGTCTTGTTGACATCGAGCTGCACATCAAGCAATTCACAAAACCCATGGAGGGAAGCTAGGGCTTGGGTGGTTTGTTCCACGGTGGCCGCTTGCAGCTCATAGTTGTCCACGTATGTGGTGAAGACAGTGCAAGGGTGCTGATATTGCATGTAAGCATGGACCAGTGCATTGATTAGAACCATGCCTACCACACTCATGCCACATCCTTCAACAAACCCTGTGGTTGAGGTAACCTGAGCTGATGGACAGTCACGCACCACGAAATGTCGCTGCAAAAGCACCGTGGAGGATGCCCATGCCCTCACGATGTCCGGGTGCACTCCCAACGCCAGGGCCGCCTGGAACGTCACCGTGCGCGGCAGGTGGTTGAATGCTTTGCACAAGTCTGATACCGCTCCTGTCAATGGCTCTCCTGCATACATGGCTTGTTCGATCCGGTGCTGAAGTGTCCACCACAACCCGATGGCCTGTTTGCCAGGGACGTTACCTAACAAGGTTGGCGGCAGAACCTTTGCTAAGTGTTGAAGGACCTCTTTTGCTCGGAGGGATGAGTATGTACGATATGCGCATGGCATTATCGTTATCGGCCTGTACTGGGACACCTTCTCTGCATTTGCTGTTTTCTCCAATGCATGCACTGCTCCTTGAAGTAATTGCTTGGGCCATCGCCCGGAGCGTTCTGCACCTGTGAAGATGTCCAGCAACTGTTCATGCAGAACATGGGGGAATGCAAGGAGATCTCTGCGTGCCAGTGCGTCCAATCCTGTCGCTGCGGTGGCTTTCTTGGATTGGAGAGCACGCTTCCATTTCTCGACTGAGAGAGGGGCCAGCTCCATCGGCTCTGCATGTAGGAGGTTTTGGGTTAACCCTATGACCTCCTCCCAGTGGTCGGCCGGCAAATGCCTGTGCCGGTCCCATCGCTTGGTCCATTCCTGGAGGAATGCATTGTGGATTTCTTGGACCCGGCCTTGCAACTCAACGATGGCTACCTCGTCACCGGGGACGAGCGAGTGCGGAGATGTGAACCAGATCTGGTTAGCCTCGATATGTATCACCTCCATCGGCCCTGCCCGAGTCTCCAGGACCGAGGCCTCCTGGATTGGTGTGGAATCTGCCACCTCGACTGATCCCTCATCTACGATCGCTGTAACCTGAGTGGAGGCCTTGGCGACTAACATGCTGACTGGCACCGGCATGGGTCTTCTCACATCCTTGAACACTCGGTTGGTATCTGCGATCCTGGATTGTCTGGCTTGGGCGACTCGCTGTTTGATGATGCTGGTTTCCATGGCATTCAGGATTGCATAGAAGTGGTCACTGATATGCTTGGCCGTGTCGGCATCAGGTGGGCCAAATGGGAGCCATGGGATGAGGTTGGGATGATCACTGGCTTGTTCGCTCCACCATTGGGGAAACCCTCCGGTAAATCCCAGTGCATTTCTTATAGCTCTCCACAAGGCAGCTCTGTGCTCGGTCGCATTGGGTGATTGGCTTCCTTTGGCGACATGCTTTGCATAGCTTTGGAGCCTTCGACACTGGGTAATCCAACGGCTGTGCAGTAATGACCATGTGTGGATGGATGGGTGAAAATCCCCTTGCCTTGCTGGTTTGACCGGTGCTATTACCTGCCGATGGAAAGTCCGGTGCAACGTGTGGCCCCTGCCTTTTTGGCTTGGCTGGAGACCAATCTTTCCTTTTGCTCTGAGGCATTCATGGACATGTTGTTCAAAGCGCTGGCAAATAGCTTTGTATTGCTCTGTTGGGTCTTCCCGTTCTGGTGCTCGGGAGCAAGGCGTGGATGCAATTGCTTTGGGGTCGAGCTGGCTGTAGTCGATAGGTGCGGGTCTAGCCCATTTGGGGAGTGGCTCAGGGGCACTTGGGTTTACAAACGTCCCCATGAGGGTTGAATGGTCTGGCCATCGGTCAAAGGTGTTGGAGCAATTGGACATCAGTCTTTGCAACTCAGGGGATAGGTATACGAAATCCTTACGGGATGTGAACTGGCATGTCACTCCTGGGCTGATGCCATATCGTTCTGCTGCCCATGTTTGGACATCTCTCCACCCTTGCTGCTCCCATCTGATGGTTTCCGAGAGCACCCCTTGAGCCTGGTTAAAGTCTCCTGCGATGAATGCTGGGCCTTTGAAACCGTGCATCACCTGCCTGGCAACTTCTTGAAGAAGAGTATTGGTGTGCTCCTGAACTGTGGGCGATTCCGCATCTTTGGCATAGCCATAGCACACGCCTCCCGCAATCCAGGTGTTTTGGACCATGAACACCGCAGCGTGGATTCTGCTGGTCTGGTACAGTTCTTCATTCCAGCCACTTGTGATTGGTCTCGTGGGGAAATCTGTGAGGAATGCAACTCCTGTATGCTTACCCCCCACAGCCTGAATCGAATCCTTCTTCAGGGGGGCTCGGTACCCTGGGTACAGTTTGAGGGGAGATTTTGCATGGAACAGTTCCTCTCGGAACCTTGCTTGTCCTCGGGCTGACAAGTGAGTTTCGGATATTGCATATATTCCTCCTGGCATATCGCCAAACTGTTTGGCCTTCCCTGAGAGACCGGTGGGATTGACTGCTGCAATGACCCAATCACCTGTTTGTGGTGGCCCTGGGCCTGGTTTGGATGCTTCACCTAGCCTGTGCAAATGAAGGAATGACCTACTTCCTTCCTGTTGAAGGGGCGTCAGCAACTGCTCGCGGCGCTTCGCCTTTCTTTGCAGCAGCTCAATTCGGTCCTCCTCCATGTCTTCCGTGTCTGTGACTTGGGAATCCACTACTAGCACCTGGCTTGGGTTTGGCATGGACCACAGGTTGTGCTCTTCCACCAAGAATCCAAAGCAAGAGAAGAATTGGGGTTCTAGTCCTTGATAGCATGCCATAGCAATGCATCTTGTTGGAGTATCTTCGTGCTCATCATTGGGAGGTGGGAGAATTACTCGGAGGTATTCCCCGTCATGAATAATCAACTGTGCGGGTGCATCCAAATTGCATGTGCGTCCACCTACTTGCAAGAAGCAAGGTCGATGTGCATATCTACAATATGGCATCAGGTGCATTGATTCCAGGAATTCGTGGTTAGTCAATGTCTGGGGAAGGAACATTGCGGAGCGTATGATCTCGGCATCCCAGCTTGGGGCTGGGGGGAAATTCTACATCGATGAGTGCCATGCGAAGTTCACCCGGCGGTGGGTCTTCATGATATCGTGCAAGCATCCCTCCCATGCCTGACTGATGGAGATCCTCAGGTGTCGGATTGACCTCATACCTGGCACTGAGTTGAGCCGTAGTCCATTGGAGTGCAGTGGCACACTGATAGTGTTGCAAAGGGCTGCTTACCATGTTGAGAGACCGCTGAGTGGGTGGCTGATGAACTGTGTAAATGTAGAAATCTTTCCACCTTGGATCATCTTCACTGGATGAGGACTCAGCTTCTTCTTCTGGATCTTGTTCATCATCCGTCTGAACTGCAATGTTCCGGTCATTGGCCAAGTTCGAGTTGTACCCTCGGGTGACTTGGGGGCCAACTGCCATGAATGATACAATTTCGTTGTCCAACATGGTCTGGGCCTCCTCTTTCCTGACGGACCTCTGCCGTGTGGGTGGGCATCCCCTTGGCCCCGAGGCAGAAAGACTTTGGTCTGGCAGGGCATTCTGGTATTCCGGAGTTGCCCTGATTCCGGATTTATGGGCCCTTGGGACTAGCTTAGGGTCACCTAGATTGGGTCCTACAAATTCCTGATCTGCACATGTGGACTGGTCCCTCAGCTCGGCTTGTGCCTGGCAGTGAGCTTCTGGCGCCTGTTGAGGCGTTGGCTGCATGGTGGCATCTCGGGAGTGTGCGTGAGCTACACTTACTGCGTCAGGGGTCTGTGTGGCGTTTGTTGAGAGACCACCAATGTGACCCTCTTCCCCGACAATCCTTCCCTGCATGGAACTTGGTCCTACCCCCATGATAACTGCAGTGGGATGATGATAGTGCGAAACCTGAGTCAGCATTGCACTACCTGGGACACCGACGTCTTGGAGTTCTGGCTGTACAGAGGACCGGACAAAGACCGACTGGCTGGCGACTTGCGGATCAGCTGGACCCAACAGGTGGGGGCCTAGCCCTTGTGAGGGTCCTTGCGTCCCTCTCGCTGGCTGTTTCACCACTGTTTTGTCGGGTTTTGGCGTCCCGCTCGCTGGCTGTTTGATGCCTTTCTTGTCGGGTTCTAGCGGCCCGCTCGCTGGCTGTTTGTGGGTCAACCCGCTTCTCTTTTCTTCTAGGTCTTTGCGTCCTGTCCGCTGGCTGTTTCGACTTTCTTGTGATTCCCTTTCCCTGACTGCGATCTGAACATCATGAATGGCGGGGAGGGGGATCAATTGGGAGTGGGCTTGATGTAAGCCTGCATCTATCGCTCAACCCACCCAATGCTTGGGTGTCATGGTGATAGGTTGGGTCTGGCTGCAAACACGACCTCGACCTTGCCTCCTCCGTGGGTAGACTCAGGGGTTCCTCCTCATGGCTTTTCGGATGATGATGCACAATGTAGGCCTGGAGTCCCACCGACGGAGAAATCCGGGTCTGCGGTGGCCTTTGGTGCTCTACGCTGAGCAGGGCATTCTGGTTTCCCGGAGTGGCCCTGATTCCGGGTGCTTGGTTGGGGTCCATGAGGTGATAGTCCTCCTTACCTGGCCATGTAGACCCTGGGGTTCCCTGGAGTGCCCGAGTGCTCTCAGGCTTTTCCCCCCTCACGAGGGCATTACGGTCCTCCGGAGTTGCCCTCATTCCGGATTCACTTGGCTGGACTGCAAGGTTTACCGAGGATCTATGGCTACCTACGACTTGTCCATTGGGTACATCAACTACTTGGTCTGGCCCTTGTGAATTACAACATTCAGAAAGCACTGCGGTGCCAGATCGTGGAAGATCCTTGTGGGCACATGTCAATGGCTGACTTCGGATGCTGTTGTGACAAAACTGGTCATCTGTACTACTGTGCTCTGACTGGTGAGACAAGACCATGCATGCTTCGATTGCGGGTCCATTCCTGCCTGAACACAGCTCTTGTGAAACTGGAAAAATGGAGTGAGACTGTGGACGATTCCATACTTTTGTCATACTAGCAAACGTTGTATCCCCTACCTGCGATTCGGCCACAAACTTCTGGTTGACTGGAGGGACCTGGATGCTAGTGAACTGAGCCACGTGTGGCTCCATGACATTGAATTCACTGCCGGCTCTGACGATTGTCCCGGGAATGCACGTGGACTCGAAAAGGCTATGCCCTTCTGGCTTGGGCATGCTACTGATGGGGCAAAATGCCGCCTTGGAGGTGCCAAATTCAATGTGAGACTGGCTGCAAAACTGGTAGTTTGGCTTACAGATCGATCCTACTTCACCAAACTCAACTTCTGACAGGGCATTCTGGTCAACCGGAGTGGCCCTGATTCCGGTGGGTGTGAACTTGTGGGGCTGCGGCAAAACTGGGGCACGATTGGCTTCTTCTGCATCTTGTGTGTGGAGGATCAACACATCCGACTGCAGGCACTGGCTTGTGCTGTCCGCAAAAGTCAAAACTGGGCCACTGAAGCTCTCTGACGGCATCACTGGCTGAGCGCTGGAGATGATCATTGTACCAAACATGAGCAGCAATTTGAATACGGGTGTCATGGAGCACTTCGGCCTCCACCACCCGCGCTGTCATTCCTGAGAACGCGGCCGCTTGGTCATGAGCATCTCTATGCGATGCATTTGTTCAGACAGTTTGGAATCAAGGGATGATTCGAACTGTTTGGTCTGGCGCTCGACCTGTTGATGAAGGAAGTCGACCTTTCCATCCAACTGGACTGACCTCTGTTGGAGCTGGGCCACTTGTTGTTCCAACGCCTGCAAACGTGGCTCCATGGTCGGCTGCATGCTTTCATCCCTGTCAATGCTTTGATGCTCGAGCTTCTGGGCGATTTTCTGATCAATGGTGGCTTCGAGGGAAGTCCAGCTTGTGGAGGCAGCTTCACTCGAGCGCGTCAGTTGCTTTGCGGATGCAGCCCACGGGTCATTTATGAAAACATCATCCTGGGCATGTGCGCGGATCTCCTTGGAGGATGCCTGAGCCTGGGGTGGTCTCCATACCTCTTTGTTGCTTGGAGGCTTCTGATGGATGATGACATCTCCATGTTGGAGTTGATATACCAGATGTCCTGGGGGTGCCGAAGCATGCACCAACCACATCAGTCCGCTGGAGTCTTTGGCCTTGGCTGCCGAGTGAATTGCTTTGGCCACCCATCCCCATTGTGTGAAAAGCTGCTGAATTGCTTTCTTCGTGGTCCCCCATGGGAACGGTCCCACATGATAGACCGTTCGATGTGGCCCAGCAATGTACGGATCCCCTGGGTTGACCCTCTCATGAACGGCCGCAGCTTCTGCCTCTGGGACTTTGAAACCGTAGCGGGCACCAACTCTGACCAGGGAGACTGATGTGTCTTGCATAGACTGCAGGGCTGCGACTTCACTGAAAGGCTTGCGCGGAATCCAAATTGTATGGAAGGCCGGGTCTTGTCCTCGCCCATCCTCTGTGCGTGGCTCAGTGTAGATCCCATCTTGGCCTGACCTGCGAAACAATGCTTGGAACACCTGGACGGGCACTCGCATGGCTACCGCAAACAACTGGGATTCTGCTGGCTTGGACTTTTGGAAGTGAACTGTCAAATAATCCCTCTGCCACAGATCTAGTATCGGAGTGTCTGACAGCTCCGTCGGGTGCCACCTGTGGCACTGGCAGTTCGGGTCTCTGCAGTGCTGAAGCTCCTCAATCTTGCTGATGATATACTTGACCGGCTGTCTGATAACCTCGTCCCAGTCAGTGGTTTGGTCCCTGTACACCAGCATCTTAATTGTTTGTGTGGCGATCTGGTCGATCGCTGGTGCCTGCTGAGGAACATTGCGCACTACCTTTGTCTGTCCTTGCTGAAGCAGAACTGCCGAGATTAAGACTGGCTCACCTGTGATTTTGCTCTGAACTGGAAAACGGTGGACCTCCCCTGAGGCTACGATCTCTTCTGAATACGGGGATAGGACCAAGTAGCCCAACCCTTGGCCTACCCCGCCTGCATGCTTGAGGTATGGCTGCACCTCTTCTTCAGTGAACGCGACTACCCCTTTAGCATTCTGGCCAATTTGCTTTACCGACAGTTGTGGCAACAGTTCACCTGTTTCCAACCTGAAAATGCCATGTGGGATGCTAATGTCTTGCGGATGCAAGTGCGCTGGGGGCACTGGACGTCCCTTGGAGGCTCCTTTGGCTTTGACCGAACCTTTTTGCCTGGTGCGTGCCTTGATGGTGGACTGGAGCTCATCTTCCAATACCAACCTCAGCATTGGAGTGTGATTTGATGCAAGCTGCTTCAAATGTTGCCAAGGTCTGGCCGATTTGAAAGCCCCTGCCACTGCGCTGGAAGACAATGATCTCAAGACCTGAGTAGCTCTGTCCTGAACTCGATCCGGAAACACTCCATGTTCACGGAGCAGTGCTTGCAGTGCCGTCTCAAGTTCTGAATGTCCTCCCAACTGCAGTGCAAGATGTTTGGGCGGCTTGATGAGGACCTGTTGCCAGTACAATTGCCTCCATCCTGCTGCTTCGCTTGGTGTCAATGATGACCCTTGGGTGTATGTGCATTGACTGATCAACCATGCAAATGCCTGGAAACCGCAATCTTCTGGGAAAACTGATGGCAGTGCTGGACTCACATGGATGGCACCTTCCCACGTTGGGAATAACAATTTCCACATGGCAGCTCCTTCCTCCGTCGTGGTGACAGCATACGTGCTCGTGCCAGGGACCAACCAAATGGGAATCCAATGGTGATTCACCCACAACATTGTGGCGACTGCTTCAATTGGTACCTCAGCCCACCACTCAGTGGCCACTGTTTGCATACCGCACTCATGATGGGAGGAATAGCTGGCAAGATCACCCAGCCACTCGATGGCCTCAGTGTGCAAGTCTGTCAATGTGTGGATGATCAACGGCTGCCAAGACTTAGCTACACCTACTGAGTCAACAGCACTCATGTAGTACATCATTTCATCACTTGCTACTGCCCCTCCTTGCAATAGAATGGATTCATGCCGTGGGAGCGCAGTGATGACATGAGCTCGATCGTGCAGCAGTCTGTCTTGTGCCGGCAGTGCCTGGTTACTGACAATGATCCACTTTAATTCTGACAATTGAGATTCCAGGTTCAGCGGTTGTCCCATGAGATCTGACATGCATGCATATTGGATGCCTAACTCATGAAGACCATGGATCCAATCTTGAACAGTGGCCGTCGAAGCATGCTGATGCTTACAGATCTGATGGTTGTCAACGTCATAGACAAACAGTCCCGGTTGCAGCACATCCGATACTGGAAAACAGACCTCAGGCGGAAGTTGGATCGGAGATACTGGTTTCTTTGCAGCAGGACATGGTGGTGCAAGAGCAGTAGCAAAGGCCTGAATTGCACCTGTGGACTGGTCCCACAACTTTGCTTGTGCCTGGCTGTGAGCTTCTGGCACCTGTTGGGGCGTTGGATGCATGGTGGCACCTCGGGCATTGTGTGCTCGATCTACACTTGCATCATCATGAGTCTGTGTGGCGTTTGTTGGGAGACCAGCAATGTGACCTCCTTCCCCGAGACTTCCTGGCACTACACTTGGTCCTACCCCCGTGGCAAATGCAATGGGATGATGAGGGTGCGAAACCTGAGTTGGCTGTGCATTGCTTGGGACACCGACGTCTTGGGATTCAGGCTGTACAGAGGACCGGACACAGACCGACTGGCTTGGGACGTTCGGCTCGGCTGGACCCAACAGGTGTGGGCCTAGCCCTTGTGAGGGTCCTTGCGTCCCTCCCGCTGGCTGTTTCACCACTGTCTTGTCGGGTTCTGGCGTCCCGCTCGCTGGCTGTTTGATGTCCTTCTTGTCGGGTTCTTGCGGCCCGCTCGCTGGCTGTTTTTGGGTCACTCCGCTTTTCTTTTCTTCTAGGTCTTTGCGTCCTGACCGCTGGCTGTTTTGATGGTCTTTTGACTCCATTTCAACTGGCATCGGATTGGTAGGCTCTGTGCAAACCTGAGACGCATTCACCTGTCCATGGGGGCAGGAGCTACTTGGGCACCTGACTGGACCTTCTTCTCGATGTCAGCAATGGACCTGGCTAGATCATCGTCCTGACTGGGTGTCAGGTCCTGCATCTCTTTGGGTTCCTGTGCGTGGGAAACAGTTGGTTCAAGGAACTTTTCAATTGATTCCTGAAATAATTCCATGGTAACCGTGCAATGGTTTTGATACCACGTGTCTCTGAGTTTGAAAACCTCGGCTGCAACACATGCCAAAACTTGTTGTGGAGGCGTGATGTCACCATGAAAAAATCCATGCTCAATCAAATGATTCAAAATGGATGTGAATACCCATGCCGATTGTAGTGGGGATGCCAACTGCCCGACTCCTGCACACAACAGCCGTTGATGGTCTGTCCATCCCTCCGTCTTTGGAAAGCCTGTCAGCAATGCCATTTCTCTGGCTGACAGGTGGCGCACATTTTTGTCTGGGGAACGACCTGGCACATGTGCTAAAACTTCAAAGAGCCCTTGCGCTTGCAGTCTGTTGCATGAGAGTGGACCTCGGCAACCACATGCACAATCCACACATTGATTGGCCCAGCTGTGCAACGCAGTAGCCAACGGCTCTGTCATGTTGACCATATGTCCACCCAGGCCTTTTCCATACCTCTCGAACATCATGCGCTCCTCAGAGGATAATGTAAGTTCCTGGATCTCTTGATCGGTCATGGGCAAAAGGCCCGGGATGAGGCTGGCAATGGTCGGCGTTGCTGCAAGTTTTGGGAAAGGCGGGATCCTGACTTTGCCCATGAAACTTTTGAGGATGACTGACCACCACCTCCTTCGCCTGGACGGCCATACATCAGCAAGCTCCAGCAATGTTTCACTTCGATCGCTGTTGGTCATTTGCATGTAGTGCTGCATGCAGTTCAACACGAAAGGCGACTGCGATGCTTCAGGGACACATTCTGTGACCACCAGGTCCACTTGGAGTAAGAAGGCAGCGTACAGCCCAAAAGGCAGCGATTGTGACCGCTGATCCAACCCCTCTCTCTTGTCGCCCAGGCGTGAGAAGGGCTGACAAGAGAACCCAAAGGCCATACTTGCAGCAGTGGGCGCCTTGTCATGAATTGCAGCCACTGTACGGAGCTTGCAGATGTCTCCATGGATGGTGGGCACCTGTCCAAACTTCTGCAAATGGTCACTGAAAGACTTCATCAGCTCGTTATGTACCTTGGTGGTCCATCCGGCTTGCTGTGCCCCAAGGCCTAGGGCTCCAAGTCCTGAGCATGTTTCGATCAGTTCAAAGATGTTCCCAATCTCCTTTTCCCGGTGATGAAGGATCCTGGCTAGGTCATCCACCTTAACCATCGGGCCTCTGAGATGCATCACCTGCCCACCCAGCACTGTCACCTTGTGAACTCCTAGGGGAACTTCAGCAACCAAGCGGAATCGCTGACCTGTCAGAATGCCTCTGCACAGATGTCCGTTGCCTGACTGTGTGTCACGGACCTCAACAGTCGCTACAAGTGACACCCTTTGGCCATCCCTGGCTGCCAGCAACTGTGGCTCGTACTCAGGCAAACCCTGGTACGGCCCATGTTGGTGTAATGTTACACCCCAGTCCATGGCACCTCGGTTGAACAACTAGCCCAAGGCTTTGTGGATGCAGCCACGGGAGACTGGCACCCTCTTGAGCCGGTGGCTAACGCCCAAAACCTTCTGTGATCCCAGTGATAGCACCACTGGCTGATGAAATGCCCTGGCTGAAATCACCATCATTCCTGGACTCCCGGCATCAATCTAGGTCTATGTCAATCTCCCATTTTCTGTGCTAACTTACATAAACCATACATAAACCTTACATAAACCATACATAAACCATACATAAACCGCCATTGTTCACAGCAGACCCCCCTTCCAGTCCAAGGTCTGAAAGCGGATAGGGGCCCTGAGATCGCCGGACAGAGGTCGTCGGAGAGCCAGGTTGCCAGGCAAAGGTCCTGTTTTTCTGGGATGATGGGCCGTTTTTGGGGCTTCAGGCAGGGCTTCAGGTAGGGTTTCAGGTAGGGTTTCAGGTAAATATCACCCAATCAATGCTAATTGCATCCAATTTTTGGCAATACAGGCGCTTCATGGTGATTCACTTGAAATAACATTAGTGTCCAGTGTCCTGCAACTTCCCCAGTGAGTTTCTTGCGGCCCGTCCTGCGGCCAACGGCACTGGTTCCTTAGCTGATGTCTGTTTCCCCTTTCCCCGCTTCAAGGCTGCAAATATGTCCATATTCATAGTACAACTGGGGGTTAAAGTTGTTCCTCCAAGCCCAGCTACACAACAAGGAGGCCATGTGAATTTCCCGCGATTCAATGAGTGCCTTCCTGGCACACGGCACAGCTTGCCGCACTTTTCGTTAAACGAGGCACGGTGGTACACCTTGGGCGCTACGTGAGACCGCCCTGAAGTCTTAAACTTCAGAGCAATGTGGGACTCCAATCGGAGGAGATTAACCAACGACTCCCAGCAGAGTCAGCCCTACCAAGGTAGGCAACGGCAACCAAAAATCGCCGTAAAACGATGGCTGAGCTGCTGAAACTCCGAAAACCAAGCACGACTCTGGGCATCTTTGATATTTCCGTGTGAAAAAAAAAGTCGCTGGAAATTCACCAGATTTGTGAGGTCACAAATGCCATGGTTTGCCACACCTTTTCCATCAAAGCTTCCTCTCAACACCCCAGATACAAGGGTCGTAAATCAACCTCGGAGCTGTACACCATCTCAGCCTCTAAACAGAACGTCCGCGCTTCGCGGGTGGTCCATTAACAAACCAATGGGCTTATCGTCACTGAAGCTTCCAGCAACCTCGCTTGCCTGGCGCCATTGGGATATGGTTGGTGTTCGTGGTGCTATATTCTTTGTGAGGAGAACAGATGTTGAAAATTGTGTGGTATATAGGTGTAAACAGTTAAACATATAGATACAGATACACACATGTTCGCATGCAAAGAGAATAGAATTAGACTTAGAACTGGTAGTGTGGATTAGAATGGAATAGAACTAGAGTTATATAAGATTATATAAGTATGCGTAGTGGCATGGAATGGAATGGAATGGAATGGAATGGAATGGAATGGAACCAATTGTAAGTGGTCACTAAAGAAGGATCCGTTAGATTGGAGTCGAGTGGATTCGCAGTATATCTACTGCACAGATTGCACATAGATCTACATCTCGCACTCCATATGGGATTATCCGAGTAAGACTTAGTAAGAAAAAACCAACCGAAACTCAAAAAAAATATCTCACTCCACTTAGCAATCCGATGAAGCTTAAGAGTCTTAAGAGTTTTCAAGCTTCATCATGACTTTTTCTCAGCGGTCCCCACCTGGCACGGGTTGATAGGTCCCCAGCATGTCCGCCCGCTGCAAGGCAGTGACTTGCAGCTGAGGCAGCGTCGATTCATCCAGAGGGTTGGAGGTTTGAAGCAGCCAACCATCTGGGGTGCTGAAGAGGATTGGACCCTCCTGAAGAAAAACTAAGGGAGATCTTGGAAGTCGAAACCTAAGTCGGGTATCATGGTCCGAAATTAGAACAAAATGTTTTTGGTGAGGACATCATAGTCGTGCTTGCAGAAACTTTGTCTCTGCAGTTCTGTATCTGCAGTTCTGATATGCGCCCAAAAACATTTATCGAGTATATCATCAAATAACCATATAAACTGGTATATACTAACTATCATCTATCATATACATTCATATACCAGTATAACATTTATCTGCATCAAATCAATCGCTATGAATCTACTTCTCCCTGTCTCCGCTGGTAGGTCAGTCTGAAACTGATCAAACTGCCACTTTGAAGTGGAACACATCGGGTGAAATCCGCCTTTTCAGAACCCACAAAGAGGTCATATCAAGTTGTGGGTTGATTTCTGCGTGTATTATATATATATGTATATATATATATATATATGTATATATATGTATATATATATATGTATATATATATATGTATATATATGTGTATATATATAGTTATATATATAATTATACATATATATATAGAGAGAGAGATATATAATTTTATTTATATATATATAGATATCAGATATCCCCTAAATATCCCCATTGTCTTCCCACAAAATGGTTGGTATATGCGCACGATCTCTCCCCATGATAGCTGGTCTGCTCGATATGTGCCCAAATGTATCCCCATTATATCCCTCATTGGTCAAATCCCATTGTTTCCCATATCCCCATGAATGTCATGTTCCCCGTATTCCCCATTATATCCCTAGTATATCCTATGAATATCCCCATGATAGCACCATCGAACTCAGTCCTTCGAGGAGGCTTGACGCCAGAGATGTCGATGGTGGATCAATTCGCCTGTGAGGCGCCAGTACCTCAAACGCAGCAAGCCGCAGCAAGCGGATGTGATCAGCAGTGAAGCAAGGAATCCAGGTAGACCAGGTAGACTCTGGGAATTTCAAGCAACAAACGCTTGGGATTTCATATATTTCATGGGATGCTTGATGGGATTGAACTCATAAAAAACCAGCAAACATGGGGATTGAATCTTTTATAGCTGGTTTATGATAGCTAAGTGGGCGCAAACAACTCCAATTTCATTGGCTGTGTCTGAAAAATGGGGAGAGCCATGGAGAGCCAAAAAACACTCGTTTTTGGGGGAAATGGTGATGAACTATCAAGAGGCCAAAACTGATCCCGGTAAAGCGGATTCAACGATTGTTGGGGAGATCGTAGTCTAGTAGTCTTCGCCGGAAACGCGGTTCCCCTTTCCATCAAATATGGGTCTGTTCCCATCATCAAATTCGATGATTGCAACGTGATTGCGTGGAAGCTGTGTGAATGAGCACATCACTCCATCAATGGATTGGTTTAAGGGAAAATCTTAACCGGAAACCATAGATTTTCCCATTAAATATGGGGCTTTCCGGTTAAAATTTTCCCTTAAACCAATCCATTGACTCCAGAACTGGTGATGATTTTTCGTGGTGATTGCTATGCTTCTGACGATGATGGCAGAACTGTTGTGTCCTGCCGTTTGGTCAATTTTCTCAGCATAACTAGTTCTTTTCATACGTTCACCGCCACTGATTTTTACTACCTCAATATATCATATATCATATATGTATATACACAGATCTATCATATATCATATATGTATATACACAGATCTATCATGTATCATATATGTATATACACAGATCTATCATATATCATATATGTATATACACAGATCTATCATATATCATATATGTATATACACAGATCTATCATATATCATATATGTATATACACAGATCTATCATATATCATATATTATCATATATCATATATGTATATACACAGATCTATCATATATCATATATGTATATACACAGATCTATCATATATCATATATGTATATACACAGATCTATCATATATCATATATGTATATACACAGATCTATCATATATCATATGTATATACACAGATCTATCATATATCATATATGTATATACAATCTATCATATATCTATATGTATATACACAGATCTATCATATCACACAGATGTATATACACAGATCTATCATATATCATATATGTATATACACAGATCATATATATCATATATGATATCATATAGATATACACAGATCTATCATATCATATATGTTATATACACAGATCTATCATATATCATATATGTATATACACAGATCTATCATATATCATATATGTATATCTACACAGTATACTATCATATATCATATATGTATATACACAGATCTATCATATATCATATATGTATATACACAGATCTATCATATATCATATATGTATATACACAGATCTATCATATATCATATATTATCATATATCATATATGTATATACACAGATCTATCATATATCATATATGTATATACACAGATCTATCATATATCATATATGTATATACACAGATCTATCATATATCATATATGTATATACACAGATCTATCATATATCATATATGTATATACACAGATCTATCATATATCATATATGTATATACACAGATCTATCATATATCATATATGTATATGCACAGATCTATCATATATCATATATGTATATGCACAGATCTATCATATATCATATATGTATATACACAGATCTATCATATATCATATATGTATATACACAGATTACATGCCTGCCTGCAGTATATTGGCTAATTCATGGACATGGGCCCCCATTTTGAATTCCCATATAAGAAAAAATGATGGATGTCTGGATGTCAACCATGCAGCTGGGTCACTTTCCCACCAGCGCCTCCCATCCGCCGCCAACGGCCTGTGCGACTTGAGAAAATCATCGCATTTTCCGATGAAATCAATTGGTCGTTGTTGCTCAAACGGCTTGAACTTCGGGCACGTTCCTAATCCTGCGGATAATAATACGTTAATCTATCCTATCCTTTGGTTATTTACCACACATATGGAAAATGACCCATCTATATATATATATATACATGTATATATGATTTATTATGCTTTGCCGTTCTTAAAGATTGTGATTTTCCATAGCAAACCGTTAAAAAACCAAAGCGTATCCTTTATCCCCCGCTCCGTGGCCTTGTTCCCACTCTCAGAGGCTCTACTCCCTCTTACATACCTTGAAAAAAAAACATTTAGTATCTGTACATACATGTATATTTTATATATACAACACGTAATATTGCAACCCAAAAAAATCCTTGGATTGGTAAAATCCCACTAGAATAGGGACAAGTTATTTTGTCTATTTCTGTGGGAGTTACTATACCCATCAAGAGGACAAAAAAGAAAACTTGACATTCCCCAAGGTGCAACCCCCCCCCATTTTCTTGGGTAAATCCGGGCAAAAATATTGGTCTACGACGCCCCGTTTTCAGCCCCGTTTTGTTTGTCGTAAACAACCAGTTGACCATTGAACTTTGTATCATTGGATTGGTTTAAGGATGTTTTTTTTAACATTAAATATGGGGCGTTCCTGAAAATCTTCCCTTAAACCAATCCAATGATTGTAAACAACAAACTGATTGTAACATATCACCGTGAATTAGCCTACCTACGGACCTACGGGCTGGTCTGACATGTTCTGTCACGCCCAAATGTCATAGTGTTGATGGTATATATATATATGTATATATATATATATCCGATCAATATCCCCACAAAATGGCTGGTGTACTCCCATTAAAAGAACATCCCCATTCTGGTTGGCTTAAAACTTCCGAACATTTCGGAAAAACCCTTGTTTGTTGTGAAAAATATCCCCAGGTGATTATCAACCAGACTCATATCCGACGGAAAAAGAAAACTGGTGTGTATTCCCATGATGTTCTTCTAAACCATAAACAAACCTATCAGTGAACCAACATCCCCATTCTGGTTGGTTAGAAACCTCGCGTTTCTTGGTTTAAATCCCCATGTGCCAAATGAATTATCGACCAGACCCAGGTTCACACAGCAGTGAAGCCAAAATTCAGAACAACTGTTCGATTGTTGATTGTATTTCTCAGCCCAATCACTGGACCAAGAATGGTATTTCTTGGACTCAGTATCCCCAAATTGTGCTTGCTTATCCTCCGGCAATCAACCATGGCAATGGAAAACCTTCCATGTACAGATGCTTTTCCCCTTAAAGCTCTAAACCTCCGTTGAGCTCGGGGATTTCCTATTGAAACCCTTGTAGAATCTCAATTTTTCGGTAATGACACCGGAAAAATGGGCCAGTTCCCAGCCATGAATGAAAACGGCACCTCCACGTGCAAAACACTGGGGCTCTCGGGTGGATTCGTCTGCAGCAGGGCTCCAGAAGTTTCCCAGCCACTAGAGCTACGCACCTGCAGATGCCAAGAACTGGTCCCTGAAGATGGTTGGTTGAACTGTTTAACCAGCAAAAATGCTGATTGAACCAGCAAACTTAGGATTTAATCAACAACAATGTGGGTTTTACCATCGAAAGCTGGATTTTACATTATTCAACCAACAAAAAGAGTGGATCTAACAAGCAAAATTGCATCATTGACGAGGAAAATGACCCAAGTTCTCAGATTCTCATGGCCATCTCCCAACCCAGCACCTGCCATGCTTCGCACAAGTGCGGCATGGAGCCTCCATGGGGCTGCAAAGAAGCCAAGGTTCCCAAACTGCAACCACTGCCCAAGGTGGGATAGTCCTGGCCAGGGAACTCCCGGGATTTCCATACGAAGCAGGGCTGGAGAGCATGGATTCAACCACCTTTAAAGGGGGAGGGGGGGCCCCCGTAAAAGGGCGAATCTTAAGGGTCACCGAACGGAGCTTTCGTTAAATCCCCATGAAATCTTAAGTTCCTGATCATTTCCAACAAGCACCGGCAACACAACCAAAACTTATGGGGATAATGGGTTCCAATCTTGAGCTGCCACCGATGACATCGGAAAACCCCAAGTGAATCTAATGACTTAGAAAGCAGGGTTATTGATCACTTAGTGGGATCATCATCCAAGCACTTAGCTGATGAACTACCCGCGTGCCAATATCGGTCAGGTCCTTCTTGGAAAGACACCAGAAGCCATCCGTTGTGCTATAGAGCCACGACTCTTTCCTGACGCTTCTGATCAGCGGAAGCGCTGCATGATTGTAAAGCCTTTGCCACTATTTATAGTAATAAATAATGAGCACCCCTCAGGAAGTCTAGTGGAATGTATTGAATCTGTTCATTTTGGGGTCCAATATGAGGAGCTTTGGAGCTTCAGGGGATTGCCAGCTGCCTTGCGCCAAAACGAATGCATTGCCACCCCATCCATGATAAGCTTGCTTCAATTCAATGCTCAATTGGACCCAAACCTTCAGTTCACAACAAGGGAATCCTTCAGATACCCATACCTCAGAATCCTTCGCAGCGGTGTAGGCCCAACTATCTTCCCAGATTTGCCAACAGGTCACCCGGTTTCGGAGCATTTCCACAGAGGCTGGCCATTCAAAAACCTCAGGAAATCGCCCCTCCGGAAAGCAGTTCTAAGCTGATGGGGTCACCGTCGTCGTCGTCATCATCATCATCCTCATCCTCATCATCATCATCATCATCATCATCATCATCCTCATCCTCATCATCATCATCATCATCATCATCATCCTCATCATCATCATCATCATCCTCATCCTCATCCTCATCCTCATCATCCTCATCATCATCATCATCATCATCATCATCATCATCATCATCATCTCATCCTCATCATCACCATCATCATCATCATCATCATCATCCTCATCATCATCATCATCATCAGCCAAAACCTGAAGCCAAACGGCTCCGCGACGAGTTCATAGATGGCATCGCTGTGCTCAGTGACCAGGTACAACACCGGCGGAAAGGACAGAGGACCTGGCGAAAAGCGCCCCCGCACCTTTTGCATACTGAGCATTGGATGAAGGGAAAATCACCAATGATAACCAAAAAACACTCATTAATGGTAAAGACTCACCAATAGGGGAAAAAAACTCATTGATGCCAAAAAAATATCTTCTTAATGGTTTAAACAACAGTTTCAACAGTAAAGTTTCCCTGAAACCACCAATAAAATGACGCTGCGGCCTTTGGTACGTCCATCATTATCTGCATAAGTTGCACCGCTGGGTCACATTCTTCTTCTTGGTGACGTCTCTGATTCTGGTAGCCAAAATGGGGTTACGAACAAATCAATGTGTGGCAAACCTAATAATAAGCCATCCCAGCAACGAACTTCAATTTGTGGGCTCTTCTACATCATCTCAACTCATCTCAACCAAATAATAAACCACAAGCTGGAGATGGTTTATTGATGTTTATTGCTGTTTATTGTTGGGTCAAACTAGTGATATAACTTGATATGACCAGTCCACCAGTCCGAACCCAAGGCCCCAAGGCCAAACTGCGCAAGGCCAGCGCCTCGCAGGACCTTCACCTCACCATCATCTCGCCAACCGTCGGCGTCACGCAACTGCCATTGACCCGCCTGACGATTTTTCAATGAACGCAGCGAAGGGCCCAAGGAGACCCTCCTTGGCCGTTTTCGTGGGAGGTGGTTTCTTTCTTCTCTGGGCGAAGGATTGGATTTTTGGTGGATATATTTACAGTTGGATCCCTCTAGATGGCTATTTTGGTTTATAACTTATAACTAGCATTTGTCATGAGATCCATATTGGGGAAGCCCAGAAGTTGTAGAACAATTCGATAATCCGGCGGAAGCCTATGGAAAGTGGTAGGTCTGCAGATGATGTTCCCATTTGAATCCCGCTTTGTTTGGGTATTCCCCAGCCATGTTTACTGGAGGCGAGTCCCCCGCTTCGTTCTGGATCATCCTGATCCCTTCCGCCTCAGAAAAGCCCCAATACATAGTGTGTGTGTATATTATATATGTATATTATATATATATACATATATACATATTTAAAAAAAACAAACATTAAAATATGTGAGCCCTAATTATTCATTTTCGGGAGACAAACATGGAGACTCTAACTGTGGGCAGCGGCCTGGAAGGGCAGCAGGCCGCCGTGGGCTTCGGCTGTGGCCAGGTTGCCCAGGGTGCAACAGAAGGATTTCTGCACCGCCTCCGATGGAACCCCCAGCGGGTTTCCCCGACTGGAAGTGGGGTTGAAGTCTTAGACACGATATAAATCTATAGAACTTTATACAATGGTACCCTCTGGTAAACTAACATAACTATGGAAAATCACCATTTTTAATGGGAAAATTCACTATAAATGGCCATGTTCAATAGCTATGTTAAATTACCAGAGGGTATTTAAATCGATACCATTTTATACAATGGTAAATCCCTATGCACTGATGATCATCCCCAAGATACTATGATAAATCCCAAGTCTTGACCATGGCACATGCTCTCGGCCCCGCCTTCACGCCGGCTACGTGCCAGTACCTCGATCCAAGAAATCATCCCACTTGGGGGGCTGGGAACAACACACTTGAAACCAAGCCCCTTTCGTTGTTGTATGATGTTGTATGATGTTGTATGTCTTAAGTCTCCAATTTTGAGTTTTTTGAGTTCTTGACCGTTCCGTTTCAATATCTCGCCCTTCTCGGATGACAAAAGGCAATCTAAAACAATCTGCTGTGAGCGTTCCATTGTACTATGTTCTATATTAATATTAGTGGATGCTTCTTTAAGTAAATTTTCGGTGTGAATTGTTTGTTGAGGATGTTGGGGTTGGTTGGATTGGTTGTTGGGTTGGTGTTCAACATTGGATTGGTCTCTCAACGGCGCAGCATGGGACTCTAAAGCAAAGTGAAAACACAATTTGTGAGCATAAGCAGGAGGTGCATTGCTATGCATTGTTATGCATTGTTCCATCCTTAAAACAGTGTTGGCAGTTTGGTAAATCGGTCAGTGTTCCTTACCCTCACGTCTTTGAAGTACTGCTGGAGCAAAAGCATCAGGTATCCATCGAAGCATGCCATGGGTGGCAGATTTTCATATTTTCTTCGAAACAAGTGAACATGCCAAACAATCTTCGAACTCCTTGGTTTGGAAGCAAGAACTTCCACATAGGACACTCATAGACTAAAAACCGCCCCTCACAACTCCCCAGAAAAAAAGGCAAGGAACAAGGATTGATATCAGCATAAAAACAAACAAACCCCCCTAACGAACAGAAACCAACCTAAGACAAAACGAAGGAGACCAACATTACAACAAAAATGAGAAAAATAATGAACCAGGTAGGGGGTGAAGGTTAGCAAGAAAAACCCCAGAAACCCCACCTGAAAAAACATCAACAGCAAGGAACAAACATTGAACCTCAACATAAAATCATTACAAGCAACATACAAACAAATATGTACACTCTGGTTATTTAACATAGCCATGGAAAATCACCATTTTTAATAGGTAAACCCAGGTAAACCATCTATAAATGGGCCATTTTCCATGGCTATGTTAAATAACCAAAGGGTACCATTTTTCCCCCCGACCTTTCCATCCCCACGTCCCGATCGTCCCACTTCCGCCAACAGACCCAGATGTACCACTGTACATCCAGAGTTCTTCGCCGTGGCCCATTCGCTTCCAGATTGGCTGGCCGTTGGCCCAGCAGTTCTGCAGTAGATATCTCCCCGCAACTTTCCTAAGATCCAGCAATTCCATGGATTGAAGGGGAGAATCTACAGGAAACACATGGTTTTACCGTTTTACTCCAAAAATTGAAGGCTTTCCTGTCACTTCGCCCTCCTTAAATCACCGAAGGAGTCCCATCGCCGAAACGGACCTTGAAGGCTGAGACGATCATGGATTGTGAGCACCCCAATACATTGGATACTGTGCAACTTTGTGCAAACCCATATAATCCGCCGACCCTGGCCTTCGCCAAGGCCGGGGCGGCGCCTGGGACCACCGGAGGTGTGGATCCTGTCTTTCTTGACCCTTTGCCACGCCGTAGATCCTGTCTTTCTTGCACCTTTGCCACGCCCACACTGCAGGCAAACGCCATCACAAGGCCACAGCAATGGCTCAAGAGCACCCCACGGCCGCAGCAATGGCTTCTTATAGGCGTTCAAGGCTGCCTGCTGTTCCAGCATTGCAGCCTGCCGTTTGCCTGCATAGCGCTCTGTCGTTAGGGCGTCCATTCCTCGGGCACGCCCGCAGGCAAAAGCCACCACAAGGCCACAGCAATGGCTCAAGGCATCCCCCCGGCCGCAGCAATGGCTTCTTATAGGCGTTCAAGGCTGCCGTTTGACAGGCTTCAAACGCTTAAAACCCTAAAATGCCTCGCCGGCCCTTTGCCTGCATAGCGCTCTGTCGTTAGGGCGTCCATGCCTCGGGCACGCCCGCAGGCAAAAGCCACCACAAGGCCACAGCAATGGCTCAAGGCATCCCCCCGGCCGCAGCAATGGCTTGTTATAGGCGTTCAAGGCTGCCGTTTGACAGGCTTCAAACCCTTAAAATGCCTCGCCGGCCGTTTGCCTGCATAGCGCTCTGTCGTTAGGGCGTCCATGCCTCGGGCACGCCCGCAGGCAAAAGCCACCACAAGGCCACAGCAATGGCTCAAGGCATCCCCCCGGCCGCAGCAATGGCTTCTTATAGGCGTTTAAGGCTGCCGTTTGACAGGCTTCAAACCCTTAAAACCCCTAAAATGCCTCGCCGGCCGTTTGCCTGCATAGCGCTCTGTCGTTCGGGCGTCCATGCCTCGGGCACGCCCGCAAGAAAGCCACCACAAGGCCACAGCAATGGCTCAAGGCATCCCCCCGGCCGCAGCAATGGCTTCTTATAGGCGTTCAAGGCTGCCGTTTGACAGGCTTCAAACCCTTATAAAACCTTTAAAATGCCTCGCCGGCCGTTTGCCTGCATAGCGCTCTGTCGTTAGGGCGTCCATGCCTCGGGCACGCCCGCAGGCAAAAGCCACCACAAGGCCACAGCAATGGCTCAAGGCATCCCCCCGGCCGCAGCAATGGCTTCTTATAGGCGTTCAAGGCTGCCGTTTGACAGGCTTCAAACGCTTAAAACCCCTAAAATGCCTTGCCGGCCGTTTGCCTGCATAGCGCTCTGTCGTTAGGGCGTCCATGCCTCGGGCACGCCCGCAGGCAAAAGCCACCACAAGGCCATAGCAATGGCTCAAGGCATCCCCCCGGCCGCAACAATGGCTTGTTATAGGCGTTCAAGGCTGCCGTTTGACAGGCTTCAAACGCTTAAAACCCCCTAAAATGCCTCGCCGGCCGTTTGCCTGCATAGCGCTCTGTCGTTAGGGCGTCCATGCCTCGGGCACGCCCGCAGGCAAAAGCCACCACAAGGCCATAGCAATGGCTCAGGGCATCCCCCCGGCCGCAGCAATGGCTTCTTATAGGCGTTCAAGGCTGCCGTTTGACAGGCTTCAAACGCTTAAAACCTCTAAAATGCCTCGCCGGCCGTTTGCCTGCATAGCGCTCTGTCGTTAGGGCGTCCATGCCTCGGGCACGCCCGCAGGCAAAAGCCACCACAAGGCCACAGCAATGGCTCAAGGGCACCCCACGGCCGCAGCAATGGCTTCTTATAGGCGTTCAAGGCTGCCGTTTGCCAGGCCTCAAACGCTCCAAACCCTCCAAAAGTCCGCCCAGCTCCGCACGGAAAAGGTACCCCAACAAGCCCAACACGCGCCACTCCCGCACGCAAAAGCCACCACAAGGCCACAGCAATGGCTGAAGGGCACCCCCCGGCCGCGGCAATGGCTTCTTATAGGTGTTCAAGTCTGCCATTTGCTAGGCCTCAAACCCTCCAAACCCTCCGAATCCCCCAAAAGTCCGCCCAACTCCGCAGGCAAAAGGTAACCCAACAAACTCAACACGCGCCACGCCCGCAGGCAAAAGCCACCACAAGGCCACAACAATGGCTCAAGGGCACCCCCCTCCCCAAGTTGATTGCTTTGACCATATCTTATTGTATGTGGATATATCATTACCATTGATGACCCCTCATCATAAAATGATTAATCATCAACAAGCTGTCAGGTAGCCAACACGGCCACTGCCTCACCCTTGCGCACCTGGCGGAGTTCGAACTGATCCGTGTCCATTTGGCCGCAGGGTGCAACTTCTCGCTGCTTGAGAAGCAAACGGCCATATGTCTGTCTTGCTGTCCGTCTCCCTCTCTCTCTCTACAGTACCCCCCCTCCAATTAGGGGGGTCGGCGGCACCTGGGCGCTAGCCCATTCTATATATATATATATGTATATATGTATATCAGGGAATCAACCACTTGCCGTGACTAATCCTGGATACCCTGCGAGAAATATATGTATGTATGTGTATATATATATACACATATTGTATAAAATGGCAGAGATTAACGTATATGATTCTAGTCTTCCCCAAGTCAAGGTTTCCCAAGCTATATACGAAGTGCGTATGCACATCCAAGCAGCTTTGTCTGATAGGGTGTCGACTATCCCTAAATATCCTAAATCCACAGCTTATAATTTTATGATATTCTAATATATTATAATAATTGAATTCTATAATATTTATATATATATAATTATATCTATATATAATTATAGTTTTCTCATAATTTTCCCTATGAAAAATACAACCTTTCAAAAAAATGTTCCCATGTTCAGACCAATCCACATAGTACCTGGAGACCTCCTTGACCTCTGAGCTGCCGACAATGGCGCTCAGGATGCAGGAGGCCTCTGAAGTTACCGGAAATCCCCGCACGATTTCAATGAAGGTTTCAACGCTATAATCTATGGCATAAATGGAAAATCATGGGATAATCATCATAGGAAAATCATGAGAAAATAATGGGAAAACATGGAGAATATTGAGAAAGTAATTGGATATATATATATATATACATATATATATAATGGAAATAAATATGCTAGCTTTGATTCGCAGAGGGTAAACGTGTTGTCTTTCCAATGCCAGTTAGCATTGAAGGAGATAAACCTTTCTTCCGGTCCCAGGGAACATTTAAATTCTGGTGGCAGATATGGGTAGGTTCCTCCAATCTTCTTGCCGAGAAACATTTTAAAATGGAGCACCCAGAATCCAATCTTCATCAAGACATCATTTTCTCTCAAAGTGGACGTTTTTCATGTTTATTCCACCCCATTTTTGGGGCAAATCCAATAACATCTTAAATCGTTTCCCCATCTATCTCCATAACAATCAACTGCTGTTCCAATTGTTAGAATTTCGACTGTACGTATAAATGTACCAACTATATACCCTGTATATAGTCAAATTTGGCAATGGGTAATCAGTAATCCCCCTACAAATGGGCACCGAAATGGAAAACCGTCTGTAATTGGGGGGTGGTCCAGTCATGTTTGATTGCCATGGGGTATGCATAATGTTCGATACTGTATTTGTTCACATCCCGACCCTCGGCAGTGCGCCAAGCATCATGACCAAGGCCCAACAGCGCACGAGCCTGTCATCAGTTTTTTAATAGAGGCTCCATTCATTCCTGTATGGAGCTCCAGACATGGGCTATCGTTGGGAATCATATGGTTTATACATGGTTGGAAATCATACAAGTAGGATTTAGAAAACAATTTCCTCATTCCATCTGGTGGTTCAGAAAATAATGTCAGAAATCCACACTGGCCATAAACTCGGGAAAATACCCAAGGCAATCTTGGAGAAATCCATGTAGGCACGGCTCCACCGTGACCAACAACCATTTAGGGGATGGTCAAATATCCTTGGGGGAAATTGAACAGCAAACACGAAAACTGGCCCATTTGTTTTTTTGCGCCTCATTTTTGAGCCATGATTGATATCTAATGTTGGAGAATCGCTCAGGCAGCCATTCCCGTGGGCAAACCTTGCCAAGAGATTCATCTGTTTGACGTTGACGTCCAGATGGTCGAGATGTCAAATCCGATTTGCAATGCGTCAACCCTGGTACCCTGGTGAACACCAAAATTGCTGGATGCACGCACAACACCAATATTCCGCAAACAGTGTGGTCTTGCAGTCTTGCGGTTATGGTGAGAGTTACGGGTGTTCATTCCAGATGGTCTCCTTCGGGTCCGGCTCGACCCTTACAGCATATAAGTTCCTCAATCTTCCGTTTTCGACGAATATCTCGCACAGGTGTCTGCGGAAACCTCTCTTCATTTTACCTGCGCACGGTGGTCGTTTTTAGACCTATGTCCATTTTTCGTGGCTGGCGTAAGGCTCTCGGGGCATTTTGAAGTCTGGAACGTCGTTTTCTGTGACATGCGCAGGACGTCGGACACTTTTTCATGCTTTCTGCACGATATTAAAACGTTGGCCGGCGTGGTAGACATGCGACTTTTTTTGGTGGCAGGCGTAGTATTTGGTGAACTTGGACATGTCTTGAAAGTCTTGTTTTGTGAAGCTGTCGTCATTTTCGATTTGGCACATGATGACCATGTTCCGTGGCAGGCATGGTGCTTCAGAGACCTCGACAAAAAAGATGCACGAAGCCTAGGTAAAACATGGTAAAACATTGTTTTTCAATGTTTTCCACATGTTTAATATTCATTAACTTTTCTCGGTGCGCACAGAAGCTTGTAAAAATCTAACATGTGCTCGCGCAACCCTCTCGCCAATTTGTGCGTTTCACATCGCTCTCGCTGTGACGCAGTGCATATTTTTATATCCCTGGTCGTGCAACCTTCTCAACACTTGGTGCGCATCAGGTCGATCTCGCTGTGGCACCATGCTCATTTTGAGATTCCTGGCGCAACCCTCTCTTCACTTTGTGACAGAGACCTTGACAAGGAGATATTTTATAGAGAGCGTGCGCAGAAATCTTGACAAGGGACCTCTCACAGAGATCTTGCCAAGAGATCTCCTTTGGAGACCTTGTGAAGAGATCTTGTATAGAGATCTCTGACAGAGATCTTGCGTGGAGATCTCTGATAGAGACGTTGTACAAAGATCTTGTACAGAGATCTCTTACAAAGATCTTGTACGGAGACGTTGCATGGACACCTCTGACAGAAGTCTTGCCAAGAGGTCTCTTGCAGGGATCTGGCCAAGAGACCTCTTATGGAGAGTTTGTGCAGAGATCTTGCCAAGATGCCTCTTTTAGAGATCTTGTCCAGAGACCCTGCATAGAGATCTCTTGTAGAGATCTTGAACAAAGAGCTTGAACAGAGATCTTACTTAGAGATCTCTTGCAGATATCCTTCATGGAGATTTCTCGTAGAAACCTTGTACAGAGACCCTGTATAGAGATCTCTTACAGCCTACAGAGATTTTGCCAAGAGACCTCTTGTAGAGATCTTGTGCACCTGTAGAGGTCTTGCAAAGAGATCTCGTGTGCACAGAGATCTTGCAAAGAGATCTTGTTGAAAGCGCTTCAACAAAGATCTTACTTGACGATCTCTTACAGAGATCCTGCGTGGAGATCTGTTATAGACACCTTGTCCAGAGATCTTGTATAGAGATCACTGACAGAAACTCACGACAAAGATTTCGATGAAGGGAACTTACACAGGATCTCCTGCACAGGACCTTCCACGGATATCCTTACAAAGGGATCTTGCACAGCAGCTTCTACAGAGTTCCTGTCAAGGAGATCGTGCACGCGATCTTCTACACCAAGGGAACTTGCAGATTCTACCCTGGTATCTCTTTGTCATGTTCCTTGCGACACTCTTTGGGGTCTGCCAGGATAATATATTTTCAGGGATGGTATAGGTGTTGATCATTGTTGATCCATCCCCTTGCCATCCGAGGATCTTCCAGTTACTTGCATTCAGCAACGTTCGGGTCCTATCGCCAGCTTCCTTTGAAAAAGCATGCCAGCGTCTCTCGAACATGCCGAAGCCAGAAGGTTAGCAGGGTCTGGTAGAGCTTGGTGGTTCCCTCAGTGACGATCTCAGTTCAACTAGAACACACTGGAACTATCAGAACTGCCTACGAAAATCACCATGTGTCATAGGTAAATCATCGAACTAAATGGGCCATGTTCATCCGTTTTCCATAGCTATCTTAATCACCTGCCAGTGGACACAATCGAGGCCGTATACCCGGCATCAGCCAGACATCACTAGTCATGTTCCACATGAAATAAGAATGACGAGAACATATGCAACATCAATCAAAAAATGAAAACAACATGTTGGAAGCATTCAACTTTTTTTAAAATGTGGAGACTAAAGTGCAGATTTCGTGCGGCTGACGGGGGGTGAGTGAATATGACATACTGAATCCAGAAGTTGAAAAAGAGATAGATATTTATATATGTTTAGATAATATATACAAATATATACAGATATACACAGATATATACAGATATACACAGATATATACAGATATATACAGTGTATATATATATATACCTACATTAGGACCTACATTAATCTTGTATAATCTTGTTCTTGATACCCCATCCATCCCTGCTTAGGGGCTCTCGGGACCATTGACAAAGCCCCATTGGGTCTCCGCGCGCTGCAAAATCTCGATGGAAGCGTGCCAGGCATCGTCGTTCGTCGACTCAGAGCAAAATCAGGGTATAAAAGGATGACCAAAATAAGGCCACAAAGAAGTCAAACTGGGACTAAATGGATCTATAATTCGGATCATCAAATAAACAGGGATATGATATACAGGGATTTCTTTACAGACCCAAAATCTTCAAAATGAAACCAACGGTTCTGGGGTACCCAAAAAATTGAAGAAGAACCGAAGAAGCCAAATATATGGCCCCAAGCCGGGAGGTGTTCGCTCTCCACAGAGGCTTCAGAACCGAATCCAAGCGGCATTCCAAGCATGCTCACCGCAGCCCTGTAGTCACCATGTTCCAAATCCTGGCAATTTGTCAAATCGTTGGTGGATTCCTGTGCGGAATCCACTCTGTGGAGATGATTGGGTTCAACAGTTCTTCAAGGAGTTTTTGGTCCTAGAAAAAGCTTTGGATGGTTTCGGAATCCCAAATTGACCTGCCAACTTCCTACTGGCCTCTGTATGACACAACTCATGTGCTTGGCACCACAATCATGCGCCGCAAATGAGGTGGAATCCTGGTCTTCAAGTTTGGTGCTCTATAAAATCAATTCACAATCTCTGCTGGTGATAAATCCCTATTCTTATCCATCTTGCTGATTTTCTAATTACAAACCATGAAAAACCCTTGCTTTTCTTGTCATATCTCAAAATTCGCTGGTTACTAAATCTATTTTTGTTCTGGTCACATCTCCATTTTACGCGGGTGAACTGGGTTACCCTCCAGTAAACATAGCCATAGCTATTAAGATGACGACCTATCTAAAGTTACGATTTACCTACTAAAAATGGAGATTTCCTGTGGCTGTTTACCAGAGGGTAAATCACATTCACATCCCCATTTACCATTAAAATCCATGGGTAAGTTCCATTCAGATCCCCCATTTGGTTGGTCAAATCCCCACTAATCACCATTAAAATCTATGGGTAAATCCCATTCAGATGCCCCATTTGGTTGGTCAAATCCCCACTAATCACCATTAAAATCTATGGGTAAATCCCATTCAGATGCCCCATTTGGTTGGTCAAATCCCCACTAATCACCATTAAAATCCATGGGTAAATCCCATTCAGATGCCCAGTTTTTCTTTTTATCACTGGTTTTTTCTGCACGCGTCGTTGACGGAAACAAACCCTTCGGTTCCTCGAAGAAGATGCAGCGCTGCACGTGGCTTTCGAAGCAGCAGGAAGCACGTCGCGCCTGTGGCGACCAAGTGTGACACCTTAAAAAGGTGGAAGGTGATACCCGAAAATAATATGGGTGCATGGATGGTGCCCGAAAATATGGGAATAATATGTTTTGACCGAAAATATGGTAGTAAAATATGGTGATTCCCGAAAAGTAGGTTTTGACCCATCCCCATTTGACAGAGTCATGGATGTTGATTCGTGTCTTCAACTTTGACCACTGGATACCACTCGAACATCCCAGGTTCAAAACCCTGGCATGCTGCTGCTCACATCATTTCTACAGCTGGTATGGATATGTTTAAGATTCTAAGATGTTTAATAAATATACAGTGTATTATACTATATGATCTACATGTATATATACATTATATAATATTATATATATACACATACATTGTATATATATATACTTTTTATATATACTTTTTATATATACTTTTTATATATACTTTTTATATATACATTATATATACATTATATATACATTATATATACATTATATATACATTATATATACATTATATATACATTATATATACATTATATATACATTATATATACACTATATATACACTATATATACATTATATATACATTATATACATATATATATATACATTATATATATATTATACATATATATATATATTATACATATATATACATATTGCACACCTTGTATGTATATATATATAGATATTATATTATGTATACACATTATATATATATATATTATTGTATATACACGTTATATATATATATGTACATTATGTATATACATCATATATATACATATTATATATACAATATAATATATATACACATTATATATATATACATATTATATATATACACATATTATATACACATTATATAAATATACACATTCTATATATACGCATTTTATATTTACATTATATATATATATATTATATACATTATTTATATATACATATATTATATACATTATACATATATATACTATATACATTATAGATATTATATATACATTATATATATCCACGCATTTTATATATATCTTTTTTTTCATATACATATATATATATCACATATATATATAATATATATATGTGCATTTATATATTTATATTATATTATATATATTATATTATACATTATATTATATATTATATTATATATTATATTATATATTATATTATACATTATATTATATATTATATTATATATTATATTATATATTATATTATATATTATATTATATTATATATTATATTATATATTATATATTATATTATATTATATTATATATACATTATATACATTATATACATATATACTATACATTACATACATTATATATAAATACATTATATATATACCTATATATGTATATATATATATATGTATATGTATATATATACATATTTTTAATTATATAATTTAAATCAATATGTATATATCTCATTTAATAAATATACAGTGTACTATACTATATATATACATTATATATATATACACACATACATTATATATATATATACACATACATTATATATATATACTTTATATATATACACATTATATATAGATCATATATATATACATTATATATATATCATACATATATATATATATTATACACCTTGAATAAATATATTATAATATATATATACACGTTATATATATATATATATTACGTATATACATGATATATATATACACATTATATATATATATACATAAACATAATACACATTATATATATATATACATTATACATATATATATATATATATACATTATATATATACACACATTATATATATACGCATTTATACATATTATATATTATATATCGTATGTATACATTATATATATATAAATACGCATTTTATATATATATATATACATTATATATATACATTATATATACATTATATATACATTATATATATATTATATATACATTATATATATACACACGCATTTTATATATAATATATATTACATATATATATATGTATTACATATTTATATATCACATATATATATATATTATATATATACATTATATATATATATATTATACATACATTACATACATTATATATAAATACATTATGTATATATATATATTATTATATATGTGTATATATGTATCTCATTATATAATTTAAATCATTATATATCTTCCAATGTTTCTGCAAACAGGTAGAAACAGGCTAAGACCTCATTGCTTTAATGTTCATATCATCCCCCAGCCTCCAGTGCAGCCGCTTTCAGGTTGCGATGAACTTCGGCAAATCGCGCCACCGATGGCCTTTTTGGGGGAAAACGTTGCACTTTCAAGGCGGGGGATTTGGAAATACCCATCAACATGTTGTGTTTTATGGGGAAATACCCATGAAAATCTGTTTTACGATCGAAACCCATGAAATACCCATGCTTTTGGAACGTACCTTCGAAAATTGATGTCTTGCGATCAAACAATTGGGACAACTGAGGATTTCACAATCAGAAAAAGAACGCTATGGCTTGTTATGGCATGCTGTGGCTATGACTTACAACAATCAAAGTTTCCAAAAATGAAAATTCTATAAAATTCTGGTCGAGTTCGTGACCCAAGCTGGGATCACAATCCGAATCAGGTGGGCTCTCCGAAGCCAAGATAGGAACGGCAGGGACAGTTCTATCATTGGGAGGGAAAATGTTTCTGGGTTTCTCTGGCTTTATCCAGAAAATCGTCGTAAGCATGGTATGGTATAGCATGTAGATGTGCCCTTAAACCAATCCAGTGATTCTAGGTAGGGTGCCTATTCGCACATGGAAACAAAAAACCAGCCATGAGGCCACGATGGCCGCTGGGTGCCGAACGGTGGGTGTAGAGGAAGGCTCCCCGAGGGCGAACGCGAGATGCCTGGTGCAGCATCTCGAAATTCCACAGAAGTGGGTGGCACTTCTGTAGCACTACCTAGGTTGACTATGGCTGATATGGTAGAGATATCGTGTAGAAAAGCCACAGTTCCTGGGCTTTATAAACCAACTTATTTTCTGTGGGGGCACCACCTTGGAGTCGGAAAGCTGCCAAATCATGATGAGCTGTTCCAAGTTCCCCTTACAACATCTTTCAACTCGGCCCAGAATCCCAGAACCTCCAAAAGAAACCCCCCCCAACTCCGCTTAAAACCCGTTTGGATACAAAAGATTAAAAAAGAACATCCAGAAAATTGATGAACATCTTCCATCTCCCCAGATCTCCCCAGATCTCCCCAGACCCCAGCCTCCTATGTCCTTCTCCCGGTTTCCCCGTTGCCCATGGAGTTCCAGGTGCAGAGTTTCGCATTTCTCCGTCATCTGCGACAGCACCGCGAAGGCCGTACCGTCCACACCACAGCCCTCGCAGCCGGCACCGTCATAGGCACTGAGTTCCTGCCGCGCCGAGGCCACCGCGTCCTGCAGTTCGAAGAGGCGGCTGAGGCGAGTCTCATCCTTCAGCACCGCGTTGCGGTAGAGGTCCTGGGGCTTTGCTGGGGCTTTGTTGGCTGATGGTTTGGAGGGGAGGATGGTGCAGGATGGTGAAGGATGGTACCCCTGGTGGTACCCCTGGTGGTACCCCTGTAGCGACACTCCGCACCTGCAGCAGCTTGTTGGAATGCGCCAGGCTCCAGAAATGCCGTGGCACCGCCACCAGGCCGAAGCCCATCAGCACCGTCAGCACGAAGAGACCCCAGGCGTTCGACGCAGCGATGCACCAGCTCTGGAGATCTCCTTGGACCTCCCCACGGGAGATCAAAATCAGCAGCAGAACCACCAGGATGAAGCTGTAGATGCCATAGAAGACCTCAGGATTTTGGAAGGAAAACAAGCTGAAATAAGGGGCGCATGGTTTCTGTTGTGTACGTTGCAGAATTGTAGCTACAAATTGGATCTGTCATGATCTGTCAATGTTATAGCTCTGGGTGTCGTTTGAATCATCATCATCATCATCATGATCATGATCATGATCATGAGTGGGGTATGTTTATGCATTGACCTCGATGTAGGGCAGCACATGTTGCTAGCAATCCTAGCAAGATAGCCTGGTAATGGCAAATCCCTTGTCAGTTACCACCCAAGTCGCAACGGAGAGAAGCTATGACTCCATTTGTGGCGACCTATTGTAGTAAATTGTAATAATGTTTGGTTCAGTTTGGTATGTATTCGTGGCGACTGTTTACATGTCAATCCACTTACATTCGTTCATTTACATGTAGAATTACAACCGTGATCAGCCATTTGAATTTCATTCATTTACATCCATCTACCCATCGGCTGTTCACTTCGGGTACCTCCCTTTTGTCATTAAGTGGGAAAGTTGATGTGGGCGGTTTGTCTGGAAATGCACCACCCAACATTTCTCTGGTGTTCAGTCATGTTCCCTATTAACATATCATATACTCTCGCATAATTTAACAGCTATGGAAGCCATGGCGCATTTGCTTCGATGATTTGCCCGTTTGCAATTAATGGATATTAATGGCATAACACCATAGATGCCATAGCTATGTCAAATTCTGCGGATGGCAAGAGCCATCCAGAGCCATCCAGAGCCATCCAGAGCATCCTCGGCACCGCGTTGCGTCGCAGGGAGGTCTTCAACCTCGCCGATGTGGTGAAGTCGCCACTATTCTCGTACTCCATGAGAATTGGACAGAGAAGGTAGCTCAACAAGGCTGTGGTCCAATAGGTTGCAGCCTGCCACGAAAAAGAGGTAAATGGGTGTCAATTTTACGTGGTTATCATTTAATGTCTAGCAATATCCAGCATATCTATTCAATTAACCACCTTGTGGCTATCATGTACCAGAATAGTTTGGAGCACCGCTATGGTTTTTCTCCAGGTTTGATTTCTTTGTTACATGAACAAAAGTTGGAAGAGGATGAGAAGTATGATAATGAGGATGGTCATGACGATGACGATGATGACGATGATCATTAACTGCAACCAAGGGACCCAAGTCCGCCTGAGCAATGAACTTGAATTACTTTCATCATCTCCGCGGGAGAGCGCCTGCTATTGGGTGCATGGCAAAGGTCCCATGAGCTCAAAGTCTCAAAATGCCTCACAAATGTCATGCAATCCCCACAAATTTCATGGATCCAAAACCCATTTGAAGCCCTCACTGTCACGGATCCAAATGGGTGTTTGCTGAAATAAAGGCTACGAATACCTCAAAATCATCCAAAGTTAGACTACCTTACTACTGAGACCCATGGGAAATAAGGCTACCATGACTTGGGTTTACTCAAATCCAAATGATCCTCCGGTACCATTGATACCAGTAATTCAACTCTTTGCTCTGGGATGGTCCATTTACCCTCTGGTAATTTAACGTAGCTATTGAAAATGACCATTTATAGTGAGTTTTCCCATTAAAAATGGTGATTTTCCATAGCTATGTTAGTTTACCAGAGGGTAAATCCTATCATTTGATGGTGATTTTCCACTTTGCAAGCTGTCAAAAAAAAACGGCGATCCCCGGACACCTGCCAGACATCGTAGGGCATGACCGCTACGACACTGATGGCAATCGCCACTCCCGCCTAGATTTCGAGATGGTGACCCCATGATTGCATGGTGAAAAAAAAACCCTCTTCTTGGTGGTTTTTTATCTAATGATGATCAGAATAAAAATGCCTTTTCGAAGATCGCAAAAATCTGGAAAATCCTCAGATTATCTTAGATTCGTGTGAAAATCACCATCACAATGTAAATAATGACCAGTACAATGACCTGCCAAAATAATGCCTTTAATTTCTCCAAAATCAATAGATCCAGTAGCCATGGTTTCGGGCCTTTCGGGGGAGGTGTTCATATGTGTTTGTCGCTAATGATTGGAATGGACTTTGAGGATTTCCATGACAAGGATTGTTCAATAGGACTGGAGGGGTGCGAAGGGTGCCAAGCCATTGTAGTTTAGCTTGGCCAGGTCAAGATCGAGAAAGCAAAGGGTTCAAGAAACTTCGGGAGAACCCCCAAAAACCCTGTGGTAATCAAACATGGCTTGCTCGATGATGTTCTCAGCTAGAAACCTCCATTTCTAGAGGATGTCCCAGCTATGTTTGATGACACCGGAGGGTACACTCCTGAGGACAGTACGACGCAAGTGAGGAAGGAGAGCCTCTGACTCCCCATCAGCAGGAAAAACTTGCGACTAAAAGTAAGCTACTCAAATCAATGTGGTATCATAAGCTGCAAACATGGGAAATACTTACGACAATACAAGTGGATACAGACCCAGCGTGCCAATAGAAGAAATACACCTAGATAAATTAGGGCCGACTCAAACAAATTCATGGAATACTAAGCCAGGCTTCTTTGGGTGAAAAATTATGTCGACTCTACCCATTATTTGTATATATATATATACATACCGTGATTAAAAGGAGCCTGAAAAGTAAGATGTGAGAGATACCAAAAACTTGAAAAAAAGGGGCTTCCACAGGTTTGTGTGTGTGTGTCATGAAGTTATGATGTTTTGACTAAAACAATTGATATTATCCTTTGATCTTGGACAGAATGCAAATGCAGACCAACAAATCTTCAATTCTTCTAACCAAAATCCGAAAAGCTATGGGTCAAAATTAGCCACCCTAAAAATTGGCGACTACTGAAAGTCTGTCCGTTCGATAGTGTGACCCACAGCACCGTCTCGGCCGCATTTGAAGCGAGCAGGGCATACCAGTTGGCATCCTGGGCTGCTTCGTGTCGAGCACCAAGGGTCCCGTGGTGAAACGAATGGGTCACCCGGCAATCAGTTGGGCATGGTCGGGCCATATGTCAGTTGAAGAAACATGAAAAAAAAACATCTTTGTAACTGGGTTCCCATCTTTCAGGTTCAAGTCCTTCAAAAGAAACACGGGGGAGGAGTTTTTCGCTTGAAAAATGCCAGGGTTTTCCACTCAACCCAGGGAGGAAGCCTACCTCACCCAAACCCAACTCCAGAATTAAATGATGTTTTTCAGAAAAAAAAAAAAACATGTATGTTTCACCACCCTGTTGGGGCCCTGGATAGCCCTGGCGACACCCCCCATTGAGTCACACCCACTCCTCGCCTTCTCCGCAAACCGCAAAAGAACACATGCCACAATCAAAGCCACCAGGACCTGGCGGTAGAAGTAGATGAATGTGTATCTATGCCTACATCTACTGTACATACACATATTATTACAGGTCTGAGATGTGTTATATGATATAAGTGTGTGTGTGTATTATGTATTTATGTATTTATGTATGTATGGATGGATGTATGGATGTATGGATGTATGGATGTATGTATATAATTGTATATATGTATGCATGCATGCATGTATGTATGTATATATGTATATATGTATATATGATTATATTATAGTTGTCATCTCTTGTATATATAATTTAGCTTGGCAACGGGAAATCCTTTTTCGATGTTTCATCTAGCAAACTGCAAAGAAGAGACCTAAGCAGGATGAAAATAGCAAGGTATTCTCCTCGTGCTCCTGGACACAAGCCCACTGCATATTTGTTGAGTATTCATGCGTCTTGATTGAGTCCACTGTGTTGGTAAATCATGTAATATGTTCTTTATGTTTTCAACCCTTGAATACACCCATGTGCATGATCAACATCCCCAGTTCTTGGTGGAAAAAAGGGCTTTGACAAAACCTCCAGCTCCAGCCACTGCCCCAAACATGGGAGCGGACGGGGCCACAAATCAGCACCAATAAGCCCAACGTGCTGTACATCTTGCAGCGCTGAGCCGAGATCCTCGAGCTAAGATGGTGATCCCCGAGGCCTTGATGTTTGTCGCGTTGAGCCCTGGTGAAACTTGGAGGTACAAAAAAGGGAGGATGATTTTAAACTAAAAGATGGTGAAGAAGGCAGGGTGAGTCAATGTCTTGTTTCAAGCCTAGTTGTCCATATTTGGCTGATCCCTTTTCTTGAGCTTCAAGTGGCGGGACAGAAGACATTCCAAAAAACAAAGAATTTTCCCAAGCTACTCAACTTGCAAGGCCGGCAAATGTCCACGGAGCCCGCCGGACCTCTTTTTCACGGCCACTTCTTAAAAGTGTCACAGGGCTGGATCAAAATTTCAGAGATTCACAGATTTGGGTATGAGACTTTATGAGACTGATTTTTTTCAACTGCTCCATCCTTGAATTTTGACCCATGTTCACACCGACATGGTATCCATCTGTTGAGATGCTACCCGCAGCATGTGTCGAAAAAAAAATGTGTCGTTTTCTCTGGGAAAACATTCGCACGTCTCCAAACAGGATGGCGCTCTCGCTTTCCCTCTCGCCAAGTGGCGATAGTTTGGGACTGGTTACCATTGGTTACCCTACTTTGAGGTTGGATAAGGTTAGATCATGCTCTATCATGTTACATCCTTGGTATATAACGGTGATATACGGTGATATACGGTGATATAACTTAACTAATCAGCTAATATATGCTAATATAAATATATGAATCATGGATATGGATGGCCACCCCTAAGGTGACCCATTTGTCCTATTTTGTCGTTGGGATGGCGATGAATCGCCTCAATGTGACAGAAATTTGTCTTTCCACATCCGCGGCAAGCTGTAGGAGTATCGCATCTTTCGAATCACCTTGGAGCTTAACAAAGGGGAAATCCCTGGCAATGGCAATATCTTAGAAAATAAGAGGTGACGGCAAGCTGTATGATTGCTCTGGCAATGGAAGATTCGTTTCTGACATGTGTGATACACACATAATTCCATTGTATGGTAGGAACATGTAGGAACTACGTCCACAAAGGGGGGAAACGTTTCATTGTCACGCTGGATTGCCAGAAGTTAAAACAGGTTTTTGTCACGCGCACAGGCCGACCTTGCGGCCATGGGTATTAACCAGCTAACTGGCATCAACCCTCCAAGTATTATGCGAAACCCAATCCCAAACCATCCCTAGTTTTACCTTCTCAACCTTTGAAAAAAGGCTTGAATCATTCCTTGGTTTTCCGAATAGAATGGGTCCGGCTGGGTCCGGCAAAAGATTGCCTACCCCAACATCTTGATGGTTAATCATAATTCTCATCATTAAAGTGCCGATTTGCCGGAGATACATCATTTACACCCCAGCAAAACCCCACGAAAAAACCCATTGAAACAATCTGAAACCCAGCCTGTGATGCCTGTGGCACATTTGCTATCTCCATACCAGAGATACATTCTAAGAATCATTGAATCATATGGAATCTACATGACCTCGAGGTCAGCCATCCAAATCTGTTTGAGGCGTCCGGCCGGAATCTGCGAGGGTAGTTTGCCACCGTCGTGCACGGCACGTTTCCTGGGCATAGTCCTCCATGGTTAAATGTTCGATCAACAAGAACTATATCTAATCAGAAATCAGAATAAACAAGTCTAATATATAATTGTTCTCGAATTCTAGTTTTTATAAGGCTGATCTAGAATTATAATGAGTTATAACCATTCAATGGCTGGATTTAAGGGAAAATCCACGTGTTTGCCAGTAAATCTGGAGGGGTCCTGCAAAATTATCCCATCATCCAATTCTTTTTTCAGTATTAGAATCTATACCTAATCTACTGAGAACCTAATTCATCTAATTCATATTAGATATGTATAGATATGTAATGTGTATAAATTATATATATATACATACTGGTAACCTACCCCTCTGAAAAATGATGGAGTTCGTCAGTTGGGATCATTATTCCATTCCCAACTGAATGGAAAGTCATTAAAGCCGTGTTCCAAAGCCATGTTCCAGTCACCACCAAGCAGTTTTTGTTGGCCCTTGATAGGCCATCAACACCAAAGGACGTCAGGTACTCGAAGATGAGATCAGCCTCCTGAGCGATGTCACGTTGACGTGGGGACCAACGGGTCGTGTGTTAATGGATCTTGATGGTCGTGTTTAGTCAGGGCTTAATGAGATCTGAGTTTAATTTGGTTTCAATGTTGTTGTTTTGGGGGAGGTGGTGCAGGGTTTTAGGTTGGTTTCAATTGTTGTTCATGGGTGTTACAGTGATGGGAATTGGTGGGTATCAATCATGCCATGATTTGATGCTACTTGGGGACAACCAAAAAACTGCTTCAACCCCCCAACATGTCCCAGTAGCACAATCAAAATGTAGAATATCTACTGTAAATATCCTCCAAGATAGAAGTAAAAATGTCCAAAAACTTTGATAAATCCTCGAAAAGTCACCCTTCAAAACAATGGTCACCTGCCAAGAAACACTGCTCTCTTTGGGCTTCGTCATGGCGCGCTGGTCCCAGCATTCGATGGCCTGCCCCATTCCCCAGGGAAATGATCGTGATAAACCTGTCACATTGACATTGGCTATGATTTTTACTACCCATTGGCAATATTGGGGATGACAATATTGGGTATGATCGTGATTGACAATAATTGGGGATGGTGTAAAATAATTTACTACCCATTTTTACTGCACATTTTTACTACCCATTGGGGATGGTGCAAATAATATTAAATAATTGGCTTTGCCACGCTACTGATAGAGGCTTTCCATAGCTATGTTAATTGACTGGAGGGTTTTGTTTAATGGACGGGTGTGATTTAAATGAAAAAAAAGGGGGACTCAACCAGCAACAGATTGGGATGGTCTGAAGTTAGATTATGGCCGTCTCCGGCCGGATAGACTTTCTTTTAATGTTGATTGTTTGCTTGTTAGCTTTACACCAACAGCAACTTTCCTGGATCTAACCTTGACCATACCCGCCCCCAATAGCAGACACCACCAAGCCATTCGACTCGTTGAGTCCGACCTCTAAAATCCACTTGTGCATGTTGGCATCCAGTCGTTTCTGCAAGGCCTCGGAAGAAAAAATTGGAGCATGGTCCTGGTAATCGCTGGTAGATCTATGGCAAATCCCCTTTTGAATAGGTCACAATGGTCACAAAAAACCTGGGCACCTGGAATTGAAGTGAGACACCCAAGCCGGACATAGTGACATAGCTCCATCATGTTCCATCTATCAGACCCGCGGGGAGTCGGGAAAGTGGCTTGCTCGATGTGGTGAACCCCGCCCAAGCCGTCTTGTTGCTGCTGTAAAAGGCAGGGATGGTGAAATATGTATGGGCCTACATTTCAACATTTAGGCCTTGGGGACTGGAGGCTTGGGTCATTTTCAGCGCTGCTTGCCGTCCATTTTGACTAAGGAAACCCGTGGAAATCCAGTCGTGACCCATACCGACATGTTGGACACAGCAAAGAAGTGGCAAATTATCTCCAACCAGCCTCCGACAAACATGTCAAAACTTCCACATATTAGTCAATATTAGTCATTGATCCTTTCGTAATCGAACCTGGCACTGGACAAACTCCCTAGGACAATCAAAAAAATCACCCAGACAGGGTTTTTTCGTCCAGTGTCAAACTTTCCCACCAGTACGAACACCCTCCCCCGTCGCCCCCGGGGCCTTGTGCCGCACGTTCTTCCAACGCAAATAGTTGGCTTGCCCATCAAAGACGCGTCGATTGGAGGCTGTCCTGGCCGAGGTCGCGGAGACTTTTGCCACAAAGAGCATCAAATAATTGTATGGGATGATGTAGCCCATATAATATGATGTAATACCATATCAATATATGAGTGTGATATGAAATTGCCTGAAATTGTATGTATGGTATGAATATCATTTAATAATATAAGATTGATATCAGAGGAATATGATAAGATAAGATAGTCTATGTCCACAACGGGTGTTCCGGTTGTTGGAGGCTCTACTGTGAAAAGGAGTTCAACATGACCAAAACCCGTAGGTTGAGGGGTCTTGCACATAAAAACAAAAAAACACAACCATATTACATCACACAGTTTATGTTGAATGCTTCAAATTGTTAATACTAATCACTCCCCCTTCCCTGCACAAAAATGCGCCTGTTCAAGGTTTCAAAAATGATCAACTACCCCAAAACGATGCTGTAACGCTGTGAAATGCTTCAAATGTAGTAAATACCGGCAAAGGATGTGATATTAAGTAGATGTTGTTCTGCCTTCAATGTTGACCCATCCCCCATTTCGCCTGAGAAAACGTTCGGCCACCTCTTGGTCTACCTGGACATCCATATCTGATGTTGGTAAAGCGTTTGCATCCATGGATGCCTATGTAAAATGTCCAACCTCATGAATAGTGCAAATTCCATTGATCGGCAGTAAAGTCTCCATTTATTGCTGCTGGTGTCCCTGTTTAGGATGATGATCGGATAAATCCCAATCACATTACATTATATATTTTGCATATATATATATAAATATATAGATAGATAGATAGATAGATAGATAGATACACATATATTTCCCATGAACGCTGTTTCCAAAACTCAACCTCAACAGCCACGTGATTTTCCCATTACAAATCAAAAAACAAGATGCAACCCATGAACCCGAATGCTCACATGTATGTTAATGGTGATGATGTCGAAACACATGGAAATGCAGTCATGCAGAACACTTTTCTGAAACACTTTACACAGTCATGTACATTTAAGATGTAAAGTGTAGAGTGTGGAGTGCAGAGTGTACAGTGTGGAGTGAGGAGTGCACAGTGTAAACTGTAAAGTCTGGAGTGTAGAGTGTAGAGTGTAAAGTGTAGAGTGTAAAGTGTAGAGTGTGGAGTGTGGAGTGTAAAGTGTCGAGTGTGGAGTGTAAAGTGTGGAGTGAGGAGTGAGGAGTGCAAAGTGTAAAGTGTAAAGGGTGGACTGTAGAGTGTAAAGTGTGCAGTGCAGAGTGTAGAGTGTAGAGTGTAAAGTGTAGAGTGTGGAGTGCGGAGTGTAAAGTGTAGAGCGTGGAGTGTGGAGTGTGGAGTGTGGAGTGGAAAGTGTAGAGTGTGGACTGTGGACTGTGGGCTGTGGAGTGTAAAGTGTGGAGTTTGGAGTGTGTAACGTGTAGTGTGCGCAGTGTGGAGCGAGGAGTGTGGAGTGTAGAGTGTGGAGTGTGGAGTGAGCAGTGTAAAGTGTGGAGTGAGGAGTTTACAGTGTAAAGTGTGGAGTGTAGAGTGTAAAGTGTAGAGAGTAAAGTGTAGAGAGTAAAGTGTTAAAGTGCAGAGTGTAAAGTGTAGAGTGTGGAGTGTAAAGTGTAACGTGTAGAGTGTGGAGTGTGGAGTGGAAAGTGTAGAGTCTGGAGTGTGGAGTGTGAACTGTGGAGTGTGGGGTGTAAAGTGTGAAGTGTGGAGTGTAAAGTGTGGAGTGTGAAGTGTGGAGTGAGGAGTTTACAGTGTAAAGTGTAAAGTGTGGAGTGTAGAGTGTAGAGTCTAAAATGTAGAGTGTGGAGTGCAAAGTGCGGAGTGTAAAGTGTGAAGTGAGGAGTGAGGAGTGAGGAGTGTACAGTGTAAAGTGTGGAGTGTAGAGCGTGAAGTGCAGAGTGTGGAGTGTAAAGTGTTGAGTGTGGAGTGGAAAGTGTAGAGTGTGGAGTGTGGAGTGTGGAGTGTAAAGTAAGGAGTGTGGAGTGTAAAGTGTGGAGTGTGGAGTGTGTAACGTGTAGAGTGTGCAGTGTGGAGTGAGGAGTGTGGAGTGTAGAGTGTGGAGTGTGGAGTGGAAAGTGTAGAGTGTGGAGTGTGGAGTGTGGAGTGTAAAGTAAGGAGTGCTGAGTGTAAAGTGTGAAGTGTGGAGTGAGGAGTGAGGAGTGTACAGTGTAAAGTGTGAAGTGCGGAGTGTAGAGTGTAGAGTGTAGAGTGTAAAGTGTGGAGTGTGGAGTGTACAGTGTACCTTGTAAAGTGTGGAGTGTGGAGTGTAAAGTGGGGAGTTGGGAGTGTAGAGTGTGAAGTGTGGAGTGTATAAAACAGGTTAGAATGTCACAAAGTGCCACGCCTGCCACGCAAAACGACATGACAACCTGCTTGAAAACCTTCGAAAAGGAGAAGTTTTGCAGCTTCCCTATAGACACGGCGAGGCCACAGGAAAACCAGACTCGAGACGAGACACGTGGGAGCAGCAAAACGAGCATTTCGTGCGAGACTTCCTCCAATTTTGACACTTTCGACACGGTATAAACCAGTAAATCAATATATATATAGCTATGGAAAACTCACCATTTGAAGATCATGTTCCTGCGGAATCCTGAATTTCCGTTTTCATTTAAATTCACCGGAGGTTTTGAAAAAATAAACGTGTCCATTGATCGGCTGTGACGTTTTTTGTTTAATCATGTCTTGCTAGTTCCCAAAAAATAAAACAACTAAGCCAACCCAAGGAGCCGACCAACTGGATCCGGGTTTCCCCAGTTGGCCCCCCCCCAGCGACCCAATCGATCGCCCACAGCCTCCTTTCGCAAGTCTTCGGTCAGCTGCGCCACGTGTTGCTCCACGTGGCTTTGGAGCTCCGGCAGCCTGTTCTGAAGGAAGGCCTGCGATGGTGGCAATGAGTGGGGTGGATGGGGGATGGGGATGATTTATCTGAAGCACTGAAGAAATAGCTTTGAACCACAAAGAAATGGGATTATTCACCAAACAAAGTGGGGATTGATGATGGAATAATGATAACTTAGTTGGTTTGTAACCAGGTGGACGATGGTTTGTGGTAAATAACTATATCGAACTAGTTGATGGGGGTCAAATAACAACTTACAATTACAACCTGAGGGGGCACCAGCTTATAGATTTGATTTAGGCAAAGATAGCGGCGGAAGTCAACTTTTTACAAGAACGGGGTGGGATGGAGGATGGGGATGGAGGAAAGATGATGGAATTTTGGCAATTAAAGTGAGTTTCAAGACGCGCTTAGCGGCTCGGAATAAGATTGCTGCTTGGAACACCTTATTCTGATCTATGATGTTCTGATGTTTTCTTGATGCGCCAAGAGCACCAAGAGAATGATTATGGTCATGACCAGTCATCATGATGGGGCAATCGTCATAGTGATGATCATCAGCAAGATCTGCATCAGCATGATCCGCACCCTTCCCCCATTGCAGTCCTGGACCCTTTCTTTCACTGACAACGGCTCATCGCCCTTGCTGTGATGAACCACCAAGCCTGCAAACGCTTTGGAGAATGTTGCCGATAGACGCGAGAGAGAATCAGTCCATTAATCCCATTCCCCTAAATGTGAAACAGCCCCTAAATGGTCCCAAATATGTCTAAATTCCCTATCAAACCACATGGTTTCTTGGGTGGTGTTTAATATTTCGGGGGGGTGAGTGGGATGAATTTGTTGAACCTTTTTTGTGTTTTGGTTATGCCTCGCTGAACCATCATTGCTTGGCATTTCCCATGATGCTGATGATGTCATGACAACAACGTGCTACAAAACTATAACTGGTTGGTGGTTGACCAACCCCTCTGAAAAATATGAGTTCGTCAGTTGGGATTATGAATTTCCCAATATATGTAAAGTCATAAAAGCCATGTTCCAAACCACCAACCCGATAAGAATGATTCCAAAATTTTATGACGTCCATCCCAGCTCAAGCCTGGAACGTCCCCAGCTGGGCCACCCGACTTTCATCGGATTCCACCAGAGATCTGGGGCGCAGACTTCGGCCAGCGATGCTACCTGGGGAAGGCCACAGAAATATTCATGTCATTTCTATCTCTGCGAAACTTTGCTATTGGGGTTGCATGCTGGGTTACTTTTTCTTACATGTTATCATAATATACTGGGTATGCATATATGTATACATGTATATATGTGTATGTGTATATATGTATATGTATAATTTATAAATACATATATGTAAATATGTAAATATGTTCATGCAATATTCCATAGGATATGTGGTGTGTGTATATATATATACATCTGTATATGTAGAAACGATATCTTCGGGAAATGTGATATGGAGATGATGTGATATGTACATATATATATATATACACATACAACCCGCCGGACCGGAAACCGTGCTCATCGATGTGCACTTTGTGTCCAAAAATTGAAATTTTACCACAGTGCCGCGCTGATTTGATGTTTTGGAAACCTGGAAAAATTTGAGGCGCGTTTTTTGTCTTTTCACCGTCATCGCTGCAACGCATGCACCGTTATCAGCTGGCAGTCAGCATTCTTGTGAATGCATCTCCATTGCCAAGCAGCGTAGTAACAAGTAACGTAGCAACGATCCCAGAGATCCCAGCAGCGTAGTAACAAGTAACGTAGCAACGATCCCAGAGATCTCAGCAGCGTAGTAACAAGTAACGTAGCAACGATCCCAGAGATCTCAGCAGCGTAGTAACAAGTAACATAGCAACGATCCCAGAGATCCCAGCAGCGTAGTAACAAGTAACTTAGCAACGATCCCAGAGATCTCAGCAGCGTAGCACACTATAATGTACGAAGTACAAGGAACGTTGACATGCCCCCCCCCACCCCACCCCACCCCATCAGCAGCGTAGTAACAAGTAACGTAACAACGATCCCAGAGATCTCAGCAGCGTAGTAACAAGTAACGTAGCAACGATCCCAGAGATCTCAGCAGCGTAGTAACAAGTAACGTAGCAACGATCCCAGAGATCTCAGCAGCGCAGTAACAAGTAACGTAGCAACGATCCCAGAGATCTCAGCAGTGTAGTAACAAGTAACGTAGCAACGATCCCAGAGATCTCAGCAGCGTAGTAACAAGTAACTTAGCAACGATCCCAGAGATCTCAGCAGCGTAGCACACTATAATGTACGAAGTACAAGGAACGGTGACATGCCCCCACCCCACCACCCCACCCCACCCCACCCCACCACACCCCACCAGCGGCGTAGTATTAAGTAACGTAGCAACGATCCCACAGATCTTTGGAGCGTAGCACACTAGAATGTACGAAGTACAAGGAACGTTGACATGCCCCCCCCCACCCCACCCCAAAAACGTGCGTTTTACGGGCACGGTGTCCGCAGACACATACAACTATGATATATCTGTAGATATAGACATACCTGTACAGATATATATATATATATATAAACATATGCATATGTGAAAGAAGTGGTGTAATTATAGAGAAATCATATAGGCGGAAGATATGACAAGCATTTTAATCATAAGTCAGAACCCCACAAAATCTACTGAAATATCACTTCGTGCATTGGTTGCATTGTACAATGTCACATCTAGACTTATAGGCTGATGTATCATTCATATGGATGCAGATCTATATTTGGATATCTTAGTGTACGTGTATATGTTGTATATTATACATAGACAAACATATCCATGTGCATATCATACACCATTATTCAATGCGTATAGCATGTAAATATTGATGCGTATAGATGCATATTAGTACGCACAGACCCCCCGTTTCGCCCATTGGGAATAGTTCAACTTTGGGAAGATTAACAAGGGTATGAGGAATAGATTAAACTCTACATTCAATTGGGACGATCAAGAAGGGTATGAGAAAATTAAAATCCCACCCCCAACAATGTACATTCAATTGGTATAATCAACAAGGGCATGATGAATATAACTTTACATTCAATTGGGAAGACCAAGAAGGGCTTAGGGCTTAGGATTTAGGGTTTAGGGTTGCGGATGATGAGGATGAGGATGAGGAAGAGGATGAGGATGAGGATGAGGATGATGATGATGATGATGATGATGTGTAAGAGAGCCGCACAGGTCATACAGGTCCCTATTCTGTGTGTTCCGCTGTAACCATCATGCAAAAATGTTCCATGTTTATTTTTTTTGCCGCGTTTTCAGCTCATGCGGGGATGATCGCCGACGACATCGGGCAAAATGAGGGGTTTGCCCGTAACGGTATACTGGCGAAGGTTCCACTGGTTACTTTGACTGTGACCAACATTTCATAGCCAAGCCATTGGTTTTTTTCACTAGACAATAGATCTGCCGCTGGTAGATTTCGAGTGTTCAAAAAAAGATGCTATTTGTAGAGGACATCTTAACATAATGTCCATAGACAAATAAGATACAAGAAGTAAACACGCCAAAGCATGATGATGGGAAATTACAATCTAACAATCCATGGCTCCAGGATTCTCCCCATCCAAAAAACCACCCCGCCTCCCACCGTGTGCAGCGCCGTGAGAGCGGTGGCCTAGGCCGCTCTGAAATCACCATCAAACGGCAGCCCCACCATGAAACAATCAGAATCACCATCAAACGGGGGACTGATCCTGAAAAGCAACTTGGGGATTCATAGCTGCATCAAATCAATAAAGAAATCCTGGTATCGAAGAAGAGTGAATGAAAAATGCAGATTGAGTGGAGGTTTAACACCAAATTACCATGAAATGGCGGCTTTACAGTTGATCAACCAATGATTTGGGCTGGGTCCGAACATGAGAGATTAACTTACCCCTCAGCAGGTGGCCATTTCAACTATGCGGGCATCATGAGGGAAGCAAAACAAAACCATTCGATGGAATCTAAGCAGTGTTTAAAAACGGCATAGCCCTTTAATAGGGAAAAGTGATGATATAGAATCCATTGGAATTGTTGGTACTTCATTTCACTTCGCAAACGGTGAAATGACCACTGGAACAAGGCTGCTGGGTCTTGTGTCATCAACGACTCAGGCACACGCCGTAGTGGCCGTAATACCGGTGTAGGCGGTGTAGCCAGTCCTCGAATGTGGCATGGCGGAACGTCCACCCCCCGGCTTGTCCGGGATCTAATTGTATGAAATATATTGTAATATATGATAGATGTAAATACTATTCATGAACATGTGTATATGTGTATATGTGTATATGTGTATATGTGTATATGTGTATATGATGTGTATATGCACATATGTGTATATGTGTATATGTGTATATGCGTATATGTGTGTATGTAATGTAATGTAATGTAACGTAACGTAACGTAACGTAACGAGAATGTAATGTATGCATGCATGGATGGATGGATGTATATCTGTGTGTGTGTATGCATGTATAGATGGAAATTGCGAGAAAGACAATGTATCTTTATTTAAATATGCATAATTATGTATTTACTGTGCATGATACATACATATATATATAATGCATATACATGTATACATGAAAGGTGGACCATAGAGACGCCTCTTGGCATATAGATAGATAGGATAGGATAGGTTAGGTTAGGATAGAATTCATAGCTTAGATGGCTTACATAGCTGTGATAGTTGTGATATCGATACATGAGATACATTGGATGCAGTGGATGCATTGGACACATTAGATAGCTTAGATAGATCAGATAGCTTAGATAGATCAGATAGATCAGATAGCTGAGATAGATCAGATAGCTGAGATAGATCAGATAGATCAGATAGATCAGATAGCTGAGATAGATCAGATAGATCAGATAGCTTAGATAGATCAGATAGATCAGATAGCTGAGATAGATCAGATAGCTTAGATAGATCAGATAGATCAGATAGCTGAGATAGATCAGATAGCTGAGATAGATCAGATAGATCAGATAGATCAGATAGCTGAGATAGATCAGATAGATCAGATAGCTTAGATAGATCAGATAGCTTAGATAGATCAGATAGATCAGATAGCTGAGATAGATCAGATAGCTGAGATAGATCAGATAGATCAGATAGATCAGATAGATCAGATAGCTGAGATAGATCAGATAGATCAGATAGCTGAGATAGATCAGATAGCTGAGATAGATTCAGACTAGCTGAGATAGATCATCATATAGATCAAAAAAAAAACAGCACAACACAAAAAATAAAACACAGAATAGCTCTTGAGATAGATCAATAGCTGAGATAGATCAGATAATCAGATAGATCAGATAGCTGAGTAGATCAGATAGATCAGATAGTTAGATAAGTATCAGTAGACACAGATAGCTTATATAGATCCGATAGCTTAGATATCAGATTAGAATCAAAGCCTGAGATAGATCAGATAGCTTGAGATAGATCAGATAGATTCAGCAGCTGAGATAGATCAGATAGCTTAGATAGATCAGATAGATCAGATAGCTGAGATAGATCAGATAGCTGAGATAGATCAGATAGATCAGATAGATCAGATAGCTGAGATAGATCAGATAGATCAGATAGCTGAGATAGATAGGATAAGCTGAGTAGCATCAGATAGAATAAGATAGATCAGATAGCTGAGATAGATCAGATAGATCAGATTAGCTGAGATAGATCAGATAGCTGAGATAGATCAGATCTAGATCAGATAGATCAGATAGCTGAGATAGATCAGATAGATGAGATAGCTGGGATAGATCAGATAGCTTAGATAGATCAGATAGATCAGATAGCTGAGATAGATCAGATAGCTGAGATAGATCAGATAGCTTAGATAGATCAGATAGCTGAGATAGATCAGATAGCTGAGATAGATCAGATAGATCAGATAGATCAGATAGCTGAGATAGATCAGATAGCTGAGATAGATCAGATAGATCAGATAGATCAGATAGCTGAGATAGATCAGATAGATCAGATAGCTGAGATAGATCAGATAGCTTAGATAGATCAGATAGCTGAGATAGATCAGATAGCTGAGATAGATCAGGTAGATCAGATAGCTGAGATAGATCAGATAGCTTAGATAGATCAGATAGATCAGATAGCTGAGATAGATCAGATAGCTGAGATAGATCAGATAGATCCGATAGCTCAGATAGCTGAGATAGATCAGATAGATCAGATAGCTGAGATAGATCAGATAGCTTAGATAGATCAGATAGCTTAGATAGATCAGATAGATCAGATAGCTGAGATAGATCAGATAGCTGAGATAGATCAGATAGATCAGATAGCTGAGATAGATCAGATAGCTGAGATAGATCAGATAGATCAGATAGATCAGATAGCTTAGATAGATCAGATAGATCAGATAGCTGAGATAGATCAGATAGCTGAGATAGATCAGATAGCTTAGATAGATCAGATAGCTGAGATAGATCAGATAGATCAGATAGCTGAGATAGATCAGATAGCTGAGATAGATCAGATAGATCAGATAGCTGAGATAGATCAGATAGCTTAGATAGATTCAGATAGATCAGATAGATCAGATAGTTCAGATAGATTCAGATAGATCAGATAGATCAGATAGATCAGATAGCTGAGATAGATCAGATAGATCAGATAGATCAGATAGTTCAGATAGATTCAGATAGATCAGATAGATCAGATAGATCAGATAGATCAGATAGATCACATAGCTTAAGATAGATCAGATAGATGAGATAGCTGGGATAGATCAGATAGCTGAGATAGATCAGATAGATCAGATAGATCAGATAGCTGAGATAGATCAGATAGCTTAGATAGATTCAGATAGATCAGATAGATCAGATAGATCAGATAGCTTAGATAGATCAGATAGATCAGATAGTTCAGATAGATTCAGATAGATCAGATAGATCAGATAGCTTAGATAGATCAGATAGATCAGATAGCTGAGATAGATCAGATAGCTGAGATAGATCAGATAGCTTAGATAGATCAGATAGCTGAGATAGATCAGATAGATCAGATAGCTGAGATAGATCAGATAGCTGAGATAGATCAGATAGATCAGATAGATCAGATAGCTGAGATAGATCAGATAGCTTAGATAGATTCAGATAGATCAGATAGATCAGATAGTTCAGATAGCTTAGATAGATCACATAGATTCAGATAGATCAAATAGATCAGATAGATCAGATAGCTTAGATAGATCAGATAGATCAGATGGATCAGATAGATCACATAGCTTAGATAGATCAGATAGATCACATAGCTTAGATAGATCAGATAGATCAGATAGATCACATAGCTTAGATAGATCAGATAGATCAGATAGATCAGATAGCTGGGATAGATCAGATAGGTCAGATAGCTCAGATAGATCAGATAGATCAGATAGATCAGATAGCTGAGATAGATCAGATAGCTTAGATAGATCAGATAGATCAGATAGATCAGATAGATCAGATAGATCAGATAGCTTAGATAGATCAAATAAATCAGATAAATCAGATAGCTTAGATAGATCAGATAGCTTAGATAGATCAGATAGATCAGATAGATCAGATTGCTGAGATAGATCAGATAGCTTAGATAGATCAGATAGATCAGATAGATCAGATAGCTTAGATAGATCAGATAGATCAGATAGATCAGATAGCTTAGATAGATCAGATAGCTTAGATAGATCAGATAGATCAGATAGATCAGATTGCTGAGATAGATCAGATAGCTTAGATAGATCAGATAGATCAGATAGATCAGATAGCTTAGATAGATCAGATAGATCAGATAGATCAGATAGCTTAGATAGCTTAGATAGATCGATAGCGTTGTCTGTATGTGTATATATATATATAATGTATACAACATATCTAATTTTGTGGCAACCAAGGCTGACATATCTAAGATGTTGGCTGACCGCTCAAGGCGCTCTCGGAGGCAGCACTACTGGCTCGGATCTTGCGTTTCCTGGTCAATGCTGAGATTTTACCCAGCCAATTTAAGGTGATTTGACCACAAAAAAAATGATGATAAAACGTCTAAAAATTGGTACTAATAATGGGAGATGTTGGCTCTTAAAATGGGGAACTCCAAGTTATCATCCAAGTCATTTTTGGTTATTTCTACAGGGGAACGAATGATGAAAAAGGCTCCATGTTTGAGAAACACCCAAATGGTTTCAGAAAATTTCAGGGAAGAATCAAATATGTAGTACACCGGGTCCAAAAATCAAACATGCCTTGGTGTTCAATTTGAGACTTTCTTATCGAGAACATTTATGTCAATCCCGGATTAAGACACCCCAGTTTCATCGACAGGAGTCATGTCGATACATGGCTATCAAATGGCACACTCCCGCCAATGAAACGGCCTTGGGGGCTATCAATCCAGGATTGACAACCAACAATATTGGCTACATACTCTTTTGTAATGGAACATTGCAGTACTTCTTCTCTGTTGGTAAGAAGACTCCTTTGGTCCAATTGTTTCGCGACGAAATGCTGCGGACGTGTGACTCAAAACGCATCCTCTGGATTATCAGGCAAAAATCTAAGCCGTGTGAAGCGATATTGTTTGGGTATGCAACCCAACCAAGCGAACCCTACAATACCAAAATTGCAATATTAACTTCGATCTGCTTAAGGACCCCCCACCAAAAAAAAGTCCTTCAATCGATTCCCTAATTCCATAAGTAGTGGATTTCCGATTGGAAAATCAAAAAAACATCTTCAGCAAATCCAAGATTATTGAATTTCCCAGCTAGAAACCTCCATTGATAGTGGATGTTCCAATATTTTTCCATTCAATCCCTATATAATCCCATAAAAATCTGCAATTTTTCTCCCTCCAAGAAGGTGGGCTCGCATTGCCTCTTCTCTTTGGCATTGGCAGCGGCCTGTGCCGAGAAAAATGGAAGCACCAACCAGTTTTAGCATGTTTCAACACTTTAGCAAGTTTATCATATCTATCTCATATTTGTTTGGGGTAGATGCTGAGGATGAGTAAAGCCCGAAGCTGCTGATGCCCCGATATCATGGCGGTGTCCCCTTAAACCATGTATACGTGTGTGTGTGTATGTATGTATGTATGTATGTATGTATGTATCTATCTATCTATCTATCTATCTATGTATCTATGTATCTATGTATCTATGTATCTATGTATCTATGTATCTATGTATCTATGTATCTATGTATCTATGCATGGATGGATGGATGGATGGATGGATGTATATATATATGTATGTATATATATATATATGATAATATCTAAATGATAATATATATACATATATATATATAAATGATAATAAAGAAATGATAATATGATAATATATATATATGATTATATATATATATATTTATGATAATATATGATAATATGTGATAATATATATATATATGATAATATATATATGATAATATATATATATATATGATAATATATATATATGATAATATATATATATGATAATATATATGATAATATATATATGATAATATATATATGATAATATATATATTATCATATATATATATGATAATATATATATATATGATAATATATATATATGATAATATATATGATAATATATATATGATAATATATATATGATAATATATATATATTATCATATATATATGATATGATATATATATATATGATAAAATATATATTATGTGATTATATATGTATATATATATGTGATATGTGATTATATAAATATGATCATGTATATATATGTGATTATATCTATATATATATATATATATATGATTATATAGATATATATATATATATATGTGATTTTATATATATATATGTGCATGATTATATACATATGCATAATTTTGTATGTATATACATATATGATGATATATGTAATTACATATATAACTATATATGTGTAAAAATGTATATGATTCTATATAACTATGATTATATATATATGATTATATGTATATATGATTATATGTATATATGATTATATGTATATATGATTATATGTATATATGATTATATGTATATATGATTATATATAGAGTATATGTATATATGATTATATATATATATTCTATATATGAGATTAAATATATATATATATGTGATTATATATATATATCATTATGTGTATATACATATATGATTTTATATACATATATATATGTATGATTTTATATATATATATATACATATATAAAAGAATTTATATATGATTATATATTTGTGATTATAGATATGATTTTCAATATGATTATATATATATATGAATATACATATGTATATATATTTATATATTATGATTATGTGTGTGTGTAACAAATGGACCTACATGTGGTTTGGTTCCCAAAAGAGGTACAAACATCATTTCCTCAAAATATCTTTGATGATCACCGGTCTTCCATTATCTCCCATCCCAAAAAAGACAACATCAACAAAACAACCTCTGGCAGCTAAATATACGGAAAATACTCACTTGTTCAACAGTAAACTATTCTTTAAAAAAATGGTCCATCTTCATCCATATTAATTATCCTGTTAAATCACAGTTTGAGTAACCCCAATGTTTCATTACAGTAAACCACTAATTTTGTCACCATTTTTTCAGCCAAATCGGCTCCACCTGTGCCAAAAAGATCTTCTCAATCCAGGCTTGGACGTCGGGCCGGGTGCGGGGCCCACAGACCTGACACTGGGTGAGGTGATGGAGATTTACCAAGGCCTTATGGAATCATTGGAATCCAGATTTCCCCTGAGTTTTAGTAAGTTGATGTAAAGTATTGTAAATTTAAGCAGTTGAAAATTGTTCTTTTTCGAAATCTTGTGTTCTTTTGAAATTCGCTGTTGATTTGCAAAAAATGAAAATAAAAAGTACTCTGAATTCTGATTCTGTGTGTTCCTAAAATATGTTCAATCTTCACGACATGCTTTGGATATTAGGAAAACGATCCAAATTACCCTCTGCACACCTAATCCAGAAGTGAAAAATTTGAATCCTAGCTAATATTCATTGGTTCCGCGTGAAATCCTAAGGCTTTTTACCTCAATGATTTGTCGCTGGGTATTCCATCTCAGTACCAGCGGCATGTGACGATATAGTTCACAGAATCTAACAAAATTAACAAACAATGCTTGGGGTGAAGAATCCCACACAAGAACGCTTATCATATTTATCATTTATACGGGGGCCCAGAGGTCAGAATTGCTGTTAGCTATAAACATGTTATGAATTGCAGAGAAATATGCATGATCCTCCCCATTCTCACTGCTGTTACCACATGTTTGTGGGGCATTGTGCTAGATCGAATTCCTGGTATCCAGGCACTACCGTTTTGCCTCAAAATGATGACAAACCATGGGCTTCTAACCATGGTTAATCCATATTGACCCATTGTTCACCAATCACCAAAGGTTTCCCTCCTGTAAACTAAAATAGATGTGGAAAAACCACCATATCCATATATATCCGTGAAAAATAGATTTCCCTTTTTGGGGAAACCATATGGCTTTTCCACATCTAGTTTGGGTATGTTTGGGTTAGTTAGTTGGGTGACCACCATTTTTTCAAACGAAATTCCACTCGCACCTGACTGAGGACGTGCATGCGTTCCTTCTCCAGTTCCAAGGGGTCCCTCGCCGGCGGATTGGACCTCAGCACCGTGCACGGGACACCAAAATCGCCGTGGGATGCGGGAAACTCCGCAGCAATACACGTACCATGACTGGGGATGGTAAACATACCACCTATAAAAAATGGTGATTTTGGGATACAGTAGTCTATTACTGGGTTTACGTGGGTTGCTATCATCGAAATTAATTGATCATCATATCAGTCATGGTAATAGCCGTATGTAGCCCTATTCAATGTGGCTAGCCTCAAGAAACAAGTAAATATGATTTATATTCAGCCCCAAATGATCGAATTAGTATACAGGGTCAATTTTGAGTTTACCACGAATAGTGATTACAGAAATAATGGTTCCATTTGTTCAGGATTTTACTATTAATAAATCAAAAACCAAATTCAACGTTCCTTTGCTGACGAGACCTTGGATCGAGGATCGAGTGCCCTGGCCTTCCACGGCTTCCAGATCAAAGTGTTCGTCCATCTCATCGCCTTCTATGTACTGGTTGTTTGATCAACACTTCCCAGCCAAGAAAAACGATCTGTATCAGAAACCCATTCAAGATATTCAATCATCATCAACATGAATGAACTATTAATATATAACTATATTTACAACTATATATATATAACTATATATAAAACTATATATATAACTATATATAACTATATATAAAACTATATATATAACTATATATAACTATATATAACTATATATAACTATATATAACTATATATAACTATATATAACTATATATAACTATATATAACTATATATAACTATATATAACTATATATAATTATATAGCACTATATATATATATATAACATTATATAACTCACTATATATTTAACTATATATAACTGTGGACAGCGGCCACATCCACCGGTCACTGGGTGCTCCCTTCTCATGAATCACCACTGTGGTCACTGTGGCCTCCTTGGATCGAAGCGAGGCCTCAAGTGCCTCGTCGAATGGGCGGAAGTATGGATTGTGGGTCATTAATCACTTCCTATATGGTTGATTTATGGCTGATTATCCAGTTATAGTTATATAGAATTATAATACATCATATCAAAAATAGTATGCGCACGTGTGTGTATATATATGTATATAGACATTATATTGCAAATAATTCACCCGCCACCTGGAATAAAAAGGCTATTTGGGGATGAATCCCCTTTTTAATATTTTTTTAAAGCACTATTCCAGCGACGTCGCAGTGAGATTGCCACTTGTTGAACAAAGAAAAGAAATTGCACTGCGACAACCAATCAAAATATGTTCATTGCTATAGTGATTAGCTATATCATACATCCAAACTATAGTTATTAATATAAATTAGTTGCTATAGTTAAACATAACTATCAAAACCCTCGTCTGTTGCCAGGGGGGGGTGGAACCCCTAAAAAAATAAAATAAAATGGAGGGGCCTAAGGAAAAAATGCCAATAAAATGAGAGGGCATAAGGTAAGATAGGAAAACCCAAGTAAAATACAATGGACAGGTACAAAAAGAAAATGACGTCAGGCACCCTCCACCTGGCCACTGTTGGACCTACAATTGGCAACTGTTGGACCTCGGGCTCCGGCATTTTCTTTTGGGTTGATCTTGTTTAGTCTTGTTTCCTTATTTGATTGGTTTTAACCATGTTCAGTCTTGTTTGGTCTTGCTTGGTCCTTTACATTGTTTCCTTATTTGATTGGTTGATCTTTTTTAGTTTTGTTTAGTCTTGTTTAGCCTTTTCACGTGCCAACAGAAGGAAAAATTGCGCGGATTTCGATCAATATAATATATATATATATATAATTGGTTCCACTTCTGACATCTGGACGGTTTCTAGAAAAGATACAAATGACTATAAATAAACTTAAGAAATCTCATTGGCTGCTGCAAGCTGCCCGTGTGCCTTTTGTTGACCAAGGAAGGCAATAGAAAATGAGGGGGGCCAACCCATTTTCGAAGTTAATGTCCAAGTAATTCCAAATCTCTGGAATGTTTCACAAAATGCTCAGACAGTTCACAGCTGTGCATCTTTGCTATCATGCTATCTCTGTCAGTTAACTTGATGGGTTAGGCACCTCAAAAAATAAAATGCACCCACAAAATAAAATGCCGGGGTCTGACCCATTTATTTTTATTTTATTTTTATTTTTTTTATTTTAAAAGGGGCTCCTGCCCCCCCATTTTATTTTTGTACGCCGGACGGGGGTTATCAAATACTATCAATATATCCACTGTCCAAAATCCTCTGCTTTGCCCCTTCGATTTGCCAACTACGGCCAGATTATTCGATTCGCATCCGCCTGTGTGAAATATGTGAAAGACCGTGCATAGTGGTGAAATCCCCGGACCGGCGCTGACCTTGGAATGTTTCAAGCTCCCTGCAGTCCCTGCATCACTGTGTCTGACCTGACGGCCACGAAAGCTGAAAATGGCTAAATGGCTAAACAATACGCTTCGGTGGTATCCCCAACAGCCGCAACGTTTTATTTTTACAAATCTTTCTGAAGTGTGCTGCGAAGCCAAGCGCTGGAAATACCTCAGCTGGGTTTCCGTGAGTTAAATGGCCGCAAATCCTGTTGAACCTGACCTGGCTCTGCACCAAAGCCTCCCAGACCTTCTCCGGAACCCTGTTGAACCTGACCGACCTGTCTCTGCACCAAAGCCTCCCGGAACCTTCTCCGGAACCTTCTCCGGAACCCTGTTGAACCTGACCGACCTGGCTCTGCACCAAAGCCTCCCAGACCTTCTCCGGAACCTTCGGAACCTTTTCCGGAACCTCGTTGAACCTGACCCGGCGCCTGCACCAGTGCACACCGGAACTATTCTGGGCTGAAGACCCCATTAGCTTACGCTGTTGGGGAAACAACACCAAAAAAAAACTCCGGATTTCACTGATTTCACAAAGAAAGAAAAACAAAAAACAAACTCCAGATTTCAGCCTGATGTTTGGTCTCAGTTCTCCTTGGTTGAAAAATGCCAAGTGGCCACTGGTGGCCCGGGACCTGGAGAGACATCCTGCGGAGACGGATGTCGGTGGGGTGGGATTGTCCGAGGTCGTGAGTCAGGATTTTCCAAAGTCGCCCACGAGGTCAGTTTTGACCCTGATCATAAGTGGGCTAGTTACGTCTTGCTGCCATGTATGGCTGATTAGGTATGCAACTGTATAAAATTAGGAGGGAGGGGAATCAAGTTGAAAGTGGCCGGTTGCTGCTGGCTTACAGCCCTTCTTGACGACGTGATCCACGCCATAATCAATTTCCCCACTGGCCATACCACTAAACTAAAACCCATTACTTGACATAAACCCAGTTGATTCAGTGAAGATTGCCATTCAGGATACAACCTAGCAGTGCCGGTCACTCCCATCATCCCTTTTTTTGGTATCAGAAAAGTATCCTCAACATTATATTTGATAATAACCTTCACAACCGCACGGACGCCAACCTCTTCCTCTTCCAAGTCTGGCAAACCCTTGTTGAAGAGGTAGTCTTTCCTGACCCATGCAGCTGATATCCCCCAGCCGTCATCCAAACGGCTGTGGAAACCATTTTGAGACATATGCACATATCAACTTGTTGTTGAGCAATGGTTACTTATCAAGGTACAGTATTGGGTGTGTCAAAGACACTGAAATTGCTGCAAATCATAAGTTGGAGGGAATGAGATTTTGACCCATTTTTTAGTAAGATTCGTTCTCTCGCAGGGTCCATCCCCCAGTTTTGGTGTGCCATTCTCGAAAAGTCGTGCATTTCGTCTTTCGGCAATCCTTGTGGAACTCACTGATAAAGTACTTGCCAACAGTTTTGGTAGATGGTGAAAATTCATGGGGTTGACATAAACATACATAAACCCGTTGTCTCAGCGACTGCTTGACGAAGAACGATATGTCGCAAATATGTTGGAAAAATCCAACACCAAAAAAAGATGTATGTACCCTCTGGTAAACTAACGTAACTATGGAAAATCACCATTTTTAATGGGTAAATCCACTATTTCTATGGCCATTTTCAATAGTTTTGTGTATAGTTTACCAGAGTGTAAAAAACATCAAAGATCCAACAAGTCTTCAGGAAATCTGCTTGTCAAATCTTCAAACACCAACACCAAGGCTCAGGAATTGCTGCGTTGCTTGCTCGTCTGGTGCGAAGTTGGCCCTGGGGCCCCGGATCAATTGGGGTAACCATCCAACCCTAATAGGTTACCCTGATAGGTAAACATGGCCATGGCTATCTAGCTAGGAAATATTGGGAAATCCCCCAAAAAAAATACGGAGTTTTCAGAAGGGGAAGTCATCCCAAGTCATCGAAATCAATGGGGTCAATGGGGATCCGGCAAGCCATGCGAATGATGACCGGAGGGTACTAATATAAATGTTACTGTAAGAGTTGCAATGTCATCTCATCTAAAAAAACAACCCAAATCGCCAATTCAGAGTTATGGAGTCAACAATTTGACCCACTATCGTAAAACCCAAATTCATAGTGTTGGTCACATCGCATCATATCCCAATAATATCCATTAAAAAGTTTGGCTTTATACCCATTTTATACCCATTTTTTCTCAGTCAAATCCACCATTTGAGGAGAAACCTATATCACGATGTTTTGTCACCCAATAAATCTACGGATATTTGCGGGTGTTTTTTTGATCACAATATGGCATCAAAATGGCATCCAAAATGCTATTGTGCGTTGACATGATATCTATGGTAATCAAAAAAAAACCAACATCTGAGACCATCTGCCACTAATGACTTATGTTTAGAAATGTCATTTACCATATTCTATTATTCTATCCTTTGAATATCCTTAGTCCTCTATTGGGGGGCGGCTATATCCCCTGAAAATCCCCTAAGGTCTGTTTTTTTCGCAACAGGATCCAGCATCACTGATGAAAATCCATGGGTTTTACCATAAATGGCATCATTTTTGGAGGGTGCAAAAAAAAAACAGCAATACACCACCAATCCATATGGGTTTATAGCTGGTTTTAGCGGTGCTTTATGGCCCAAGAAACGATTGGGGGCTTCAGCCCCTACCTCCCAAGGGGTCCCAAGATCTCCCAGGCGGCACCTGCTGAGCCCTCGGCTCCTCCACGGACCATGGCCTCCAATGGAATCGTCACGCAGGGGGTGGTTCACCAGGATATGGAGGTTTTAATGGGAAAACCATAGGAAAACCATAGGAAAATGGAGGTTTCCCTCTGGTAATTTAACATAACTATGGAACATCACCATTTTTAATCGGAAAACTCACTATTTCTATGGCCATGTTCAATAGCTATGTTAAATTACCAGAGGGTAACGGGAATTGAATGGTTTCTGCGGTTTGGGAAACATGCACAGAGTACCACTGCACCCCCACTAAGGTCTTTTTTAAAGTTTTCACAGTCGTTGAGACGTCCTCCGACTGTTGCAACTTGGCTCAAGGGCCAATCAACTGACTGGCTCAAGATCACCGAGCCCAATCTGGAGTGAAAAGGTGCACTTGCATCTGCCTCTTGGTGGGGTTCTCCGGGAAGGGTCTCGGTCATAGTCTGAAACCCGTGGGTTATGAGCCCAACCCCAACGCTGCCTTGAAGCAATGTCGAGCAGCGACTTCACTCAGCGTCGTCGACAAGAACGCCAAGTTCAAGCGGCTGCTCATGCTGAAGAAGTACAACATGGGACCCATGGACATGGAAAAGAAGAACGCGCGGAAACGGCAGACCAAATGCTGGACCGGCTTCTGGAGGAGATGGACGCACCTGGACAAGCACATGGGGAAAGAACAGGGACAAGATCATCAGACTCAACCCGAAGATCACTGATGGAAGGGGAAGTTGGAGAAAGTGTGATGGCACTGACCGGTGCTGGGGGAAGTGGAGCCCTAGTGCAGGTTGCGGCGGTCCGGGCTGGAGCGGGCGAACGAATCGCCCAGAATCCGGCTGTTGCGGAAGAAGTCGCAAGACCAGTGTCCTTACCACCTGAAGAACCTCCTGGACTTGAAGTGGTACGAGGAAATGGGAGTGGCGGTCTGTTGTCTGGTTTGACCCCAGGTGTGAATAGTCTAACTCTTTCGGGAGTGCCTATGACACAAACACCAGTAGTTGCCCGGATGTCTGAGGGATTTCGTGAACCACCTGTTGTGGGTAATCGAGAAGAAGGACAGGGTGGAAAACACCAAAGCTCAACTGAAGTGAGTGGAGGTGCGGCTGCTGTTGTGGAAACCGTTGCTCTTTTGGAGCGACCGGGACGTTCACCTGTTGAGTCTCCTGAAGATGCACGCGTCAAACAATCGGTGCCAGCGGCACCAACAGGCTCACCTGTGATCTACCAGCCAGCGGGAGCACCTGTGGTGTATACCGCAACTGGTGGAACACAGGGTTCGCAAGTAGCTGGGATGTCCCAGCAATCCATGTGTGCTGGAGTGCCACCTACGGGAATGGTGCCTCAGTGGGGAACGGCGGTTGTGGATCCTGGGATTGTAACCGGGGTCATGGCTGCAGAGGAAACGAATCCATGGAGTGCTGCCAAGCGAGTGGAAGCTCTAATGAGCAGTCCACAAACTCCAGTGAAAGAGCTGACTTATCCCATAGTGTCGCAAGACCTGATTGATCAGGCGGACGCGAGGGAGAAGGAAAAGTATGAGGAGTTGAAACAGCAAATGATGGAATTCTTTCAACGGGGCAAGACCGAGATCCAACAAGATCGAGAAAATTGGTTAGCCACGCGGGAAGAGAAACGTGCCCTGGAACGGGTCCGAGAAGCCGGAGGAGGTCACAAGGGCTCTCAGTCAAGTGGGGGGTCTTATCAAACCGCCTCGCCGGAGCTGAAGAATGTCGAGCAGGGTTTTCCTGTGGGGCCACCTCAAGGTGTTCCACCCCAGGTACAACATGTGCAAGATCAACCAGTTCCAGGAGTTCAACATCACCATGATCAAGATCTTCAAATGCAGGCGGGAGGTCAGTTGTGGAATGTTCCTCCTGCGCCCAAGGTCGAACAAGGTTTTCGGCCGATGGATGTGTATATGAATCAAGGGTGGCTAATTGGAATACCACCGGGAGGTATGCCGCAGAGAGCGGCGTCAAGACCACCGATGGGAGTTCCTTGCATGGGAGCCACGGAAAACACAAAACACTTTTTCATCGGTGACCAACCTAATCAATGGTATAATCCTCAAGTCCATGTTGGAGGAGCACCTGCAGGACAAGATCATCGACCTCAAGGGGTTTTTGCATTTCCGGGAGGAAACACCGGACCTATGGGTGGTTATGGTTGGCCAGGGGGTCCACCGCCAGGGCAGTATGGAAATCCCGGACAAGCACCTGGTCCGCCAGGTGGTCATCAGGGAAATCCCGGTCTCCCAGGTGGTCATCAAGGAAATCCAGGACAAGCTGCACCGCCACAACAACAACAAGCTGTAGTCCAAGCAGGACCTCAGGCAGGGGGAGAAGTACCAGGCGAAACGCTAAGATCGGTCGAATTGCCGAAGCTGGACAGGAATGCAACATCTTTGGACTTTGGAGACTGGCTGACAGTTGCCCAACAGATGATTGGGGATGTGAGCTACACCTCAGAGCAATGGTGGGAAGTAGTGATGACTGCTGTTGAACAAGCATACCACCACTGGTTGCAAGCGGATCCACTCATGAGGCTCCGGATGGCGCCTGTGATACCTGACATGGCCCGTAGGTGGCCTCGCACAGAGAAACGGGTGGTGGGTATGCTGCTTCAAGCCGTCCCCAAGGACATCTACGAGGACCTTGTGGCGAACAGACACATGTCAGCGGGTCAAGTCATGTTCAAGCTGTACACCGTCTTCCAACCTGGGGGACAAGTGGAAAGAACTGCCCTGCTGCAAATGTTGGTGGACTGGAAATGTCCATCTAATAATGCTGCAGAGATGGTCAACTCCATCCGGAAGTGGAGAAGATGGGTGGTTCGTGCCGAAGAACTTCAATTGGTTTTGCCCGATCCTCTGGTTTTGGCCGGAGTGGTCGCAAAAATGAGTGATGCCTTGGCCAGATTGGGGGAGCTCAAGCTGCCTACCGGTTGTCTTCGGTGAGACAGCATTTGGGCATAGATCTCCGGCCGGGAATGCAAGAGATCAGAACGTTTTCTGAACTTCTTCAAGCTGAAGCTGGTGAAATGGCTCTCCGTCAACCGGGGAACATAACACAGGGCCCAGCGGCTAAACCCAATAATGTGGTAGGGGTGAAGTCAATGAGTGGGCCGGATTCATCTGGAAACCCACCAAAGGGCGCTTCAAAGGGAAAACCAGAAGACGCAGCAGGTTCTTCCACCGGAAGGAGGGGAGAAAAGCCCGAGCTGCCGATTAACGCGGCTAATGTGGTCCACAAGACTGCGTGCATCAACTGGCTGACAGATAAGGGATGCCAATATGCTGACCGGTGCCGATTCACGCACACTGTCCTGGACTCCAAAGATGGCCGATGTTTCAACTGTTCTGGAAGGGGACACTCCCGACGTGATTGTCCGGCGGGAAAACGAAGTGAGTCACGAGGTCCACAAGGTGGATCCGAGGAACCAAAGGTGGCCAAAACCACAAGAATCCGCTCAAGATCTCAAGAGAGGAAAAATGGTCCTGGAAAAGAGGGAGGTGCTGCTCAAGAACATTCTGAACCTACCGTGAAGATCAATCCGATGAAGGAGTCCACGGTCACTATAACCCCTGTACCAGAGGAGGCCAACAAGGTTGTGGGAGAAGTGACCAACCTTTTGAAGGGTCTCAATGGACCGGTCTTGAAATCGGTGGGGCATGGTGGGGATCATCTCGAAGTTGAATTTGATGATGGAACAGGTTTATTGGATGGTGGGGCGACACACCCCTTGAGACAGGGATCAACCGAGGAGATCAAGAACGCGGTGCAGGTCACTGTGGAACTCGCACATGGAGCTGCTCAGCTCTATCAAAATCCTGTGAATGGAACCCTCTTGTCGGAGGGACCGGTGGAACCAATTGTACCTCTTCGAGGTTTGGTGGAATTGGGATACACCATCACTTGGTCCCGTGCAGGATGTGTTGTGAAACATCCACGACTGGGAAACATAGAATGTTGGTTAAGGTCTGGGTGTCCAGTGGTTCGAAAGGACCACGCTCTGGCTCTGATCACTGAGATTGAGCACATGGAAATGGAAAAGAGGACCAACCAT